TTTTTTTTGCAATGTTTTTAATAGCTTGCAATTCTTTTGGATGTAATTCTCCACCACCAGATACTGCTAGAAGTGCAAAATAAATCAAACAATATTGAGAACCCTTCACATATATTTTATTAGCTTGTTCACAAGTTCCTAGTGTATAAATTTTTAATTGATCAATTGCTTTTCACTAACACCTATCAATAAAAAAATGATGTATCTAGTTGTCATTTAAAAACAATCATTTAGAAAGATTTACTGGCAAAACCTAAAACCCATTTTCGTTCTTTTTCAGCAAGTATTCCATCAGCTGCAGCCATATACAATAATATACTCAGATCGATTATTGCCAAGTCATCTTCAGATAAAAGACCTTTATGATTAAAATTATCTAAGAATCACCATTGTGCAATACGTTGATCTCGTTCAGATGTATTAGTATTCATTGTTTGTGCAGGTATTCTAATTGAAATAAAGTATAAAGAAGTGTGCTCCCACATAGTATTTCTATGATTGATATCTATTGAAAGTTGTATTCTATAATTCGATCGATCAAATCAGCCAACTGTGATAATTTTTGTTGGATAGAATGAGGTGTAAATATGGATTAACCATAAATTGTTCTCTATATGAGAAATGTTTCATGATTATTCACTCTCTGTCCTCCTATCTTTCTTTTCTTTTTCTGTATTCAATAAAACCAGCGATTTAGGTCAGATTTTTTAGGCGAGCACAGAAATTTTCTTGATATGCACAAAACCTCCTATGACAAATATAAAAGGTATTTTGAGTCAGCGAAAATTAGTAATTACAAAAACCAAGATATGCATGTACGCTTGTGGAAAACTTTTCTTTTGTTTTCACTTATTCATAAATCAATTGTTGCAAAGCTTATATATATATTTCAGTAATCGACTGCACTGATTAACATATCGTGTCATTTGTTCGAGTATTATGGCTCAAACACCATTTGCGTCTTCCGATAAAGTATATAAAAGATTTCGTTTTTCCTCTATGTACATTCATCTATGATTAGGATACTTCGAACCAAGTATTGATATTGGCCAGAGGAATAAAAGACCAGTTAGTACTATACTTGAGTCTTTCTTGTTTTGATTCGGAAAAAAACGATTCATTTTCGTTAACTCAATTCTCATACCACAATTGATCAAATTCGATTTTTTCTTGGTGTTCGCGTAGATTTCATCTCAAATCGATTTTACATTCCCAAATTAGCTTACCATGAATAGAGAAGTTTTATTTTTATTTGCTTATCAAAGTCATCAACAAGAACAACATTGTCATCATTCGACACTTTTTTCCTACTGAATACATTGAAAATATTAATGGAAAGAGAACTGAACTATTGACGAATAATTTTGGCAGAATGGTATATAAAATGAAATATTTTCTTCGATTATTTCTTATGAATATTGAAAATTCAAACAATTGTTCCCTTTTCTGAGAAAAGGCCAATAAAATGCAAAAAGTTTGTGAATTTGCCCAAGCCAATAAGATTGCAGCATTTTGAAAAACTGCCGGCAACTTAATCAGGGTGTGGTCAGTAGGCACAGCACAACATGAGGGTGTGAGCAAAATGTCGGTGCGTGGACGAAAGCCTATTACGGTTTTAACTGCGAGAAGTGATGCCTCGACAAGGACTTTGTATGCTCATCAACTCTAACTCAGCATCCTAGGCGTAGAGTACCAAATTACATTCTCTTCTAGTTTCTGATAGCTCTTACTGTCACTGATACCATTACGTGTTTCCATTAGACAATCGTCTTGAACATCAACTTCTTCAAAGGCCATTCGTCGATATCCAACTCGCTACGCACTGGGTATCGACCGAATTTGCTGAAATTTGTCCGGATTCTGGATATACTGTTGTCGATTTCTAAACGGATACCTGGGGTAATGATATTATGACATCACTCCCTTACATTCCGAATCAGACAGTAGATTATTACAATTAACTTCAAACGAATCCTAATGAATTCTTTTCACTTCTCGCATATTCTCATAGAATTCTTTGCTGTACACGTCTTTCGCATAACTACTATTCGCAAACCAACGTGTATATTCAGTCACTGCAATCACATATGATTATCTCACTTAGGCCATGCGTTTGATGAGTCCGTTGTTGACAGATCAGATTGCGATATAAACACATCATCCGATCGGCAACATTACAACTAAGGAAACATATGCGGAGTTCAATGAGGAAAGAATTTGTTGCATGAGTCTTGCAACAATCTTCTGTGAAAACAGTTGCTGTTAAAGAGACGCTGGAAAGATCCATCAGTACCGCTCATCAAAGAGCAGACGACGTGAGATATCTTGGTGTCCGATTGTAGTTTTTTCAAGATTTTATTCGGTTATACATGCGTTTCAACTAGGATCTCACTAGTTCGAAGTAGAACTCAAAGTGCCCTACTGATTCGAATGATAACACTTTGAAAACCCTCTACCTGCCTACTTCGAAAACATGAGTGACAAAAGCTGAGAATCTTGGCAAACTCAGGCGAATTCTCTTCTTCACTATTAAGCGCGGTTTGAACATCGGCCTAGACACAGTTCGACGACCTCAATTTGATTCGAGTCATGAAGTTTTTCATCGCCACTTTCACCCACCCACACCCTCATAGAATGCTATATGTACTTTGAGGGTTGAAATGGTGCAGTTAAGAATCGTGCCTTGTGATATAATTGTTAAGACGGCGTAGATTGTTACTCATTTTTGACTTAGTCACAAGCAATACTCATACAAAAACTTCCTTTCTTGCAACAATGATTTTGTATTCAGTAAGAATGTCAAGGATGTGACGGAATATGAGTAATAGTTTGAGAAGTATTAAATTTCTGGATTGATGTTGGTTTTTTCCTCCGATACCCAAAATGTCAATTATTGATGTTAGAAATCGTATTTTTCGAGCATTACCGGTACAAAGCACGACAAGAAACTTGGTACTTCAATGCATAGTCAACTGCTACTAGACACGTTGAGAGAGATATTATTTCTTGGTTTTTTCCCCATATATAAATATTATTTCTTCCTAGATTACGGCACGCTTATGCTTATCAATATAAAAATAACCAGTGAATTAAAGGTTTTTTCCCAATGTATGGGATAGGAACCGCTTCATGATCAATTGTATATGACAGATGGTTGCTAATAACAAATTTAACAGAGAAAATCTCCAGAAATTATTGTGTCGCAATGCTGATAGGAACATAACAGCGTCATATGTTTTTACGTTCTTTGACAGCGAATAGAAACAACATGAAGGTTCCCCATGTTTTATAGCAACGCAAATATTCGACATCATTTGAATTATCATGATGACCAGAAGATTCTTTTACGCAATTTTATAAGAGACTATTTGAAATGACGCTTTTTAGTCAGGAGGATGTTAATCATTATGACGTCATCAGCATAAATAAACTGATTCACAGATATTCGGCAATGAATAATTACAGTGATGCAATTAATAACGGATTTTTCAAAAGAAATAGTCATTACTGCAATTGGTAGTTTCCCATTGAGAATGGCTAAAATACCGATCAGTGAAGATTCAAATGTAGTACAGAGTGCTGTACTTGTTTCTTAGTATGTAAGATAAGGTATCATTTGTATGTTTCGAACACAATACTATTCACCCTGAAGTCTTTTAATTCATTGTTCTCCTCAATAGATTCGAAATTTTTCAGTTTCATCTCTGTCAATCTTTATAGATGTCACGTAGTGTCTTGTCGTCTGATTGGTTGAAAAACGTTCTCTCGCTTCCATTGGTAGTGAACAAACTCTTACTTGGAAATTTCCAAGCAATGCTTTTTGTATTCAATATGAGCTGACTATAAAGCAACGCATTGCCTTTGGAATTTTCCTCCTACAAAACGGGATATACCCAGTTGAATCATATGTGAGTATGCGTGTTGTACCTTCCTCGTGCGTGCCCCCGCGTTGAGAGGAGTTCTATATTTTTAGAAGGTTCTGCACTTCCGTATGTGAGTATGGAATACTTGGACGGAGGAAAGTAGTTTCGAATTTCATTTTTGTACAGTGCGATTATTCATTCAACTAAAGCCGAACCCGAAAACACAAATATAGACAGTTCGTTCTAACAATGGTAGTTAGCATAGATATCTTAGTACTTTTTATTTTCATTTAAAACAATTACTCACAATCGTGATATAATCTCCTTTCTGTAATATTCTTTTAGATTTATTATTTGTACATTACACAATGTCATCAGTGTTTTCTTCATCTCCAAAGATACTTAATGAGTTATTAAATAAAAATGAAGCGATGGATACGCGAAGAAAAACTTCAACTAAGCGAAAAGATGAAATGACGAAATCAACCACTGTTCACACTCGAATAGCAGAACTTCGTAAATTAACGACGAAACATGGGGTTTATAGTGTATGTGAACTGAGTAGCTATGGATTCGAATATACGGGTGAAGGAGATACAGCGATATGTGATAGCTGCGGATTGAAGATATCAGATTTGACACTAGATGTCAATCCTAAAACAATCCATTTCGAAAGAAGTCCTGATTGCTCATTTCTTAAGTCTCTGAAGTTAAAATCACCAGAACTAATACACCATTCAACATCGTCATCATCATTGGCAACAACCGCTCATAATTCGTCGTCATCGAATGAATCGGAAAAGCCCTCGAAGCGAATAAAAATAGAACCAAATGAGTTAATGTCATCAGTTAATATGTTATATGAAACAAGTTCACTTCAACAAGTACGAAGAAGGACTTTTTCTCATTGGCCAAGTCGTACTATTCCGTCTGTAGCGCAAATGATCGAAGCTGGATTCTTCAACTGCAATGTGGGTGACAGAGTGATATGTCTGTATTGCAATCTTATCTGTCAACAATGGACTCCTCATACTGATGATCCGAGCGAAATTCATAAAACACTTTCGCCAAAATGTCCATATGTTAAAGGGAAATTGATACGTCCCCCAGCATCGTCAATAATTATTGTAAATGAAGGCGGAGCTACTGCGGTCACCGGCAGCAACTCATCATCAAACCAATTTGATCCATTAAGATCGAACGAAATTGTTTTCACAGCTGCTTGTAATCCTGCTTACACAGAAATACCAAAACGTCACGCATCATTTGAACAATGGCCAAAGGAGAACTTACCTTCCGTCGATGATTTGGTACGAGCCGGTTTCTTTTATACTGGTTCGAAAAGTATTGTAACCTGCTTTTATTGCAATGGATCGCTGCAGAACTGGGGTCCAAACGATAATCCTATGATCGAGCATGCAAGATGGTTTCCACATTGCGCTTATGCGAAACAACTGTGTGGTGATGATTTGTATCGTAAGATTCAGGAGTCAAAACGAGCACAGCAAGGTATGTCAGACTTGTTTTCTTCTTCAGTACAAGAAGTTTTTGAAACCTATTCCTATTTTAGAGCGGGCAAAAGCTAATGAACTTAGAGAGAGAGCGACTGTAAGTGGAGCGACGAATACAACAAGCGCTGCCACAACAAACAATAACCGTCAATTATTAATACCTGATGAAAGTACTTTGTCAAGACTGGTGGCAGCACGACTCGATTTACCAATTTCTCAGCGATTACTCGATCAAAATTTCAAACTATCTATCATCAAACGTTGTTGGGAAGATCAATTACGACTGAAACGTACGTTTTTAAACTCAGTAGAAAAGCATTTTCTTCAATACTGTTTGTTTTCTCGATTTCTAGAGGATGATTTTCAATCAGAATGTGATCTCTTCATTGCTTGCACTATTCTCCAGAAGCAAATCGAACACATAGATGGTAAAAAGGAGAATATTGTCATACCAAGCATCAAGATGAAACAGATTCGAGAAAAAAATGGTCAGTTACATTTCATTCGATCTACTTCTTTTCTTCATCTGCGATTCGATTTTCTAGAAGCACAACTTCGTGAGCCAACATCTAATCAAGCACAAGTCATCTCCAATCCAACAGATGCTGAAATGACTACATCATCACAGTCATTAACAAACGAATCGGTCTCCTCCCAATCTTCGATTGAATCAACTTCCAAACCATCCACACCTGGCAGCCAAGGAGAAACAAAACTCATTAAACCGATCATTTCATCAAGTAGCGAACACGATCAATCGAACTCCAATACTCCATCAAATCCATGTGTACTTTGCTTAACAGAAGAAAAACGATTAGCCTGTATACCCTGTGGCCACTTAGCCACATGTGTTCCTTGTGGACACTCTTTGAGATCATGTCCGATGTGCAGACGCGAAATAGAAGCGTTTGTGAGGATCTACATTTAAACAAGATATTTATTTGCTACGTCGGCAATGGTACGTATTTTTTTTAAGCATAATTGATACAAAGTTATGTTTAACTAAATCAGTTTTTAGTAATTTATTTTTATTTTTTGACAATTTTTTTAAATCTTCTAGAAATGCTACATCGTATGTTATTTTCATGCCTTCTCAACGAGATGCGTCAAACGTCATCGACGCACTTCGGCGAGTGTGACGTGGACGTGACAAACCTTTTATAATAAAAATAAAAATAACAAAATCAAGTTAATTGTATATAGATATTATAATAATAAATAGTCTTGCAGTAAATAATGAAGAATATAGTAGAGATGGAATAAATAATGTTCATTACACGTCAATAGTCTCGGAAGAAATGGCTTGCATTTTCTATTCTAGAAAATAAAAGGGACGCATATATTCATGCCTCGATATCTACTTTTTTTCGCTCATGAACTGATCGATTTCCGACTGGCTGTGAGTAATGAATAACTGTATGAATGCGTCTCAAACTCTTCCATTCTCGTAGGAATTATTAAGTTTGGCGGAGATGTTCGGTTTTCGAGAGAGTATGACAATCGAAAGAAAACCAGAGCAAGTGTGTGCATCTTGCGAATAGAAAAGAGGCATAAAAAGCAACTCTTTGATTCTAGGATCCATTCATGCTATGCACCTTTTCTCATGTGGATCATTTGAAATTGTACTCGTCTCGATCGGTGCTACTGAAGTGAGATTTGACGATATCGGTAGCATATATACAAAGGAGATCTATTCATTTAGATCTGCTTATGAATATTGGACACACGGATCATCAATGGTCGATGTTGTCGATAAATTGATCGCCAATTCTGATTTGGTAATTAGAAAAACAGACATTCATGAATAGATTGCTTCTTTCGAATATCTTAGCGTCCGAAACCTAATGAAACATGGCGTATACTTGTTCATGCGTTTCGAAAACAATTTGCACAGCCGGAAAAAGTTCAACGAATTGAAGTAGGAGTCATAACAAATGGATTTGTTATTTCACTCTGAAATTTGCAGGCATTTAGTGATCGATTGAATATCACAAATCGATTTTGTTTAAATAATAAAGCAGATTGTACTGTTGGTCTGTTTGAAAACTACGAAGAAGGACTACTGGAACAACCGAAAGAAGTTTTCACTGGGAGATGGGTAAATATCTTTGTATCGAATTGACCACAACGAAAATTTCCAATATACATTTGAGATATGTGATGGAGCACGTCATTTGATTGAAAAGTACGACGTGCGAAAGCGTTACTTCATTGGTAAGCTAAAAATAAGAATGTACCACGTTCAGTTTCGAACGTTCATTATTCACATAGGCAATACAACCATGGATGCTACATTATCATTTGTCATGGCAAACATGGCTCAGTGTCAACCGAACCATGTCGCCCTTGATCCTTTTTGTGGAACAGGTAAGTTTCGGTGCATATCCTTCTATTAAAATATAATCGAAAAACTGCATGTAGGTGGTATCCTACTGGCTTGTGCAGAATTCGGTAGTTATGTAATTGGAAGTGAATTCGACTGGCGTGTACTAACAGCACAAGGTAGTTTGTTTAAACAAAAAACAGAACGGGCGCGATCATGATGCTTTTCGAACTCTACATGTTGTAGCTAAACCAACGAAAGCCAATACGAAGCAACGTGCTCGTAACCCCGATGAAATGATGTACCGAAACTTTTCCGATTATGGCACATTGAGTCGCTTCTTGGGTGTCGTTGGTGCGGATTTTGCCTATCCACCGTGGCGACCAGGATTTATATTCGACGCTATCGTTTCCGATCCGCCCTATGGTATTCGTGAATCCTCTCAACACAAAAGTCGTCGCCAAGGTGACTCGGCCGAAGGTGATGTACAGAAATATGACTTAACAAATATCTATGTTGATTTGTTGAACTTTGCAAATGTTTATCTTCGTGTCGGTGGCCGATTAGTTTTCTGGATGCCTACGCATATCATGACTTATGATGAAAGTTTATTACCAACACATCCGTGCTTTCAATTATTTTCCAATGATGAACAACAACTCAATCGAACAACTAGCCGACGATTGATAACAATGGTGAAAACACGCGAGAGTCAAGGTGATGAGAAGGCAACAGTGAATGAAAAATTATTTAGTAACTTTCGTGATCTGTATTTTACATCCAATACGAAAATATGGGAACAACTGACTAGCGAAAACCCTGTGATCGATTCATCTGTTATTTCGAAAAAGCGAAATCATGAAGATTGATTATTAAAGTAATAAAAACATAAGTTTTGTTGTATCAAGAAAATATTTGAAAAATGTCGCCGAAAAAAGAAAAAATGCAGTACTTTGTTCTCTGAAAGAACAACCGTCGGATAGCTATTCTCTTATCGGCGAAGAGTGTTCTTCATAAATGTTATTTTTGTTCTTCCAACTGCGTTTTGTTGGAAAAAACCCAGTCTGTCTACCTTCCTAGGATGTTTTCGACGAAGTCATTATGAGTGACTTGTTGTATAGGTACTTTTGTCAAAAATCTAATCTATTTATATGATTCATTTCTTACGACCAAACGAAGTCAGTTACACAGTCAAGCATTAGCAGAAGGAAATAAAAAAACGTGTCACTTGTTAGCGACGCGCATTAAAATTTGCTATGGGGAATATTCACAAGTATTCAAAAGCAATCTAACACGACCTTCGAGTACACGGTAAACATATAATAAAGGAAATAACAATATTTACATGGCTTTCTCCCTGTTTGATAAGAAGACATTTGTGGGGTTTTTTCCATCATATCAGTATACGATGACATATGAGCCGTTTTTCTTGATTACAATGGGAGGTCGTATAGAATGGGTTAAAATTGATAAAAAACGCAAGGAAATATCCTTTGCAAATAGCAAAAATTATTATTTTGGGAAATAATTATATTTCATCGCATGTGCCTTGATCATACGTCTATAGCCATGAATCGATCAGCACGAAGTGACATGTCATCAAAAGCACGTTTAAAAACCATTTAATATTTTTCACACCGTTGCTGTCGATGAACAGTCAAATATTTTTAGTTATGAATATTTTCTAATCCTTTGTTTCCACCGCATCTGTCGATTAAGACATGTGCTTTTTTTCTCTCTTTACCTGTTTTTTTCCAACTTGCAACCTATAATAACGGAGGCAAAACAAGGATCAATTTCATTCAATACCCGTGCAGGAAGCGAAACTTGCTCTCTACGAAAATGACTGACATACTCAAGTAGAAGCATCTGAAAGTGTCCTCAACTGAACCAAACAGACGTAAAATAAATAGTTTGTTCACAAAATTTGAAATTGGTTGAATTATATAAACAAGATTGGAGGAAGTTACTTAAAGTTGTGTACAAATCTGTTACTAACATTAGTGTAAATATGCTTTCAAAATATGAATTTTCCAACGCTGATGAACGACGACAGAATATATTTGTTACTCCGAGTGCCAAAAACTATATTAATCATAATCGCACTACACAATTAAAAAAAAGAAAATTTATCCAGCAATATCTATCATTTGAAAAAACAAGCCCATTAACTCAGATCATGGTCAACTGCCGAAAGCTAACAGAAAAACAAGGTGTACACTCCTACATAGCAATGCAAGCAGCAGGATTTCATTACACAGGTGTAGAAGACACTGTTCGCTGCGATACTTGCGGCTTGGAAGTATCTAGTTGGACATTGGATATGAAACCCTTCATTGTCCACACTCAACAGAGCCCAGAATGTGCTTTTGTCCGTTCTCTAGCAGTCGCAGTTCCTGTCAATACGTTCTCAAAGATCACACTGTCAATAATGAACACACTTGCAGATGATCATGAAAAACCTTCAAAGAGACAGAAACTCGAAACAGATCGAGAGTATTTACCAAGGCTCGTTCTCGTTGAAGTGGATAAACTGAAGCGGTTACGAAAAAGAACATTCTCACATTGGTCTCAACGAATGGCTCCATCAAGTGCGAAAATGGCGAAAGCAGGCTTCTTTAGTTGTAACGTTGGTGATCGAGTGATATGCTTGTATTGTAACCTTATTTGTCAAAATTGGAATTCTGAGACTGACGACCCATGTGATATACACAAAGCACTATCCCCACGATGTCCGTATGTGATCGCAATGACAAACCGCCAAGAAATAGCCTCGATATTGATTCTTAATGAGCTTTCTACAAATACGAATATCGTAGAACCGATTTGTTGCGACGAAATAGTGCACACAACTCCATGCCACACTGAATATATGGAGATTCCTCGTCGACAAGCATCGTTTGAGACATGGCCAAACGAAAATCTTCCGCCCGTCGATGAATTAGTACGAGCAGGTTTCTTCTACACAGGCTCCAAGACAGTCGTCACCTGTTTCTATTGCAGTGGATCATTACAAAACTGGGGCCCAACAGATAACCCAACGGTTGAACATGCGCGTTGGTTTCCAAACTGCGCCTATATTAAACAATTATGTGGACCAGACCTATATCGAAAGATTCAAGAACTAAAAAGAGCTCAAGAAGGTTAAATCTTTTATAGTGAATATTATAAAAATATATACTTTCCTATTTATTTTTGTGCAGATGAACATACACCTGGCAACCAAGATCAGCAAATACAGATAGACGGGCAACAAATAGGTCGGGGACTATTAAATGTAACAGATGAAAGTTTTCTCTCACGACTTGTTGCTGCTCGGCTTGATTTGACAGTTTCCCAGCGATTACTCGATGAAAACTATCGAATCTCTATAATCAAACGCTGTTGGGAAGATCAATTGAAACTTAAGTGTAAATATAAACAGATATAACTGGATTCAACGAGACAGTTGTTTTTATTTAAGGTGATGATTTTCTTGATGATTGTGAACTGTATTTGAGCTGCGTTATTTTGGATAAACAAATACGTATTATTGATGGTAGGAAAGAAAACATTACTATCCCGTATCAAGCAATGAAGGAACTTGGTGAAAAAGAACAGCAAAGTATATAAAACAGGTTTTGAACTAACTGTTTAATAACTGAAATACTGCTTCAGGAACTTCTGCCCGCGTGGAAGGTGGAAGTACGTCGACACCATCAGAATCGAATGTTAATGACGCGGATGTCTCGGAATCACGAAATATGGATATGGAAAATTCTACTTCAGAAGTATCTATACTACCTATTAAAACAGAAAAGCAGACAGAAAACTTGCAACTATCCAATCCATGCGTTGTGTGCTCGAAAGAAGAAAAGAAATTGGCGTGCATACCCTGTGGACATTTAGTAGCATGTTCATCTTGCGGCAACTCTCTCCGAGTATGTCCAATGTGTCGCCGAGAAATTGAAGCTTTTGTTCGTATTTATTTATAGTTAGTTCTGTACCATGCTTACCGAGTGTAGTAGTCGTAGAAAAAGTTTTTGATTTCTTTCTCTAAAAATAAATATCTGTCGGCAATTAGTTTCTCAGTTCAGGACAGCCATCAAGATTCTGGATGAAAAATCGGATTTTTAGCTTCTTATAGATTTGCTCCTCTTGACGGAACAGTGGTTTTCGTAGATTCTGGGATGTGATGGAAGGTTTGACGTTGATGATGTATGTGGAGCGACAGTGGCGGACGATAATTAATGTGTAATAAGGTGTTTTAGTGGGGAAGTTATCATAACGGTTTGGAATCGGTCGAAGCTTCTGGAAATAAGCTGAGTTCAATCATTAGGATTCTCCTAGAATAGCTGTGATGGAATTCAAGCGTATTTAACTGAAAGGGACAGCCGATGTCGCCTCTTTTTCTAGAACTGCGTTGCAGTTGCGCACATTTGCGACGCAGCTACCGCATTTGTCTAGCCAATCTATTGGATGTTTTTGAAAAATAACCGTTAGTGCTAATAATCGAGTATAAAAATGGATGTAAAAACCGTTTAAGCTCATTTTTTCAGTTTTCAACTACCAGAGAACTTGATAAGACAGTGACTAACTTCGAAGAGTAAATGGCACTTAAAATATGATGAGTCATCTTTTTCAACCGATGAGATCCAAAATCACAATTATCATCGTTGAAATGGTTCGACATACTATTTTTGAAGGTGGTGAGCGATGAATGGCTGTTAGGAATGAATTATAGATGCCTAAGTATCATTGATGATGCATAGGTGAGTGCTTTTCATGTATTTTGGGTTATTGATGGGTTGGTGGATACCGCGAATGGGTCATGGGCAAATGGAAAGCGGGCCATTATTGTTGAAAAGCGAAGAATGATGGTGGATCGGTACGACTATCGGTAAATGCAGGATCTCTCTAACGATTAGCCCCTTTGAGTGATATTATTTCGTTTATTGTAGACGTTTTCGTTGGAAGCCTGTTCACTGTTCCTGACAGTTCCGTTGAGAACTGGGCGGATTGAGGCGAACAAGAGGTTCTTTCTCGCCAGCTTCGGGGGCCGGAACGTTCATCCTGAGAACCGACTGCAAGACTAATGGTTCGATCCATCTTTTGAGCAGTTTTTATAAACACTGTTGAGTGCCACGAAAATCTGTGAAGGACTAAGCGAGCCTGCTTCGACAAGTGTTGTTTTATTTCTAAGCATGTGTAGTCGCAGGTAAAGGAGCTTTACACTGATCATCATCATCAAATTTATTTTCCTCTGGTGTAATTCATATTGTGGGTAGTAAACTATTCTAACCTGTTATGAAAATATTATCTTCAAATTCTCAATATAAAAAGCGTTTTAAAAGAATACTCCATTATATTACGTTTATTTTGAAAAAAACATTCAGTCGAGGGCAAAGCGAGTCAACCTGGATGAGCGTTACTTATCGGTAACTATTGAATAAAGTTTTTGTGTTCAACATATTTGTTTGTAACATTCAGAATGACTCATCTAACTGAGATGAGAGGCGTCCGTGATCGTGTGCTTTTTCAAAACGAAAATTTAAAGAACGATGGGTGTGGGTGAGGGTGTGAGGAAAAGTTCGGTGCGCGGACAAAAGTCTTTTAGCGCTCTAACTCCAACAAGTGATGCCTTGACGAAGGCTTCGTGTCCTCATCACCTCTAGCTCAGCAACATAGGCGTAAAGTACCGAATCACATTCGCTTCTCAATTCTGATAGCTCTTACTATCACTGATACCATTAAGTGTTTCCATCAGACTCTGGTTTTGAATATCAACTTCTTCAAAAGCCATTCGTCGATATCCATCTCGTTACCCGCTGTGTATCGACCAAATTCACTCAGATTCCGGATATACTGTTGTCAATTTTTAAACGGATGCCCGAGGTAATGATACCATGACATCACTTATCGACACCGATATTAAAGTTTTTTAGAATGATATGGAAGCGATATCCTTGCTATCCTCATGTATTTTTCTCCTGTAATGTTTGTATTTTGAAAGTAAAGACAGGAGCTTCCTATCCTGTAACCCCTCATGTAAACAAATGACTCACTACAGCAAAACGTGCGTTTGTTATTTTTTCCCTTTCATCAATCAAACATTTCCCCAGCACATCGTTCTTTAATAGAACACATTCATTTTCTTTCATAATTTCTCGTATACATATTTTATTTTGTCATGTCGACGATGTTATCCTTTCTCCTTGGGTATGGTTGGAAATTTCCAAGTATCTTTGTGACGATAGGAGAATGATTTTTTTCATGATGTTTAATGTGTAAGAAGGTACGTCATTGAAACCCATCACGAACATGCATAGCTGTTAACGGTATGAGTCACCCTTCTTGATGAATGAAGAAATCTGGGAAATACAAGAAAATATTGCGCAACACTCTTATTAATTGTATAAGAACATCCAAAAAGAATAAAAAGCGTGCATATCTACAGCTTAAGAGTATGGCCTTTTGCGTTTTGCTCCTTCTGAAGCATATGCGGCAATTTATCAGGAAATTTCTAAATGAAATACAAATTCTACATTTACCACTTTCCCCATATATAAACGGTAAAACGGAAAATCGACAAAAGGAATTTGAAAAACTACCCACGGTGAGGATGTCCGTATGTCTGACCAGTAGGATACTACATGAATATTTGTACTAATGTACTCCTAGGAAAGCCTATGCAGTTTTACACATCTGCAAGATTATCGAAATCCCATTGGCGAAATTCCTATTGTCGATTTTCCACTAAACCATATAAACTAACAGCCATCTGCCCTATTGTAATAAAAATGCATCGCAGTTACGACGCTGTAATGCATTTTCTGATGCGACAGCATACGATCTGTGAGTGTATTAAAATATAATTTCCACATACAATAATAGCAATCCAAACCACCATGTCCCAGTGAACTAGTCAAACAGTCCGTCTTGCTTATCAATGTGAACAATAACCGTATATTATTCTATCGTCCACATGGCGTATGTAGAAATTCGTTTTGCTCTTGAACCTGTATAGCTTTCAACATTATTATATTGTGCGTTAGCATCCATTCAGTACCCTGCATTTAAATACTTCTCAGTAGCTATGAATCGCAAGCATCTAAAACAGCGACCATTACGCATATGCTTCATGGTAGAGCAGCGCCGTAGTGCACATTGAAGGCTAACAATGGAACCAGCATGTGATGTCGACGGACAAAGATTTCGGTATGAGTTTAGAAAATATTGATAGGTACCGCCGCAACGTGTGATCTCGGTGTAGTTCATTTTCCTTTTCACATAAACAGGACACACGTCGAATTGAATTTCACGTATATATCTATATCTATATATATATGAATAGCATCGTTTTCAGATGTGAATACGTTACTATCTTCTGTATCTATAGTGAGCGACATGACCACTGATCAACTCAAAACTGGTTCCATTTATACAACCATGAAACAGTCTTTTGATACACAATTTATGCCCGAAAAGCGTCTGAACAGGCCTTTAAAGTCGACTATTACAAATATAGTTACAAAATCACAAGTTTTGACAAATCTAATACCACAGAAGCAAAATGTATACTCAAACATAGAAATTCAAGCAGCTGGCTTTTCCTGCACAGGTGTAGAAGACGCCGCTCGTTGCCAAGCGTGCGGACTTGAAGTGTCCGAATGGACAGCGGATATGAAACCGTTTACTATTCATAAGCAACGAAATCCAGCATGTGCTTATGTTCGGTCGATGGTGCCTGAAAAGCCGATCATAGCTCCAGTGACGATCATGTCAACAACAGACGATGATTATAATCCAGCAAAACGACAAAAGAAGGATTTTATTGAGGAAATTTGTGAGAGTAGTGTACTGAGAGAAATCACTCTGTTAGCGGAGGCGCGACGCCGATCATTTTCTCATTGGCCTCCACACATGTGTCCTTCGAGTGCACAAATGGTTGCTGCAGGTTTCTTTAGTTGTAACGTTGGTGATCGAGTGATATGCTTGTATTGCAATCTGATCTGTCAGCAGTGGAATCCTGAAACCGACGACCCAAGCGAGATTCATAAGAAACTCTCACCAAAGTGTCCGTATGTGATTTCAATGGCAAAACAGCAGCAAACAATATTGTCACCTAATGTCACTAAACATTATCCAAATGCGAATGGCGTAGACCCGTTTCAATGCGTCGAAATAGTGCACACAACTCCATGCCACACTGAATATATGGAGATTCCTCGTCGACAAGCATCGTTTGCGACATGGCCAGACGAAAATCTTCCCGCCGTCGATGAATTAGTACGAGCAGGCTTCTTCTATGCAGGCTCAAAGACAGTCGTCACCTGTTTTTACTGCAATGGATCATTACAAAACTGGGGTCCAAACGATAATCCAATGATTGAACATGCGCGCTGGTTTCCAAACTGCGCCTTTGCTAAGCAGTTGTGTGGCGTTGAGTTGTACAAAAAGATTCAAGAATCGAAAAAAGCTCAACAAGGTTTGATATCATCTGGCGCAGAAGAGTAGTTGATTGTGTATTCTGTAATTTAGAGAGAGCGAAAGCAAACGATGCTAATAAACGAGATGGAAAGACGAATAGTACTGTAGGCAGAGGACAACTGATTATACCTGATGAAAGTGCTTTATCACGATTGGTGGCTGCGCGACTCGATTTGCCCGTTTCTCGCAGGTTACACCGCCAATATTTTAAACTACTCGTAATCAAGCGTGTGTGGGAATATCATCTACGTTTGAGAAGTAAGATAGTAGTCTTTGTGAGCAGGTACCTGTTGACTTTTCTTTTGAATGTATTTGATTCTAGGTGATAGTCTCGATAATCCTATCGATCTATGGATGTGCTGTACTATTCTGCAGCGACAGATCGAAGTTATCTCTGGAGATAAAGACAAAAATATAATTGTTCCCCGAGTGGCCATGCAAACAATTCTCGAAAAAGAACTAGCAGATATTTGCACCTTAAGTAAGAGAAGTAACGCTCATGTTGCGGATTCGTCAGTCCTCTCCTGAAAGAATTAGAAAAATAGTAGATAAAAACTCGTAGTTAGACTGCAATCTAATCGGCTTCGAATTGAAGTCGCGTTTATGCACATTCGTTCCCATGAGCTCCTTAATTCGACTTATATTATAAGTCGACCCTCGATAAGCTAATATCAATTCGAAAATAATTAGATATCTACATCAGTCTTACAATAAACGACTAGGCAGGAATAGAAATAGATTTAGTTCCACTTATACCTATACTCTGACATTCGTGTGAGTTGAGGAATAGGAACAGATTCAGAGTTGGACTTATATACTTACACCCTCACCGACATCCACATCGACGCCCTCCAGATGGAGAAAATGCTATGCTTTTTGCGTTTCGAAAGAAAATATATTCTTCTACATACATTCTGGTAGTTGTCAGGTACGTTGAATTTCACTTAGTAATTGTATAAGAGGCATACAAAGTTGAACTGGCTACCTGATATTAAGCTAACAAAAAAATTTTCTATCAACAGTGCAGGAAAAGCGATTACAAGAATCCTACTAAATGCAATGCAGGTTAACATAGCGAATCTTTGCATATTTTAGCCGATAACGTGACACTTGAGGCCTCGGCAAGTTATAATAATCCTCTCCGAATCGGCAATTCATGTGCAACTATTAGAAGTGTTGATAAGTTCACCCGCTATCTACAGCTCAAGCAAAATCAAGAGTCAACAGAACGGACAGTTGAGCCTGTACAGCGTATTCCATGCAACCTTATCGAACTGCTCAAGAAACAAGCATACATGCACAGCGAGGAAAAAGACGTGAAAGAATCTCAAGAAGGTTTATTATTAAACTCCTATATTCATTTCCAAAGTTGGCAATCTACATTCTATTCTTTTTAGAGAGGGAAGAACTCGCACAAAATGTTGAACTGATCAATACAGCAGTGGATCCTACGGAATGTTTGGCAAACAGCGAACTGAGACCGGTCGTTGCTCAAGATATAGATGATCATCAGGCAACGAGTGAAGCAGATGCCTGGGCCAATCTGTGTGTTCTGTGCTTAGAGGAGACTCGAACATTAGCATTTGTTCCTTGTGGGCATTTGAGCACTTGTGTACCTTGCGGTCACTCCCTCAAGCTGTGTCCAACGTGTTGTCACGAAATCCAAGGTTCTATTCGCATAAATCTCTAATTATTGAATGGAACTTTGAACTTTGATGTCGCGATCTTGACTTCTTTTTCATTCTTATTGAGCTATATCCTCACACTTCTTTGTCCAACAATAAATCAATTAAATCAGAATACTGACCCCATCTCAAAGTTTTCATGCGATTTTGGATGATCTATCCGCTCGTCACGACGAAAAACTATTCTTTGGACTATACGAACGACGTGAGAAAAAATTTCCATGATAAGCACCTTTGAAAACAGTGACTCGTAAGAGTAATAAAAGGTTGTTGTTTTTGTGAATTACTTCCTTTTACTCATGCATATTCGAACCTTCATTGGTATTTTCCAACCTAAGCCATGATACAATCCATTCCTTATGAGTATTCGAATTTTTATCTATCCTATTTATATGCATCATCACCTTCTCACTTCCTTATTTATGCATAACTATGCCTTCTAATGTAAACTCACGTCATTACAACGAACATATTCTCATTCTGCGACATAATATTTCATCTTTCAGCACTATTTTTATTAGCGCACGTGTGCATTCAAATATTCGCTAGTAGGGGCAAATCTGTAACGACAAACTGGTTGAATAGCTGACCGCTTCTCACGGTATAGATGTTTATTGACTACTCTACATGACCAGAATGTATCTCGTTCTCAATAAGACACGCGCTTATATAGAGAAGAGGAAAGAGAGATATGACCCGAAGATACAGTGAAACCTCCGTAAGATAAACACCTACGGGACCGTACAAAAAGCGTTCATTATAGGAGGTGTTCATTATATAGAGGTTTGCAATCCATTGACAGGATACAAATGTAGAATATACAGTGAACATGACTGAATGGTATCTATGAGTTTCTTGTAGTACATTTCATCTAGTGAACGCGAAGTCCATCAAGTAGTGCTTCTTGATAAAAGAAATCCAGTGAATTGTTTGTGAAATGAATTATTTTGTATAGTCTCATTAACCTTGTTCAGTTCGATGGGAACATGAACGAGTTTTAAACGTAGACGAGAGGTAAGATTTTAGTATTGTGATTGGTCATTACTAATAGAAAGATTAGGTTATCAAGCTACTGCTAATACTTAGGGCAATCCAAAAGTAGTGAGCCAGGTGTCTTATTCCATGAAACCAAGGTCTATAAAAATTTCTTTTTCTACTAACAGATAGAGCGTCTATCGCTCTATCCTCCCATGCTATTTGGTCTATTCCAACTAAGATTATTATAACAAAATTTTGATACTAACTTTTTTTTGCATCACTCTAGCTGGTAGCAATAGTGCAAATTTCTTTTTCATTATTTAATACACCTTATGGAAAAACAAAATACACCATAAGATGCAGCGAGAAAAGCTCTACAATTTTTGTCAATGTAGCTTGTTTTGGTTGTTTTCAAAAAGGTGAAATACTATGCAATCCATTTTCATACGGTAGAAATTTGGTCGCTCAAAGTTCTGTCCATTTTGAAAACAAGGAGTGGTAGTACAAGAAAAAGCATTCGCATGTAACTGGTAGAGCTTTTAACGCTGCATTGTATGGTGTACTTTATTTTTTAATAAAACGGATTACATGATGAAAAGAAAACAATAAAAACCACGTACAGATGATAAGATAAGCTATTGCTACCAGCTAGAGTGATGCAAAAAAAAAAGTCAGTATCAAAATTTTGTTATAATAATCTTAGTTGGAGTAGACCAAATAGCATGGGAGGATAGAGCGAAAGACGCTCTATCTGTTAGTAGAAAAAGAAATTTTTATAGACCTTGGTTTCATGGAATAAGACACCGGCTCACTATTTTTGGATTGCCCTAAGTATCTTGTTGACACCTTCAGGAGCGTCAATCTGCTTTCCCATCTTCTAGCTTTTTTCTACAATTGATCTAGTGCCTACTCTAATTAGGATCGAGAAAAAAATTAATTAAAATGTTCGAAATATTCTCATCGCGTAGTTTGTTTTCTGTGTAAGGTCACTTTCTATGTACAAAAAAAATCGTCAACAGACTAGACAAAACATTGTTTCAAAATATTTTCAACCTCTTTTTTTCTCCTAAAAATGTATTTTACCGCAAATCTGCTAATTTCTTAGAGGTTTTCTTTGTCAAAGGGACCGAAAAAAGCGTTCAGTATTCAAAGTTTGGATGTGTTCATTAAGGGAAGTTTCACTGTATATATAAGGAAGAGAGTTTGTCTATTTGTTTGTTCGCTATGCATTCAGTCCCCGTAGTAGCTATCGGCGTGAAACTTTCCACAATGCTTCCTGAGATCCAGAGGGAAGGTCGACATCTCCTTTGTCCCGAGAACAAATGACCCAGGTGTCTGCTACAGGCAATCTATGAAACTGACCAATAGAATTGCGAGATGTGAAAAATTGCAGCGGATCGGTAGCGAAGACCGCCTGAGCGCTCAAAGACAACAATCCATGTGTTCTCTACGCCTATGATAGTTCGGTGAACGCTACAGATAATCTGCGAAACTCACCAATAGCGTTACAGGATCTCAAAAGATTAAAATAAAACGAGCCTTCATGAATTCGTATCAAACATAATAAAAGTAAATTATGTCCCCTTTAACCATACCATCATCGTAAATTAATATTGTATGGTATCTTGGATGATTCATGTTTGTTAAGACAGAACGCAAAAAAGGTGCCTTCGTTTCTTTTCTTGTTTTTTCTTAATGCAACGTGGTTGGTTTCATAATGCTTCGCGCGATAAACAGCAAAATTTCCAACGCATAAGTTGGAAAAAACCGTTTTCGTCCTTTACTTCTGCGATAATTGTAAGCAAATTGGTTCTCGAATAAAGGTAAGGCTTTCTTTGGCAAAATAGAAATTTGCTTTTGGTTCGACACTCTATCCGTACATTTCTCAGTGAATACTAGTTATTATTACGTCATATTTCGACGTATTTGTTGATCAGCATAGCCTTATGTGTCGTATTCAAAGCTAAAACTCGTTATTACAATTATTATTTTACAGAGTCAATGGGTGTTAAGCATATGAAAAAACTGATAACCGTAATGAGATTTTATCTACTATTGCATAATAGTTATGATACAAAAGCAATTCCGAAAGAAAAACTTTGTTTTTGTCGTACAGTTACAGATTTTATGAGCGGCAACCAAAAAATATTTAATATATATGATCGTTTCTTGAAAAATATCTATGAATTGTGATTGACGTCTATTGAAGGGGCATTACGATTGAATAATTTTCTGATGAACAACTGGCCGATTACACAATAAACATTTGACGAAGTTTTATTTTCAGCTTTTTCAGATTAACATATATATCTGCTGAGCTCGTGTTCATATATTCCCAATTACAGTAATTGTGTTATAAATAACAATGCCACCATTATCGAATGAAGATTCTATTCATTACACATGGATGTATGTTTCAAAAAGACAGGATGATCTGAAATCTTCTCATGATGGATGGAAGTCATATTCAGAAGTGAGTATTCATATTCTGGAGGAAGCATTAGCAGCTGGCAAAAGCAAAGTTAAACTGGACGCAGGCCTGGTTGATCTTCAACACCTAATACAATATTCTCATGACGACAATGGCAAAAAAATTGCTATCAAGAGACTTAAACGTGATGATAATGAAAAACGACTACGCAAGAATCGATTTATATCAAATCCTGCGTTCGTGAAGAACATGAACCAAAGCATTGGTGTTTATTGGGTTTTGTTTATGACTGAAGTTCGAAAGTTTCTTCGGTTGACAGACAATGCGTTTCCATCTCAAAATCAAAGGATTATACCAGAAATTGTGGACAAAGCAATCAGTGGTATCATGGAAGAAGGAGCAAATATGGGCAAGCAGTGTGAAGCTGAATGGATTGCTAGACAATTGACGAAAACGAGAGACAGCGGGATGGCAGCTGTATGGGAATGTTGTGCTAAACTATATGCAAAGGAGAGTTTCCTTTATGAAAATGTGCATCGAGCCATGAATTTTGTCGGTCAGCCGGATCATGAAATGGTTTGGCTTAGCAAGATTCACACATTGGGTCCATTCTGTTTATTACTCTCGGATAATCCGTTGTGTGACAAAGCCATGAAAATAAACACAAAAATCTATCGAGGAGTAGATTTATCTGCAGCCGAGCTCGATTCATACAAAAACGAATGTTTTGAACAATCAAAGTCTACGTTCATCTTATCGTCATTTACATCATGCAGTCGAAACAAATTCATTGCTGAACGGTTTGGTAATACGCTATTGATCTTTGAAATAAAACAAGCAGCGACATTTGACCTTGTGCCATTTTCCAATTATCCAGAAGAGGAAGAAGAGGTATTTTATCCAGGATCTCAATTCGTTATCGAAAATGTGGTATTTAACACAGCACAGAAAAAATATGTGGTAAATATAAGTGTACAATATAAGCATGGTCAGTGAACACTATTTGAATTTTACTCGAAAGATTGTAATTCTCTTCATACAGTAAGGATATACGTGTTCGCTTCGAAGACAAAGCCCGACGATCGTGATCATAATCAAAGGAGTTTCTGACGTTGACTACTATCGAAAAGGAAACTAGTTTTGAAGTAATATTCGCGGAAGTTCGAATTCGAAGAATGTTCAAATACTCCTACCTCAGTAGAAGATTGAGGAGGAAACAGCACGTGATGTCGACGGACAAAGATTTCGGTATGAGTTTAGAAAATATTGATAGGTACCGCCGCAACGTGTGACCTCGGTGTAGTTCATTTTCCTTTTCACATAAACACGACACACGTCGAATTGAATTTCACATATATATGAATAGCATCGTTTTCAGATATGAATACGTTACTACCTTCTGTATCTATAGTGAGCGACATGACCACTGATCAACTCAAAACTGGTTCCATTTATACAACCATGAAACAGTCTTTTGATACACAATTTATGTCCGAAAAGCGTCTGAACAGGCCTTTAAAGTCGATTATTACAAATATAGTGACAAAATCACAATTTTTGACAAATCTAATACCACAGAAGCAAAAGGTATACTCAAACATAGAAATTCAAGCAGCTGGCTTTTCTTACACAGGTGTAGAAGACACCGCTCGTTGCCAAGCGTGCGGACTTGAAGTGTCCGAATGGACAGCGGATATGAAACCGTTTACTATTCATAAGCAACGAAGTCCAGTATGTGCTTATGTTCGGTCGATGATGCCTGAAAAGCCGATTATAACTCCAGTGACGATCATGTCAACAACAGACGATGATTATAATCCAGCAAAACGACAAAAGAAAGATTTTATTGAGGAAATTTGTGAGAGTAGTGTACTGACAGAAATCACTCTGTTAGCGGAGGCGCGACGCCGATCATTTTCTCATTGGCCTCCACACATGTGTCCTTCGAGTGCACAAATGGTTGCTGCAGGTTTCTTTAGTTGTAACGTTGGTGATCGAGTGATATGCTTGTATTGCAATCTAATCTGTCAGCAGTGGAATGCTGAAACCGATGACCCAAGCGAGATTCATAAGAAACTCTCACCAAAGTGTCCGTATGTGATTTCAATGACAAAACGTCGACAGGATCGAACGATTTTTATAATGAACGATCCGGATATCAGAGAAGGTGTGGGTGACGCGACTGTCAATGATCCATTTCGATGTAATGAGATGGTATACACTGCTGCATGTCATACCGCTTATATAGAAATTCCACGTCGACAAGCATCGTTTGCGACATGGCCAGACGAAAATCTTCCGCCCGTCGATGAATTAGTACGAGCAGGCTTCTTCTATGCAGGCTCAAAGACAGTCGTCACCTGTTTTTACTGCAATGGATCATTACAAAACTGGGGTCCAAACGATAATCCAATGATTGAACATGCGCGCTGGTTTCCAAACTGCGCCTATGCTAAGCAGCTGTGTGGCGTTGAGTTGTACAAAAAGATTCAAGAATCGAAAAAAGCTCAACAAGGTTTGATATCATCTGGCGCAGAAAAGTAGTTGATTGTGTATTCTGTAATTTAGAGAGAGCGAAAGCAAACGATGCTAATAAACAAGATGGAAAGACGAATAGTACTGTAGGCAGAGGACAACTGATTATACCTGATGAAAGTGCTTTATCACGACTGGTGGCCGCTCGACTTGACCTGCCTGTCTCTCAAAGACTACTCATTCTGGAGTTCAAACTATCATTAATTAAACGTTGTTGGGAGGATCAGCTAAGATTAAAACGTAAAATAAGCTTTGATGCATAAATCTTTCGGAAAATTATTCCACGAAATTTTTTTTTACGTTTTGTTCTGCAGGTGATGATTACCTTGATCAAATTGACCTATTCATCTGTTGTATTATTCTTCAACGACAGATCGATTGTATTGGCGGAAAGAAAGAGAACATTATCGTACCGCGTGTAACTATGAAGAAACTTCGTGAACAAGAACAAGCTGGTATGCAAACTGAAAACCACTAGATAAGCCTATTGCTATGCTTATATCACTATAGATGCTGCTGCACGCGAACAATCGGCTGCTACGAATACAGAAGCGAATGTTTCTAATACCACAGACATTGAAATGACGACGTCATCTGCAAGTAGCACTACTAGCGATCAAAACATGGAACAGCCAGTTGGCAGTGTTCAAAATGAGAAAGATAAAAAAACATCAGCTGCAAGAAAATCGGACGATAGTCCAACAGAAATTCCTACGGCGAATCTGTGTGTTCTTTGTTTGGAAGAGGAAAGACGTCTTGCTTGTATTCCATGCGGCCATCTTGCTACATGTGTCCCATGTGGTCATTCTCTTCGATCGTGTCCAATATGCCGTACAAATATTGATGCTTTTATGCGGATATATGTGTGAGAAGATGTTTTTCACATTTATTTCCCTCAATTGACTGACTTGTTTTTAATATTTCTTTAAACACTTTCGAAGATACAATCTTCGATGCTGCTAATCATCTTCCGAATTCTAAAAAGTAGTGTGAAAGATTCTGGATCGAATGTCTCTCAGTCTGTCATTGTTGAATATAGCAAGAGAATTCCCTTAGACAATAGATGAAGAGAAAAGTATGAATCAGGTGTTAAGTTTGTATGAGCAACCGGGAGCGTTCTCAGAGGAGTATCATTAGGAAAGAGAGTATTTACTCATTATATGTTTTGTGAAGTTCAATGTAATTAGTGCTTCGAATTTTTCGCTTCTTGCCTTTCGAATTAGAGACATCTTCTATATAGACTTCACCCTGACGAATAGTCTCGGCAACATGTATTAATACAAAATGTGTGTTTTCACAAGATTCGGGTAAGGTTTCGATATGTATACGTATCGTTATACATATTTCACAAACGACAGACATGCAGCCAGTCGCTTATCGAGTACTAAGCATATATAGACGTGTTAAGCTATCAGTCAAACAGTTTTTAGAACTCAACATACTTTTTATTTCTATGACTTTTCCAAATACATTCAGAATACTCTAGAACTGTTTGAGCGCATCGTGAAAAAGTCAAAGAAAAACAGAGAACGACTAAATGACATTTCTTCGCATATACGGAGAAATGAAGACGAGAAGTGAGAGAAGCGAATATAATATAATTCCTGTTTTCTGTATAGAAACTATATTGAAAATCAAACTTTTTACAGAAAAATACTCGATGAGCTCCACGTTCACTTCGGTTAGCAAACAGAGAAGTTCAATGGATAATAGTTGCAAGATCGTATAGCAAAGTCTATTGTCTTCTCTAAGCAAGATACTGTTCCACTCGTTTTATTTTTTATCTCAATGTATACTAAAGTAACATTCTTTCCAGAAACTTTCGCATCACTCCTTTGTTTTTTAACCATGATTTCTTTTGTTTTACATATGTCTATCTTGACGCTACCATCGCCAGACATAACGATTAAGAAATGGTTTGTTGTCAATGTGTTTAGAACTTCAAAGCACTACCGGTTTCTGTTAGTTCTTTTGCATATTGAAATAAACTACTTAAATATTATGAGCAAACTTTTCGAATGATCATCGGTTTCCTATCGAAATCCGTACTACATCGTGAAATGAAAAGTATCAAACATGTCACGCGCATCGGAATATTCTTTAACAAAGTATAGCATAGTCAGTTGCACACATTCTCAAATTTCTTTTTTTATATAGCTAACAACACTTGGTGTGAGATAAGGCGCACATTTACCAGGTAAAAAACCTACATATTGTTTTTGCGTCATATATACGAGGGAAAAAATGACCGACAATGGTAAAAACAAAATATCAAGTCATAAACGCTGTATGCATGGCCCAACACAAGGGATATAACATTGCAATCCGAATCGTCGATGGAGAATGAATCCAATGTTTCGGATAGTGGTTGCGACAGACAACTTCGAGTCTCAGTTGTTCAAGTTCATTGATGGTTTTCATTAGAATCGAGAGATTGCTCAAGGTATCGATTTATGCTCTTGAAATATAACGACTAGCAGTGGAGAGAGAGAGATGCCGCTCGATTATAGTATCAGAACATCCTTGTGGGTAATGCATTCAAAGCTACTCTATATAAGTTTCGCTAAGTAAAACTTCTTCAGAGTACAACACGAGTATGAGCGTCGAGCCTTATTGATTCATGACTTTCTCTTTCGAATACTATGCACAAAAGTGAGTTGTAAGAAATGATGTAGCACCTTCACCAGTTACTAATAATGAATGATCAATTTCCTGTTCTTTCCTTCATTGAAAAACCATCAAGAGAAATTAGAATATCATTTACAGTTTCGTTACACGGAAATAGCCCTGTCCATTAATTAAATTGCTTGGGACACGCTGTTTTGTTACTAATAGATTGTGAAACATTTCTATTGCTGTTCTCACGCATGTTTTAAAATCGACCACACTAAAGACTGACGATTTCGAATCTGTTTTCATCATGCTGTATAGAAAAAGAAAAGGAAAAAGCAAACAAATGGGATAGTGATAGAAACTACGTTAACGATGTTTTCTTTTTCTACTGTTTTTTCATACCTCAAAAACAGTCACATGTATAAACCAGTATACGTCATGGTATTAACCAATGGAATTCTCCTCCTTATCATTTTTTGGAATATACCTATCTGTATAGGAGCATTTATAAGAACTTGCCACACTCAGTGTTCCCGATTGTACACAGTTGTTCCTAGTGTATTCTTGATTTCAACTGATACTTTCTTCGTGTTTTCGTAAAGATTCTATCTCATCATAGCCACTATTTACATTGTAGAATTCAATTTCCTCCTTGCTGTTGCTAATCAATGCTGCAAACAAAACATATCTGTCAACATGAATCTTCGCACATGTCAAGATTAAATACAAATGTCTGTTCCAAATCAATTCTCAATAATAACAAGTATAGACTTATGCGTGATGTATGTCTTCAGCTCAGCAGAAAACAAGGTGTACATTCGAACATTACAATGCAAGCAACAGGTTTTTCCTATACAGGCAATGCAGATACTGCTCGCTGTGATACATGTGCACTGGAAGTATCCAACTGGACACTAGATATGAAACCGTTCACCATTCATGCACAACAAAGTCCAAAATGCGAATTTGTTCGTTCTATGCAACCGTCCGACACAACAACTTCCTCACACATACACGCTACAGTACAATGCACATCATCTTCACCATCACATGGTGAAGATAGACCATCCAAACGACAAAAGATAGATTCTCCACTAGTACCTATGCAATCAAACGTGCTAGTGGAAGCGGAAACTATGAAACAAGTGCGTCGACGAACGTTCTCACACTGGCCTCAGCGATCATCACCATCGGTCGAACACATGATTGAAGCAGGTTTCTTCAGCTGTAACGTTGGTGATCGTGTGATATGCATATACTGTAACATAATCTGTCAACAATGGATGCAACACACGGACGATCCTCGAGAAGTGCATAGGATCCTATCACCACAATGTCCATTTGTCACTGGGATACTAACACAAGCATCTGCATCATCAATTCCTATTTTAAATGATAAATCTAATGATAAATCTAATGAAAAATTCGCTCCTGCTATTGATAATATCACCCAATTGGGCCATATAGCCACTGCGAATGCATGTCATGCTTCTTACAAAGAAGTGCATAAACGATATGCGTCATTCGAGAAATGGTCCAGTTCGAGTACGCCGTCAGTTGACGATCTAGTCAATGCTGGATTTTTCTATACTGGAACGGGATCACAAGTGACATGTTTCTATTGTAGCGGATCTTTGGAAAATTGGGGGCCAACTGATAATCCAAAGGTAGAGCATGCGCGGTGGTTTCCACACTGTGCTTATGTTAGGCAGGTATGCGGAACAAAACTTTATAGAGATATTCGAAGAGCGCAGCAAGATTACAAAGGTACACGGGATTGTTTCAGTAAAATATTGATTAACGAATTATTCGTTCAAATTTTAGAACGTGCTGAAACGAACAAATTAAATCGCAATAATCAGATGACAACAGTCGCTGCAGATAAGAAAAGACCGAATACCATCGATGAACTCACATTGGCCAGGCTCGTAGTTGCTCGACTCGATTTACCATGTTCACAAAGATTACTTCATCAAAACTTCAAATTGTCCATTGTCAAACGTTGTTGGGAAGATCAACTCCGTTTGAAAAGTAAGCTATAGGATATACTGACATTGAATGAAATGCAACTCATTCTAATCTTTATTCTCTACTCTTTAGACAATGATTTCGACAGTGATATCGATCTATTCATTGCTTGCACAATACTTCAAAAACAAATCCAATACATTGATGGGAGAAAAGATAAAATTCTTGTACCAAGTGTTGCATTAAGAAAAGTAGACGAAAGTGCACAAACAGGTAATGACAATTCTTTTATACACAGAACTAAAAACTGAGATAAATGTTAATTTTAGAAAATCTTCAAACTAAACAGACGACAGTTGAATTAGAAGTGGAAAAGACATCGAATTCTATTAGTGCTGAAATGGCTGTATCTTCTGACAAGAAATCAGAATTTGTTGACAGGAACTCAAGCAAGCTGGACGAGATCAAGTCAGATAGTACTACAAAAAACGTCGTTCCGAAAAAATCTGATCCTTGTGTTTTATGCTTGACTGAAGAGAAGTGTCTGGCTTTCATGCCTTGTGGACATGTAGCTACGTGTGTACCATGTGGACATTCTCTTAGATCGTGCCCCATGTGCCGTACAGAAACAAAAGCTTTTCTACGTGTATATTTGTGATATTTTCTTATTTATTTTTTGAAAAGAATGTAGTGAACTGTTGCCGTTAAAATAACAGTTCCACTCACCCAAATATGAAAAGTCACTTGGAATAATCTGAAGGAAAATGTTTTGCCGGTATAGATTTCATTTCAACTAAGAGCTTTTCAGCAAATATTCAGTTACCATCAAGCTGTTGCGTTATATAACAACGACACCCATTGATCTTTAAAATAATTTTTACCTTTATAAAATATATTTACTATTTGATACTTGTTTTCCAATGGTTATTAGCCTGTGCCCAATTGGAGAACAGGTAATAAGCTTGGTTGGAAAAAACCAAGCAAAGTAATATTTTAAATTCTTCTCTCTGATTCGTCGTGTGTATATAACCAGTCAAAACTTAAGTTGCACCACGTCCAATCTGTTTCGACTTTCTCAAATATACACCTACATTCAAATTGCGTAGTAGAATTACTGTAGGTACAAAACCTACCACTATGGTAGTAATGCTCTTTTATACGATAAAACTGATGCATTTCTTCGATGTTATTTGTTGTACATGAAATGTTGCGGATATTCAACATTTATTTCTTAGCATGTCTAGGTTTCAAATTTTCGGATTAGCCAGCCTTTTCTAAGATCGATTTCGGCGTCTATTTCACACAGCATACGTATAAGGTGCTTAAAATTTCCCTTAAATATTCGCCGATTATGATTGCCCATATTTTCATCGGAAGTGACTCCATTGAAATCATTGGCGCATCTCATCTTAAGGTGATGTTTCTTTAAATTTCTGTCATGGTCCAGAAGGTAATCTGGAGTGAATCTACAATTCATCTCTTGGCATCAGTATGATCATAATCGATTTACCTTTTATTTAGATACTTTTTGACACATATGGAGCATCGCTCAACGATAGTCAAACTCATGAAAATGCTTCGTAAACGTTGGCCCCTGAGACAAGGTGTACATTCGAACATTACAATGCAAGCAGCAGGTTTTTCCTATACAGGCAATGCAGATACTGCTCGCTGTGATACATGTGCACTGGAAGTATCCAACTGGACACTAGATATGAAACCGTTCACCATTCATGCACAACAAAGTCCAAAATGCGAATTTGTTCGTTCTATGCAACCGTCCGACACAACAACTTCCTCACACATAAACGCTACAGTACAATGCACATCATCTTCACCATCACATGGTGAAGATAGACCATCCAAACGACAAAAGATAGATTCTCCACTAGTACCTATGCAATCAAACGTGCTAGTGGAAGCGGAAGCTATGAAACATGTGCGTCGACGAACGTTCTCACACTGGCCTCAGCGATCATCACCATCGGTCGAACACATGATTGAAGCAGGTTTCTTCAGCTGTAACATTGGTGATCGTGTGATATGCATATACTGTAACATAATCTGTCAACAATGGATGCAATACACGGACGATCCTCGAGAAGTGCATAGAACCCTATCACCACAATGTCCATTTGTTCGTTCCATCTCTAATCACCACCTATCATCGTTGTCAAACAACGGCGATCCATGTGAACTAAAGTCTGAAATGCTTGAAGGCGCTTTTCACCAAGCTTATGTTAATCCTAAAGACCGTCATGCTTCTTTCAAAAACTGGCCAACAGAACCTCTTCCGTCAGTTGACGATCTAGTCAATGCTGGATTTTTCTATACTGGAACGGGATCACAAGTGACATGTTTCTATTGTACCGGATCTTTGCGCAATTGGGGGCCAACGGATAATCCAATGGTAGAACATGCACGATGGTTTCCACGCTGTGCTTATGCTAAATATGTTTGTGGAACAGAATTATACCAAAAGGTGCAGGGTACGGTTCGTCGAAACGAAAGTATAATGAATTAGACAGGTATTTATGTTTTATTCCTATTGCTTTTATTCAGAGAACAAAGCACGCTCAAAAATTGGTGTTCAAGAAACAACTACGGCTACTGCTCCAGTTAATACACCTTCAGGAACATTCGACAGTGGCGCATTAGAAAGATTAGTAAGTGCTCGGCTCGATTTACCATATTCTCAAGAGTTGCGTTCTCAAAACTTCAAATTATCTATTATCAGACGTTGTTGGGAAGATCAACTCTTGCTCAAAGGTAAGGAATGAAGGTTATCTGGACATTATTATCACTAATTTTCCCTTATCGTATCGCCACAGATGATGATTTTCACTCTGAAACTGATTTATTTATGGCCTGTACGATTCTTCAGAAACAAATCGAAAATATTGCTGGTAAAGCAGAAAATATCATTGTACCTAGTGAACATTGTAAAAAATTGCCAGTGAATCCCGAATCAGGTATGCTTTTGAATAACTCTAAGGATCATATTGGTCGATTGAAGTAACAATTTTTCGTTTAGGAACTGTGCAACCTTTACTAGTTTGCAGGTTATGTACAACAAACGAAAAACAGCTGGCATGCATTCCTTGTGGCCATTTTTCTATCTGTACGCCATGTGGACATAAATTACGATCGTGTATAGTATGTCATAAAGACATAGTGGGTTTTGTGCGCGTATATTTGTAAATTTGCTCGACCGATTTTCAATTAATTTATAGTTTTATGTAGAAGTAAATTCTGATTATTGTTAATAAATTGTAACGCAAAGCGAAACAGCACTTAATGGCTTCCAATACGTAGAATACAGAAAGATGATCTTGCTAAAGAGCATACGTGTATGAGATTCATAATCAAATTGTGTTAATAAACGTATGCTCTATTGCTTTTGATCTGATCACTTGAAAAATAAAACTTGAATATCGATATACTTGTCTTGGAGGAAAGAAACATTTCTTTCTTGCATCGTCAACTACGTAGAAGTCACACATGAATCCCAATACATCAGACATCTTTTTTTACGCATTGAATTAAATTAATTTTCAACGATGATTCGAATATTCTTCTTCTCCTTAATTTAATCGAACTTCCAACATAACTCTCTTGTTAAGATATCCTTGCTTCAATTAGAACATCTCAAGAGCATTACTCTTCTAATCTCGTTATCTCGATTTATTCGATTACATACAGGAATTACACGCACTCTTTCTATTAATTCATTGATTTCAATACTCAAGAGTTCCAAGAAATCGTTCGCTTCTATTCTCACTGATCAAACGCGTGTATCATTTCGTATATTTCTAAAATTTGACCGAGAAAAACAAAAAAAATACACTGTATGCATATGCACATACATTTACAGTACAAAAAAATCTGTTAGTAAAAGAACGCACAGAAAATAGAAGAAAAAAGTCGCACGGAAACAAAAAAATTGTTCAGATTCGTAGCACCTGGTCACAAATGTATATAGAGAAAAAAAAGAGAGTTAAATCATCGTTAAATTATTCGTAGACATTGTAATATTTATTGATGCTGTTGGATCATGTATCGGTAAATTACTTGTGAATGCACCAGTTTTGGGGAACATAACAACGAGAGAGATAACAAACCAAATACAGTAGATAAAGAAAAATGTACGATCAATGACAAGTGCAACGCTCTTCCAATCGTCGGCATTCTTGATCGATTGATCTGTACTTTCAATTTTCTTTTTCATATGTCGGAGATAATCTCGGACTTCTTTGAGATCGTTCTCGATTGAACGTAAGTTTAAATTCAGCGCCGCCATGGTTTCACTTGTACTCGAATTTTCATTGATTAAACCTTGCTTTTGTTGCTGATGGTATTCATGGAAGCGTTGTTTGAGTAATCTGAGTTTCTTCGAAAATTCTTCTTCGTGATAGTGCGGCGTAAGAAAGATTTGTTCCGGTAGAACAAGAGCACCAGGGGAGGGTGGACCGTGACGAGACGACACATTCGCCGGTACTGCTGGCGGTGTTTTAGGAACCATACAATACAAGCGTCCGAGAAAGTGAAGAAATATGCGACGCACCGTTGGGGAAATTCCTTGACGACGATCGCCACGAACGTAGATATGGATGACGACAGTGGCAAGAACGCCTGTTACACACACAACAACCATGTTAACGCAATAATAATAGCCAATTTTTGGCGTGCCACCGCCACCTAACATAACAAAAAGAAATTCGGTTAAATTTCCTCGCAAAAGATCCATGGAACGGTTCCGACTGTTGAAATAATCATCCTACGCGATGCCAAACAATAATCGAATCATATGCATCCTCAAATAAGAATAAGATTAAATGTAGATGCAGGAAGAAACGAAGAGGAAATGTGCTTTGTTTATCAAGTTTTTTATGAAGTATTAGATCAGATGGACAGTCTACGCGGAAGTATTGATCAATACGGGAAACAAAAAGAAGCTAGACTTCAATCAATCCTACCCGATGTTGTAGATTAGGAATTCGACTGTCTAAAATATCATGTCAAGAAATAGGAGGCCTATGTATAGTCCATAGCAATGGAATGAAGGAGATTGTGTTGTATTGAATTCATCGCGAGAAGATCCGAAGGAATATTTTCCTCGTCTGAAATTTAACACTAATTGATGCATAACTAAGTGTAAAAGAACGATTTGAGTCCACGTCGAGGAGATTTTAATTTTTCTACTTAAGGTTTCTTTAACCTACGCTCCTCGATGCTAAGAATTTCTCACGCAATGTCGACATTCATCAAATAAAGAATTCCACTGATCTATCATATATCAAGTGGAAAAAAACGGAGAGAAAGAAAAGCACGTTTTCGTTCATACTCGGCATAGATTCAGCCAGCAGAAGTAATAGAAGAAAAAGGCCGGAGAAGATCGAGACAGTTAAGATCATTTTTGCTGGCGATTCAGGTGGAATCCAAAAGACAACCATCGTTGCTGCAGATAAAAGTAAACAAGGTAATATTAAAATATAACCATAGAGGCCACCTTTGCGTTCGATGATTAACGTATATTTTAACAAGGAGAACGTTCCATTAGCTAACGACTTTTCCGCTTCGAGTTGATCGATTTTCCATTCGTTCGAAACTATGTACGAAGTCATATCCATACTTTTCTTATTATCTTTGAATTCTAATTCCACTTTCGTGTTATCGTATGTCCACGAACGGTACTCCAATGAACATTGATGGATATCGAAAGGGAAATTAGTTATATCGAGGAAACAGATACTGAATTGCATGATGGCAGGAACATATAAAACATCACCTGTGCTTTGTATGACGGCCGAGATTTCTCGCCAATCTTTCAGACGTTCATCAGCGTAATTATAGAGAACGACATCCTAACAATAACACAAAAGAAACACATATGTCAAAATATAAACATCGTCGTCTTCCGCCCTACTGGTGTCCAGATTGAATCAGCTGGCAGACATACAGTAGCTAATCCACCATAATCTTTCGGATCCCAAACGAGATTCATATCTTGCCAGGTGAATGTTTTCCATGTATTTGTTTGCATTTTTTGACCGGTCGAACCCAAATCAAATAACTGTGTGAATGTTAAACCAAATGTGATTACTAATGGTTGAGATACATTGCGGATTGGACGTGCATATATCGTCGGATAATTATCAAGTAAATCGCGAATGAGACGTTTCTCAAATGTTAAACGTTTAGTCTTTCGCTGAATAGACGAATTCGTCGAGGATGTTGATGATGAATGGGACTGATGATGTTTTGCTTGTTGATGATCTTCGCCATTGACTTTATTAACACTGTAGAAATCTAGTTTAACAAATGAACAGATAAAAGGTTTGATATCGACACATTTCTTATCATAGTAGAAGATCTGTTGATAGGTGTTAAATAGCGAAGAAGACGTCAATAATACCCAACCAAGAACAACTTTATTTCGAGCATCTTTCTCTTCTCGAACTATATTAATCGCGTTTACGTTCATGAATATTCTATTACACATATCCTGGTATTCATATCATATTTTTCTAATCCCAACAGTAATAGATACGCTTAGTTCCGGGTTTTCCCTTCAGTAATTAGCAACTCGGTAATCTGATCAATTGATCAACGAAACAAAACACGAGACTTTTTGTTCTCCATTGTTGAGAATTATAAATAAAAGATATGTATTTCTTCTAAACAAAACTAATCATGAAAAAATAAATGTATTGTTAGGAAGAAAAAGAGCTCATGTATTTTAAATGAGTTTCAGCTGATTGTTTATGTACGACTATGTTATTTTTTGCCACATCGGTTCTCGTACGTTCCATTCCGTAGGAGCAAACTGACTTACTCGAAGGATAAACATTGAAACAAATCTTTGGCTTTTTACCTTGAGACGATTGATCTTTTTGTTGTTGAACTTGTGATGATTGTGAGAGAACAATCGTGATGTTGAGCATAACGAAAAACAACGTTATGCCGATCAGACGTAAAACTGTCGTTAAGTAACACGATCTTACATGGTGATATTTAACATGATTGCTTAGGTATTGTTCATCGTCGTAACTAATTAATTTTTCATGTGCTAAGTAGCGACAATAGTAACACATAGTATTCTTGCGACCGTTTTGTTATATGTGGTTGTTTTTGTCGCCGTTCATCCAAGGGATTTATCTGGAGAGAGAGAAAGTAGATGAAGAAGAAAAAGAGAAGCAGAAGAAAGAAATGAAGAAGGAAAAGCTGATGTACACAAATCTTATCATAGAGCCATTATAAGTAAATGTAATTACCAAAAGAAAATGAAGGAATGAAAGTGAAAAGGATTTTCTTTCCCATCTGCTTCCTTTACTATTCAAATAGCAGTACCTGATCTCCTTTATCACAACATAGTATTTGTCTCGAGATTGGACGTGGATTTCAACATGAAGGCCACGGGAAAAGAGTTTTGACATTCATCTGTTGATGGATTCGATGCCGATGGGTGAATTTTGTTTTTCCATTTTCTTTCCTTATGTACTCATTGCATCGTTCCTGTCATCACTGATAGATCTAACAAATCCACAACTAGAGAATAGATAGATAGTTGCATATGTATATGATTAGACTTATCTCCCTCGTCTTCTAACAAATAAAAATCGAGAGCGCAAGGAAAAGTGCATATGCTTTTGTATACGCGGAATTAATCTAAACAAGGAATTGTCGACATTTATAGAAGGATACTACTTGACAAGTTGACACAATTAAATTTTCTTCTTTTTTTTTCTTTTTTCGTCTTCATCATCTTTCTCTAGTTATACTGATGATTAGAATGAGAGTCTTCACCCTTCTGCTCATTTCCGCACAGTCTTCCTACTTGACGTCATTTACAATTGCTCGAGAACTATGTGACTATATGTATGAATTGGCCTTTATATACTCCCCCATCAAAAAGAAAAAGGCAATAAAAAAAAGAAGAAGAAGAAGAAGCATTCTATTCAATATACATAGTCGATGAATGAAAGAGAAAGAATGCGATAGAGTTTTATCTTGTTAGAAAATATAGCATACAGGAAGTTGATTACAAACTCTCATTACCGTCTACGAAAAAGCTCTCTCCTATCGATTCTTCTTCTTCACAGATCGAGGTCTATGTCATGTGCGTGAAAGAGAGAAACAAAAAAGACTTTATTCTCTACTTATCGCTTTCTAATCGATTACATATGTATAACAAGATGAGTAGATCTCGTCATTATGTCCAAAGACATGTGATACATACGCATGTCTGTATGCATAGATTTTGCTCAAATCAATTACAAAGAAGTATCTCTCGTCATGTACGCATTAAGCTGACGAGTAGTCAGATCTGTTTAAGATAGAACGAAGTTAGTTAAATGATGATGTCAGCGAGAAAAAAGAACATACTGTTCGCAATTCTCCGGAGATATTCAGTCAACATATTTGATCGATTTAATAAAAGCCAAAGAGAAACGATGAACGATGTAAGAAAAAGTTTATTACGAACGGTCCACATCTCTTATAACAAAATGTAATTTCGTAAATATTAAGCAGATAATTGCATAGTACCATAAATCACCACGTGAATATTTAACAATTAATGAATAAGTAATTACTATTGTGAGAAAATTTTACCTAGTAATCGCGAGAGGAAGAGAAGAGCTATATGTAATCGTAGTCATCGAAGTGTGCCTTATAGATTTCTGTCGTTCTTTCTCTTTATGTTCTCTGAAAACAAAGACCAACAGGCACAAGACAAAAATCGGTCGCATTTCCTTCTTATTTGTGTCTCTATATGTGTTCTTTTTTTTTCTTTTTCTACTTCTTTTGCTTCCCTGATGTTCTCCATTTTCATCATCATCATCATCATCTCCTTCTCTACTCTATTCTACTTTACTCTACTAGATCTTTGCGTTTCTTCTGTCACCATCATCACTATTATCATTCATTCATTCATTCATTCGCTAGTGTGCATTCCTCTTTGCCTCAAGCTATCGAGCTACGAACAGAAATAATAAATAAAATAGTCTAACTCGTTTTTCTTCTTCCTCTCCTGCTGCCTCTCTTCGCTCTCTCTCTCTTCTTCGTATCTTGAGCATTTTATGTTTCTCTCTTCTTCTTTAGACTGAAGTTCGTTTTGTTAAATCAATTATAAAATTAAATTATTCCAATGAAAAGAAATTTGGAATACACTTAGACAAGGAAAAACTTGAATGAGACTAACAATAATGCCCGACACGATCGATAATCATTTTCAAAGAACCGGCTTTCCTTACTGATCATATTAGATTTTCTAAAGCTTATTAGCAGAAAAAAAATCAAACTATCATTGACGAGATGGTGAGGGAGTACAAATCTTCTCTGTTCATTCACACAAAACATCTCGCCTGTACAGAACATGTCATCATCTCTTCTTAACTGACGAGATGATAATCATTTGAAAGCGTAAACAACTGTATGTTATCGAAAGATAATCATGAGGAACATCAACATGTCGCCATTCCAGCCGGTGTAGCAATATTCGGATTAGGAAAAGAATGAAGTTTAAATTTAGTAACAATAATAAAATAACAACTCATTTACGAATATTTCCTTGACTAAATTGCAGAGAGAGAGAGAGAAAAGAAAATGTTGTGTTACAATCAAAATGCGACACTCGCTACAGTTGCATGTATTGGTCCCGATCGCCTGCAATCTTTCCGTTCAAGACTACTTGACAAATGTATCATGATTCAATAACTGTTGTAATCGAAAATGTTTCCTTCATCGTTCTTTCTTTTGTCCTTCAACACTACTCCTATCATTTCTATTCCAGTAACATCCATCTATCTATCTCTATATGCATCATCAAGCAACTAACGGCCAACTATCAAACTCGATTTGTTGCATACGATGACAGCGCTGATTAGAGACATGCAACGAGTATATAAGCCGTGTGTTGATTATACGAGTCATCTAGGAATAAAACAAAATATATATCTATATCTATATCTATGTCTATATAGATATAATATATAGCTAATTCAATTAAATTGAGACGCCTGAGTGAATGAAATAATTGAGCGAATACATTGGAAAACTATGGTTACTGGTGACGGTCGTAGAAGAATTATCTATCATTACATTGCTAATAGCCGTATTTCAATTATATGGAGAAAGAAGAAGTGCATTATTTCTTGCGATTGAAAAAGAAAGTTATGAGAGTTTGCGACATCTTGTTCTGATACATAATTGAAGGCAATTGCTAATGACATTGTCGAAAATGAAAAATGGCATTGGAAAATTCTCTATCATATTAACGTCAAAGTATTTCAATTGATTAATTATGACTACGACTAATGAAAGTAGTTCGTCCCAAATGGAACGCTTGACAACGTGTCCCGTTTGTTTGGATAAATTTCGTTCACCGAAAGTCTTACCGTGTATGCATACATTTTGTTTAACGCCATGTTTGACAAATCTTGTCGATCCACGATCACGTGTATTGCGTTGTCCAGAATGCCGACGAGAGCATCTTGTTCCACCAGGTCTATAATTATCTGTATCGATCGGTTTTGTTTACGTTGCTATGTTGTGTTTTCTAGGTGGAGTACAAGGGTTCCCTGCTAACTTAACGATGATCGGATTTTTGGATTTACAGCCAAACACTACTAGTCAACCAGATCGTTGCTCGGTTTGTAGGGAACAGAAACAAAGTACGTGAAAACAGAGGAAATGTTTGCAGAACACGAATTAGTTTTCTAGATCTTGCAAAATGCCACGATTGTTCCAAGCCAATCTGTTCTGAATGTCGCGAATCGCATTTACGTGAAACATCATATAATGTTAGTTCACTGGTTAGTCAACTTCGCCGGAGCTTACCAAAATTAAGTGATAAAATAGCTTCGTACGAGCAGCGTGTTAACAGTGTGCAAACTACTCATGAGCAGATTCAGCGCGAGATTACAGCAGCGATTGCCATGTTAATCGAAGACTTGAAACATCGAGAAACAGCATTATTCACAGAGGCAGAAGTTTATATGCAATCACAGTTAAGGTATGACAAGCCAGAACGATGCGTTTAACGCAAAGACTTGATGGTGTCTTATTTAGAATGTTTCGTCTACAGCAAGAAACAGCAGAGGTAGAGTTGGCAAGTGTTGCAAGTTTCTGTGAATCACTAGAAACGTCTCTAGCAAGGTAAAATATCATTACAGATCTGTTTTTTTTTGTCTGGAAAGTATATGTGTCTAGTGGGCAAACTTTGAACGATGTAGATCTAGCGAATATGCGGTCACAATGTAATCGATATTCAGAGCAAATTCATACATTGGAAACTCAAATGCCTACTGATGTTCAAAAGGTGAGCAGGTAAAGATTCAGCGAGATGCATCTATCTATAATCATCCGTATCATAAAGTTACGATTTACATCTGAAAACCAAACTGCAATATCATCAACTATTCATGAATTTGGTCGTTTGATCGATATCACTGCTCAGACATCAACTAATCATCCACGACATACATCTACAGGACATCCTAACTCAGCACCGAATTATGCTACAACTATATCTAATCCAGTGTACATGCAAGATCAATCCCCACCTGATACATGTGAGTCTATATGTGCACGCAATATCTCCCTGTATCAACCTATTTTATTCTAGATCGACATTTAGAAAATATATATTATTCTCGCGGACCACCACCGATGCTCGTTCGAGCACATCCACCCTCTCAAGCATTTACTTATCGTCCCGCACACAATCACTTCTCCGGTAGTTTTGACAATCCATTTGTTGATCTGAATTTTACAGTTCCAGTACGTCCACACCCTCATCCAACATCTTCGTCGTACATAGGATCGTGGCATCCACAAGCGAATCGTCGGGCGCTATCTATATTTGGAACTAATCCATTTACCTCAAATAATTCTCGACCATCAGCACCACCTACGTCTGAATCAACACCACGGCGCACTGGCCGGTCAATTGAAGGTGACGATCGACCTATTCTTGGCGGAGGAAGGGATAGAGCTCAAATGCCAGCGCCCGTTCAGGAACAAGAACCAACGCCGCCAGTCAATCGGCAACGCCGTGGTACATTTGTACTCGACGAAGCGAGTTTACCTAATTTACCTCAATCCGGTGCTCAAAGACCTCGTGATCCTATAAACGTTCAAGATTTGTATAATGTTAGACCACGCGATCGTGCTCAAACACCTGTTGCTTTCACTATAAATATGAATGAAGTGCCGCAACCACCTGAAGATAATACTTCATAGAACTGTTTTTTTTCATATCATTCCTATCTGTATTTTATTCTGTTAACTATAATACATTATACAAAAAGGTAAAACAAACATTGTTAATTACGATGTGTCATCAGAGCAAGTCGTTGTTGATAATCGACTAAATCTTGTGTTTTAATCTTGTTGATCTAGAAGAAATTTATTAATGCAATGTTCGAAGGAAGAGGAAAGTGTTTACGTACGATGCTTTCGTATTCTTTAACTTTGTTATTCAATTCAATAAGACGTTGTCTCAATTTCACATGGGATTCGTTATGTTGCAATAATTGTGTATCGGTTTGTTCTAAACGTTCGTATGCATTTGATAATTTCAAGCGTAATTCCTGATTTTCTACGGTCATTTCTTGAACGACCTCGTTCTTCTGCTCCAACAGATTTTCGATTTCATTTGTTAATTGCCGCGAATGTAATCGTAGTTTATTTAATATTGTATTTTGGCTGCAAACGAGATCTTCGAGATATGATAAAGATTGATGACGTTCCAATTCAAGTTTTTCTATATTTGCATGGTAATCTTGTTCGCGTTTATTCAAGATGACAGTTATAGCATCGATATTTTCTTCACGCGAACGTTCGAGAGTTTGTTTGACGCTTTTTAACATTAAATTCTATTTTTATAAGAATAAGCATATCGAATGTCTACTTGAAAAGAACATACTTCACGAGTAAGACGATTGATCTCTTCGGTTAATTCCAGACAGTGTTTTTTCGAATTGAGTAACTCGCTTTCAATATCATTGAGACGATTTTGATTCGAGCCAAGTTGATGACGAAGTTGAAGCGTATCCTGTACGATAGATCGAATGTTTCTTCAGTAGAAGACAATGTTGTCTTTTACCTGATTGCTTTGCAATAGTAATTTCTCGAAATCCGTACGAATCTGCATTGTGTTCGCATTGGCTTGGTCGCGTTCACGCATCGCTTTTTGAATTTGAAGTTTTACTGTATCCGACGTCTAATTGCACATCAGAATATTTCGCCTATTGAAATATCGAAAATATCTACCTGACTGAGATCGATTTCTTGCCGTTGAATTCGATTTTTCCATTCGTCTAGATCAGCAGCTAGCGATGTTTTCTCTCTTGCTAATCGATCAATAGTTAATTCATACTGGGCGCACTTGTCCTCCGCTTGATGAATCTGAAAAGCAGGCCAAATAAGACTCAGTCATTGCCTTTCTTCCACTATTCACTTTTTCAGCATTTTCCTTCAAACGTTCTTCACAGATTTTCTCAGCATTTTGTTTTTCTTGCTGGATTCTATCGGTCATTTCGTCGATTAGCTTCTTCAATCGTTTTTGCGTTTCAGCAAGTTCAATTCTCAGTTGATCACGTTCAACAATCGCCTAAAGAGAATACACTTTTCAATTATTTATGTTATATGATGAAAATGACTTGCCTCGTTCTTTTCAAATTGATTTTGTTCAACAATTTGAATGCAATCTTGTAATTTTGCTAATGTACTTCCTTCTTTACTTTGACTTTCATCAAGTTTCACTTGTAATTGTTGTAATTTCCTTTTATTACTTTCATTTTCGCTATAATCAAGTTAACGATGAATAGAAATCTTTGTTCCGGATTAACTCACGTTATGATATCGGCAACTCTTTCATTATGTTCGGAATTGTGTTGACCAAATGGCAGAAGTGCACCACATTTGAGACAATTCATGAGATCATTCGGAGCTTGCCACACACTTTCATATGAACTCAATTTCTCTCTAGAACAACTCGATGAGGTGAGTTTTCATCGATTCTATCCTCTTACTTAGCGTCTTTCAATTCAATTTCCAGATGACGCATTTTTTTCGTATAAAGATCAGCAATCTGTGACTTGAACATGGAAAAAGAAATGGAACATCTTTCGATGAAATACAACTCACTTCTTTATCGGTCATGGATTGTCCATCGTCGATGTTAATCAGCCGAAGCATGTCAGACACGAATGTACTACGAATCTCTTCATGTAATCGATTGTTTTCTTCGATTAATGCAACTACATTAGATCGAAGTTTTGTATTGTCTTCCTGTTGTAAATAGAATATAAAAAAAGAACAACTTTACAATTCTTATTTAGACAGTTACATACAAGACAATGCATACGCTTCATTCTCCTAAACTTACACGTAATGATTCATTTTCATCTCGCAAACGATGGCTTATCTCATCGGCTGCTTGAACAAGTAGATACAGTTCATTTGATTTTGGCGTATCGGTTGATGCCTACGAGGAAAGACAAAAGAGATAATCAGAGCGATAAGTAAGTGTTAACGATTTGTTCATACTTTTAATGAACTTGATGGACGAGTCGGTGTCGCAGGCGATTGATGATGGTCTAATTGGGATAGAAGATCGCGCAGTTTATCAGCTGCTGTGAGTGACTTGTCTAGAACGGTTTGAACGATACACAATGAGGTAAAGTTCGCTTCTCTTCAATACGCACTTGAATTACTCGACGTCATGGGCATCGAAAGAGCTTGAAATTAACAAACAATTTTCGTCATTCTGCTTCTCTGAATTCAAAACCACAATACTTTTGAAAATTTCTATTGAAGAAGCATAACCTCAAAAAAAGAATTGGTTTTGAATTCCACCATGCTTTTCGTTCTAATCGTTGCCTTGGTGATCATATGGACGAACGAGATACGCCACTCTATCTTTTGTGCGATGATATTATTCCTTCAATTTGAAAAGTCGCTTTTTCCAAACCGTTTCTCAGTACAAGTTTTCTCTAATATAAATAGGAAACAAAGATGTCGCTATTATGCATACCCCAGCTCCAATTTTACTTCTTCCACCTCGGAAAATTTGATTACATAATCTTAAGCAAGTAATTCACACTTTGTACCCTAGAGTGAATTATACTAAAGAAATGCATTTACTCGCATGATGAATAGATCGAAAACATATACTCGCTTATACCATTCATCCGGAGGAGAGAAGAACAAGACTTTTCTATAACCTTCATTAGATGTCGACTCCGTGGCGCAACGGTAGCGCGTCTGACTCCAGATCAGAAGGTTGCGTGTTCAAGTCACGTCGGGGTCAAACCGTGCTTTTTTTTTTGTTTTCTTCGTAATCTTTCAATTTGTCTCACTAATCTCAATCGAAAAAGAACAATGCGTCTAAAGTAGATCGAAGACTCCGTGGCGCAACGGTAGCGCGTCTGACTCCAGATCAGAAGGTTGCGTGTTCAAGTCACGTCGGGGTCAAATCTTCTCTTTTTTATCTGATTTTACAAAACCAAGATGTATTAAAAAGTCGACATACTTTTTTCCTTCAATATTTATTCAGAGAATTATTATAAACAAGACAAAGAAGTACAGCGAGCAAATCGATTACTATAATTTCCATTGAACATTAATTCTATCACTTGTGCGTGTTATTCTATACTCATGAGCGAGCAGTTGCTCTTGATTAATGATTTCTCGTAATTCTTTGATCATTTTGTCATTTGTCAGTGGTAACCATAAAGAAAGATATGAGAATTTTGCAAGATTTTTCGATAAGATACATTGTAAAACCGAAGAAATATTGAAAATATTCTTGCATTTCACTTGCAAGAACTCCATAGAAGGACATAAATTGATGAAAAATTGAATTTTTTCCAGATCATTTTCTTCCATAAAACTTTGTATCTCAACTGACGCAACTGGACAATAGTCCAATTGCGAATGATTGTATTCGATGTTTTTCAATTTGAAATACGATAACGACGTGATTGTCAACGCTTTCAGATTAGGTAACACCTGTAGAAGTTGAATGAACTTTGGGTAGAATAACTTCTGACAATCAATATGTAAATGTGTAATCGAAAATGTACAAATAAAGGAGAAGATTTTATCGACCAGATTCTCTCGCGAAGCAGCGAAATACAGATGCTCGATTGTTAGATTTACACCTGCCGAATCGCTGTATACTGAACAGTTTCTAAAGCAAAATAAAATAGGTTGTTCAGTTTGAGGGAGGATTCTGTTGTTTATGTTACTTGTCGGGGTCAATCGAATAGGATATCTTGATGGGTGGCCAATAGTCAATATCGACGATGATACGAAAGAGCCATCCTTGCACGAGCCAGAATGGAGTTGTGAATTGATTGAGTACATCATGATACGATGCTAATTCGATCTTTTGGTAAAAGTATTCATCGTACGTAAATTTCAGTACACGTAACGATGACAAATACTGAGAAATCAAGCGTTCCCATCGATTGGCATCCAAATAACTAATATCATGAGATGTCGTCATACATAAATATCGAAGTTGCTTGCAAACATGTTGAATAAATATTTCAAATTGATTAAAATCGACATTACATGTATGGATTGTCATACTTCGTAAATTCATTAACTTTAATGGCATCATCTGTGGAATAACTTGATCGTGTTCGCACAATTCCATACAGGTTAAATGTCGAAGCAATGGCACATAGGAAAGTAAGATAATCAATTCTTCGAGTTTGCATGGATGATTCATAACTAAATGTTTAATTGTACTGCACCGTTCGGATTGATTCATTAGCAATGCCATTGTTAACGAATATCCTTTCGCCGACAGTGCCAGTTTTGTCAAACAAGGTAGAAGAAACAATGACTGATAGATTTCAGTGAGATTTACAATTTCGTTGGAAAAATGAACAGTTACTGAAGAAAGACGAGGTAAATAAGTTAAAATTGGAAGAATTGAGACGAACTGATGATGAGGAATCTGATTGCAAATGAGCGAGTGTAGACGAGTGAATGAAGAATCAATAGGAAGTGATGATGACCCGTGGAGATCAAGAGATGCGATGCGATGCTTATTCGGTATGATGAGTCGCGTGCGATATTTCTGAACTTCACATTCAGATTGTGTGCTGAGATTCATTCGTAACGAGAGAAATGGATAGTCGAGAAGCATCTTAAATCGAGTGTTTAGATTGGAAAACGCTTGATATAAGTAATTACACTCGATGTATTCGAATATTTCATAAAATATTTCATTGGATAGATCTTCAATACGTGTGCATGACATTTTCAATATACGTAACAATCGACGGTCAATTTCACTAGATTGACATATGTGAGTGTATGTATGTGTGTTTCATCCTTCATTCATTTGTTAATAATCTAGAAAAGTTAGAAAAATTATTTCTTATAGATAGACCACAGGGCGGAAAGAACTACTTACATACACTGTCGATCAGTTATGTCATTCGCGATAGAATAACTACTACTGTGTTCTCTTCCTCCTCGCAGACTTTTGCCTTTAGTTTGTTTCTCATTCTGATGACCGTTATTTGCACTCTTATCCTTCTATTACAAACTCACGTTCTATATACAGTGATGGACAGAAATAGAATTGTGGACTGCATCTATATCCATATGATAAACGTCTCTAGATGAACAACTGTTCATACATATGTTGATTATGTTTTAGACATTACACTAGTTTGTTTGTTTCGCATGGGCGTTGTCTAGCTACACAATAAGTACTCAAAAGTAAAAGAACGAACAATAGCTGTCAGGTGTTGAGACTCCTTACTCAGTTCTGTCCTTTTGAAGAAAGTTGTTTCAGACAATAGCTTCTTCGAAATTATTGTTAAGGACTGGAATAAACATTGGACATACTAAGTAAAACAAAGGAGCCTACGGTCCAATGTTTTGGGTAGATCAAAAATCAGTGCAGTAATGCACACATGTGAATGTACGAAGAATAATATGGTATGCAGTACTTGAACCTGAACTTTTGTCGATACTTGTTCTATGATATTAAAGAGAAATCCTTCGGAAAAGAAGTGGGAAACGTCTAAGTATTATTATAAACACTCAAATTGCTTTATTGAAAGAAAAACGGAGATTAAATAAATAAAAGCATTGAAATTATCGATAAACATGCTGAAAACGAACTGGAATGAGAAGGTAGATTCGAATAAAACAATAGTTCACTATTAATCAGTGCCTAAAAATAGATGAAAACACAAGTGTATAATCATATGCGTTGACAATTGAATTTTTACCAAAATATTTTTGTCCGAAATGGTTAGGCGCGACGTCATTGATTTCAGAAACGACGATTGTGATTTCAGGATATGCCTCACAAATTTTTCTGATTCCATCAGGTGTACAGAATAGGCAAATAACAATAATACTTGACAGTTGACATTGATATTCAGTCACTAAGAGTTTCAAACCAGTCAGAACGATTGAACCTGATGTTATCACGGGATAGGTCACGAGAATACGTCGTTCATGTGCATCGGGAGGCAATTTTGCATATATGACAAGGCCTTCGTTGATTAGAATCTTTCCGATGCGAATAGATCTGAAAGTTGTCATAACTTACAGAAGAAGGCAAAGGAAAAATGGATTTCACATACCGACAACATTCGCGAATGCCCTTTTCCATCGCTTCTCCACTTCGCATAAGCGATACACATAAGATTCCTCTTTCATGGCGTAAGCCTTCAAAACTTTGACCAGTGGGCGTTTGTATTTCACATGGAATGTAGGAGAGGTGATTCAATGCTACTTCAACAGTTAAACGTATTAAGCGGTCGGCATAGAATTTGAAATCACTTCGACAAGTTGTTCGGTCGCGTAATAGTGTTTGTAATTCTCGTAGTTGGTTATGCGGCTTCATAATATGAACATTCGACGGATATTCTTTGTTAATATCTTCTTCAACGATGACATTTTCGATATCGTTATTTATCACAGACATCTAAAATAGGATAAAACAAGCAAACTAACTCTTTTCTTATCAAATTAATATAGAACACGTCTACGTCTATAAGTATCATTTGCAACTGAGTACAATTATCAGACATTTTTCTCGTTTTAGCACGTAGAATATACGTACTGATAATCAAGCAGATAGTTATCATCGACATGCATATGAAAACACGTGTATTGCCGATAGAAAATAATCATTTTACCTATTAGTCTTATGATTGTTCGAAATCCAGCAGCAATTCACACCTATGAATGATAAAAGAAAACACAAGTACTAATCTGATTGTCTTACAAAGACTTCTCTACATGTATTGCATCAGTGCATGAAGCCATGATGGTGAAATCGATTGAATACTACTAACTATTTCACTATTTCTCATTTCAATAAAAAGATTTCATATCTTTCTCTGGACTTAATGACATTCATGAACGCATTTATTTATTTATTTTTAATTAGTTTAATAATTGAACCTAGTTCAACATATCGAACGAACATATCGTTTTTCGACATTTCTTCTCATACTTGAAGAAAACAGGTTCTAATCAGTTGTTCAATTTGAACTATCATATGAATACAAAATCAAGCTTATACCAATAACTAATGTGACTAAAGCAAGCTGAGTGTGAGTCATAGCAGTATTCGCTATTAGCGCTATCTATCATGGCACTTTTGGTCAAAATGTTTGATGCTAATTTCAAAACAATATAACATGAAAATATTTTGAAAATTTCTCTTGTAATTTCACGCTGTTCAAGTTGAACATATACTATTGGTGCATGAGATCCAACAACAAAAACGCAGAAGTACATCTATGTTCCTTTACTGACTTCTATTGATTAAATTGTTGAAATTTTAGATTTGATAGCTATGGCGAATGTCTCGGGAGATTCACCGTTGATCAATCCAGATAAACCATCGAAATTAGATGAGCAAGCAACATCTGCACCTGCATTTCCGAACACTCGATGGATGAATGTCACTACAGATTTCTCGCGTAATCCTGGTATACTCGATGATGTATTCAAAAAAATAAAAGGTACGACCTTCTTTGGCGATGGAATCGAGATCTATCTGGAAAGAATTGAATATTTAGATTTGATGCCGCCAACATTCGAAGGCGCGAAGTTGTCTGTCACCAAAATGCTTAGTAGTCATTTTCAAGTTAGTCATTCAATGACACTAAGTAGCGGATCCAACAGTGGTTATAAATTTGGTGCTAACTATGTTGGTACACAGCTCTACTCACAATCTGAGGTAGAGACAAGATATTTGCCAATTGTTCATTTGATGATCTTAACGAATTTGCTTTTCTTAGATATTCCCGGTGATCTTAGGTGATGCTGATCCAAATGGTAATGCCAATGCTCAAATCATACATCAATGGAATGATAAACTACGAACACGTATATTAGCCCAAGTATGGCCTATACTTTTGAGGGTTATTGTACCTAAAGCTTGGTTTTAGGTACAATCGTTTAAAATGGCTGGCTATCAAGTGTCCATGGACTATCGAACACCGTATACGAGCACAACGTTAACGTTAGCGAATATTGACTTGATTACTAATTCTGGTAATGACGATAACAAAGAACGAACAGGATGTTTGATTCATATGTATCTATTTCTAGGAATTGCCATTTTACAACATTTGACACGCGTAACAAAAAACCTAGATATCGGTGCTGAAATTGTTTACCAAGCCAATCCGATGATGCCCGGAGGACATATTGGTATAAATAGTTTCGTTGCCAGATACCGAGGTAAAGACAACTGAGGAAAAACTTATTTCGCTTCTTATATCATTTGTAGGTCTTGATTGGTTTACTGGTGCGAAAATAAGTCCGATCGGTGCATTAAGTATTGGGTATTTCCATCAGAAAACCAATAGTCCACTCCAGCTAGGAGTGGAACTAGAGGCGTCGATTGCCTCAAAAGAGACTTCAGCAACATTCTCCTATCAATATGATTTAGGAAAAGCAAATACGACCTTTCGAGGTATATCCAATCCCTAAATCAGAATAAGATTTCACAGTCAGTTACATTTCAGGTATGGTTGATACTAATGGTCTTGTAACTGCTGTTATTGAAAAACGTCTCGCACCATTGCCGTTTACATTCATGCTCAGCAGTTCGTTGAACCATGCGAAAGCTGCCTACCGTTTTGGCATTGGTCTACTTATTGGCTAATAGCAACATTCTTCATTTCTTTGATCAATCGAGCTTTAATTTCAGTATCGTTTTTCTTTTCATTGTTCCTGTGTATCGAAAAAAGACAACAGTTTAAATTCTACCGGAGAGATTTTTTTGTACTAGTCCACCTATGACTGTTGAGTTTTTGTTTGAATGGAACAGCAAATACTTAGGCGATTTTTTGTTTGTTCGCTCTTTGTTAGATGTTTTTTGATTATGTTTCAGATTACTTGATTATCATGGCTGATGCTGGTTTCTTCAAAGTAGGCTTGCTCGACACATCTTCCAAATGAAATATTCACTTCTGCTTTGACTTCTAGGGCACATCAGCTGAACAGGATAGTCGATTCGCTAATAAGCAAAAGAAGTTACTGAAACAGATGAAATTTCCAGATAATATTGATGTTAAAGTAATATTTCGTTTGAATGTTTATATTCAAAAGGAATGCATGACTTATATTGCATAGATTGATAGTTCCAAAATAAACCTTGATGTGATCAAACCATGGATTGCGAAGCGTCTGCATGAATTATTAGGAATCGAAGATGACGTTGTTATTGAATATGTGTTTAATCAATTAGAAGATAAAGTTTGTTGAAGTTTTCGTACATTTATAGACACGATTGATTGTCTTTTAGAATCCTGATCCAAAGATGATGCAAATCAATTTGACTGGTTTTCTTGGTGGAAGCAAAGCTCGGTTATTTATTGGTGAACTTTGGAAATTCTTGGCCAGTGCTCAAGCATCGCCCGATGGTATACCAGCAGAATTAGTCGAAATGAAAAAGCAAGAACTACTGAGACGACAAGTGTGTTTGAAACATTCGTTTCGAATTCATTGTTCTATGGAAAGATTTGTATTTAGGAAGACGATCGACTACGCGAAATTCGCAAGCGTGAAGAAGATAGCTATCGTCAAGATGTTAAACCTGACATCCATAAATCAGATACTAAAACCAATTCTCGTCATTCAATCACATCGCGAAGTGAAAACGGGAACAATGCTGGTGGATACAAATCGCGGACACATCATGAAGATGAAAGACGACGTCCATCGCCTAAATCACATCGAACACGAGATCCACATAGTCCGGACACGAAGTCACGGTTAGCGAAATGGTCTGTTTTTCTTCGGTAGTCAATGAATTTTCTGTCATTTAGACATTCCGATAAAAAACCTGCCAGTGAGAGCAAGAACGATCATCATCATCATCATCGACATGACGCGACAAATGACAGTCATAAAACATCGAAATCACGCTCGCGCAGTCGCAGCCCTGTGAAATCTATACGTAAAACTGATTCGCATGCTAAAAGATCTTCGTCGGAAACAAGCAAGACATCACATCACGAAACTGACAAGTCTGAAAAGGTGAAATCTAAAGCAAGGCGCCGTTCATCTTCGACGAACTCGAGCACTAGTCCACGGCGTGGAAAAACTATTCAATCCGTGCAGCAAAAGCCAACTAATAACACTTCCGATGTTCCTACTGAAACAAAACAAGGAACACTTAACGAACAAGTTAGCAAATCGTCAGCATCGAAAAACAAGCGAAAATCTTATACACCGTCTCCTCCACGGTCAAATAAAAAAGAACCCGTACTGAAAACTATGGGAAACGTTGAAAAAGTCAAGCCCAAACGATCGTCATCGAAAGAGATCAAAAAGACAAAAAAAAGATCAAAACGACATCGATCCGCATCGAGCGATTCTTCGTCCAGTTCACGCTCATCTAGTTCCAGTTCTTCATCTTCAAAATCCAAATCATTGGCATCGTCCAACTCAGAAGCAGAAAGACGAACAAAAACGAAGAAAAGTATGTTCGATCAACAGATTTCTCATCGAATATAGATCATGATTTCTTTGTTTATACGTGTAGAACCGCAATTGACAGGAAAAGATTCGCCCAGTCGATCACGATCACGTTCAACAGACCGTCATCGACGATCTAAGAGAAAGAAAGATAATCACAAACATAGAAAGCATAACAGTCATAACAGGTAAACTTCTTTGTGAATCCATTTCTGTGATTTATCAATTTGTTCACACAGTAAATCTTCTTCGTCGAAAAAACAAACTAAGCAGCACGAACGTAATGAGTCTAAACGAAAGTCTCATCATGGTAAGTCCGTTTATAATCTATCCAGTACGAATGGAACTAAAAGTTTGAGCTAGGCAAGGAGTTGTCCAATGAGTGTTGGACTTTGAGTGCTATTGTGTATTTTGTTTCTAGTTTTGAGAATTCTTGCAAATGGGAACCCGTCAATTTAGATCGTCCAGATAGATCATCGAAAAGAATGGTAGATAAAGGTGCATACAATGAAAAGAAAACTCGCCGTTCACAACAATCATCATCAGATAAGGAGATTCCATGTCTGACCACGCCGCCGAAGAAACCTCGACTTGAATCTCAAATTAGAGTACAAACTCCACCACCATCAACTAGATTAGCTGTCGAAAACGTTAGTCGACTGTTTTAATAGCACAAACTTGATTTACTTCTATTTATTTATATAGAAATCAGAAAACGAAGTCATGCGACCTTCGGCAACATCAACTAGATCGAATCGAACTGAAAGAATTGTAAACGAATTTCCGATTTCTGCAATTTCATGCATTTTTCTCCTTTTCTCTCTTAGGTTGTACTAGAAGATTCTCGTAAAGATGGTGCTGATCCTTTTGCATCGCGTGTACCTGTCACAGTTAAGTCATCGGACGATGATGCACGATTGAAAACTAGTGATAATAACAATAATAGTAGCGAAGATGAAACCGAAATTGATTTACGCGAACGTCTTTTACGAGAAAAGGCGATCAAATCAATGCGCCGCCGACAATTATCTAATCCCAATAATAACAATACCAAACCAAAAACAACAACAAATGATCGAATTGTTTACGATTTACATTGATGAAGTCTCGAAATAGCAATCATTGTTTAGTTTCATTCTTCAAGTATCTGTATGCGTGCATGTAGCCATTCATCGTTTCTTTCTTTTTCTCTGTTTACATTCACTCAAAACTTGTATCATATAAAATAACACAAGTTGTATTAACGGAATAGTACATTCGAAATAAGGAATTGTCAATATTTACTGCGTTTATGCCGGTACGCTATGCTCGATGATCATATTCACTGTACTCATAGGGATATATTATTTGTAAGAAAAGAATACTATGATATCATCATGTCATCAACGATCAGTACATTTAAATCTAGACAAAGGGTAACTTTAATCTTCCAATGAGAACTCGATGGCAAATATCTAAAGGGTGTGCAAACAATAGTTAGGTACATCGTTTCAATAAAAGAAAAGATTATGATCGCATGGGATATAGTCCACTGTTCTGAATATTCTGGCTGTACGGTGTACTTGTTCGTTCAATTATCATATTCCTAAGCTTCTATAGATTTATTTAAAGCGAACATCGTCTTGAGATTGCCATCAGCAATTGTAAACACGATTTTATACGTCAGGTCGTCTCCGAGACATATAAAACCTTTGTTGCCGATATGGCACCACAAATACTAAGAAAACTAGCAACAATTGTTACCACAACAGTCGAACCAGCAAGATGAATAAGAGTTCCCATTGTTGATGATAAGCACAATTGTGCTAGAAATACCATACTGCTAACCACTGCGACATCGGTGCCAATACCACGAACTTGTCCGCTGATGGAAAGACCATTCGATTGATCGAACTGTGAATGTAAACAAACTGAATACCTAATTAAAATGAAATTTAGAGAACTCACAGTATTTGATGCATGATATTTTGATATTAATAGATATGGAATCGTAAATAAAGTTGAATACAATACTCCGGCTGCTGCTGAAAGAATGATGACGCCGGCACGATGTCTTACATATCCCATCAATAACATTCCTACAGCATAGATCAGTTGTGATCCAATATAAACACGTTTTATACCTTGGAAAGAAGAGCATGAATCAATGGCAAGGTATTCGGTTTTCGACCTACCAAAATAATTATTGAGGGCCTCGATGTTATACGAATAAATCGAGCATGATATTGAATAGATTGACATACCCCATGAACCAAATCGAACGCCTTCGTTGTACAACAAACGTAATGGATGATCGCGAGCTAGTTTTGGATTTCCACCTGGTATACCAAATATTTGAAAGTTCGTGCTTGCTTACATTCTAGTACTTACCAAATACGGCTTGTCCAACGAAATCAGTGAAGAACAGGGAGTAAGAAACGAGTGCCATCCAACAGAAAAAATTCGTTAAACAGAGCCATCTCAACGATGAAGGCATATAGATGATCGATCGAATATAATCGAAATATGATACTCGTTGATTTTCCGTGGACAATGACTCGCATCGACTGTAGTTTCTGGTATAGTGTTCATCACTATCATCATGAAACGTACCGGCAGACATGATGCATTGTCGCGATGATGATCGCATCAGATTCGGTGCTGTTACAGTCAAATTCGCTGGCTCTTTCACTGCTGTCAAAGTTGAAATGGCACAAACAATGTAGATGAGCCAAACTAATGTGAATACCACATGAATATGATCACCGAGGATGTTACTGAGGAACGTACGTTCCCAAGGTATTCCGCCAAGGAAATATCCTAAACAGCCACCAAGACCAGCCATGAATGTAAATGTTGACAAACCTGCTGCGTGCTGATCTGGATTAGTCACATCTAGTAGATAGGCTCGACTTGGACTTTGACATGCGTCACAATCGAGATCGAGTAAAAAGACACCGAATACTGTCAGAATTGTGCCAAATTTTCGTGATGATAAGGGACTCGCAACTTTGACATACTTTTCAATACGAGTACCATTGAAAATCGAATCTTTACTAATCATTTGAAATCTTGTATCCCCAAACCATTCTCCCAAAATACGACCTGAATGAAAGATCTCTTAGTTTGCTTCGTGGTTGTTCCCTTTTGATCGCTTACCGTTGGCCACCAGGATCAAACCGATAAGAATACCGATGGAATAGAGTAAGATAAACGGTCGCCGTCGGCCAAAAGGTGTAAGAAGTCTATCACTGAGCGAACCAAGTGCTGGAACAAGCAAAAAGCCGATGAGTGGCGGTAAACACCATGTCCATGTCATAAGCACAACCGGTATACCAATTTGAAGTAAAATCGGTGACACAAAAGCTGTTTCAGCAGCATAACAGAATTCTATTCCGCACACCACAGCGCTCAAACGCATGAGATCGAATCTACTCTTGTAACTTCTAATCCCATCAGAATTGAATTGTTCATACGAATCTTGTCTTCGAAGTTTTCGAGTAATAAAATCAATCATGGTTTGTCAACGAGAAGAAAAAAACTGCTAAACTTCACTGATAATGCGATTGGTTTCCAACGATAGTGGCGTGCGCGAACGTATGCTGCAAACAAGCTAGTTATGATTACGATTTCATCCAATATGAACGGTATTACAAGATGTGCAAGTCTCACATTCCTTTTTCTTTTTTTCTTTCTCTCTCGCGTGTCAGTTGAACGTATACGATGTCAAAATTCTAATTGCATCGTGTAAAAGACAAAGATAATCAAAAATATTGACGCAATTAATAAAAAAAATCTTATGCAGATTATGTTTTCTTCTGATTGAATTCTTACGGGAGTAACTTCACTGATTTGGTATTCTCAAGAAAATAGCTAGTCGACATGCTTCTGCGAAATGGATTCTTTCGTTAATGGCTACGGAATACTTCCGCTAATATAGACGATGAGAGATATGAGATACGTGTTCATCTGAAGGACATTCGTCAAGCAAGTTTAGATTAATTGTGTGGGATCATTTCAATAGCTTAATTGATATTTATTTCGACAAGTGCAGTAATACAATAAGAATAAACTATGTGTTATCAACCTGAAGTGTTTTAAAAATAGATATGTATATATAACAGCGCGAGAACTATTATCAGATATGGAGAGTACAGGTTGAGATTAGATTTTCTACGGATGAAATATGGAAAAAGCAACAACAAAAATGGCGAATATTCCATAAAAATAATATACTTCAAGCAAATGAAACTAAACAATTGATCGATCTTTCGTTGTTCATTCATTGAGCGATGATTATTTCTTTGGTGGAGTATATGTGATTTTCGAGCGAAGATCGAACACCAAGTCCTGATCATTCCAGTCTGCTTTATTGTCATCAGGATCTTCATCAGCATCGTGGTCATGTGTAACGTAAAGAGGTAAGTCGGGGGACACTTGCATGGATAATGAATGATTGAAGCGAGGCATAGGTGTAACATTCTGATCGAATGTTGAACGACGACGATCAGGTGCATTGTGCTGCGATGAATCGTCACCCCACGATTGAAAACGCATTGGCTCTTCGGGATCGACAGTTGATTCATGAGGCATCTAGAAGAGAGCATATGAATTGAAAGGACATGATCAGAAAAATGATCACATACGAGTTGAGGCACAGCACGAAAGAAATAAAAGAATGGATAATAGACGAGATTGACTGCTGTTGACGCATAAATATCAGCAAATCGTGTTACTTGTGATGCAAAATGCGTTTGTCGAGAGCCTTGACAAAAAGAAACATCAACAATTAAGCAATTAGCCGGAATCGTTGTCTACCTGTTCGAAAAAGAGAACCCAAAAGACCAAAGTTCATATCCAATTCATGAGTACATTGCTAAAGTATCAAATAACCTTCTCCATCAATCGAACAAGTACTAGAAATACAACAAGTTACCTGTATCTTTTGTTTAATTCTGTTTACTGCATCCGGCCCATGATTCGCAGTCATATCGAATGATCGCAGTAATTCACTAATCGATGTATCCAATGATTCCAATGTATTAAATATTTCACGTTTTTCATGGAAAACTTTCAGCTCATGGTTTAACTCAGGCACAACAAGCATCGTTCGCCAGGCTTTCTGCTTTTTCGATTTAATGATATCACCAAATATATGATCACCGACATATAAAACATCTTTGCCCATCGAACCGATTAATTTCGAAACGACTTCACAAGACCCGCCACTGTAGACTTCGTTTTGTTGTAATTGGCCTGAATAAGAGCCCAACTTCATGCTACCTGTTTGAGGATCGATGATTCTTAGTGTTGTGCCTTCGGCAAAAAACAACGGTTTTTGAGCATCAACAATGATAAAATCAAAGTAAGACTTCCAATCGCGCTCAACGTTATTTTGAACGCTATTCAACAGATAGGTCATTAGCTTTTCTGTATACCAGTATTCACTATTTGTTAATAAGAATGTTTTTGCATTGTGAGAGCGAATACTACAAAAGAATGCTTAGAATGGTCGGCTCGCGTGTTAAGAAAGCATTTTACCGATCCAAAAGGACGGGTAGTTGTGTATCTTTATGAACGTATCTTTCAATATCTTGAGTAACCATTTCTTTGAGTTTGCCCTAAGATAACAAAATCAGACGATGATGAAAACTTGAATAAATTAATGAGTCAATTCTACTTTGCCATGAACACGTTCAACTGAATTTCGAACATCATTGAATATCGCACGAAATGAGAGAATATTTCCACCAAATTCAACAGCTGTTCGATCTCTAGAAGAAGAATCAATCAAATTATCATCGACAATTACTTCAATTACAACGTGTCTTAGTTTACAGCAGAAAAACAAGAAACGTCGTAATTTAATTGTTCGCCGAAAGAGAGAAAACTTCGACAAACGTCTAGTGATGAATTCAATTTTACTCGAACGTAGAGACAATCATTAACGAACGAAAGATACATACTCAACATAAGTAGCCATGGTGGAGAAGTAATCGATTAAACAAGCCATGAGATAGATTTCTAAACTCAAACCGTTCTCATTGCATTTCTGCTCTGTTGTTCATTTAATCTTACCTGGCAAATTGAAAAGTGTGTAATGTACATACACACGATCATCACAAACGATGTATTTGTTTGGATAGATTTCACGAACTTCGTGGCTATAAAAACGAATGATTAGAACCAAGATGAAACGAGTGAAAGCGATTTACCCCGTAAGAAATCGAAAGCCGTGAACCACAGTAAGAATGTTTCCGTACGCATCGACTTTCAGAAAGTTTCCGTATAATTTATCATACCAGAGGCCACTGAATAAAAAAGTACACGGTGAAGAATACGTAGACAGGTAATTATTTACCGGAGCGGAAATGTGCGGTCGTAAATAAATTGTCGGATTTCTTCTGGATAGCCCAGTCCGATGACTTCTTCGGTTACCAACTGAAACGTAAGCTCTTCAAATTCAGGAGATTTATACAAAGCTAATGTATAATCCATATCGAAACCGTAGAACCGAATTCGATCTAATTGCAAACTTCGATTGACGAAAATACTAGAAATAAAGACAAATGTGGTACTTAAAAGTACATTCGGACTTCTCTCGTCTTACCGATGGCCCGGTTCACGTTTCGTTTTCATATTTCGTTTCTAAATCAGTCGAGAGAAAGAAAAAACAAGTCATCGAAAAACCGTTTTCTAAAACGTTGTCTTACTCGTAGTTCACTATCGGACGCAAGTGATTCTCGCGCAGCATCGGTTCGCTTCATCTCGGGATCTTTGTTATCTTCAATCTAAACAAAATTGAACATTTTCAGTTGTTTTCGTTCGTCATATGCCGATCAACAAACGATTACTTACCATTTTCTGTCGCACTTACACAGCAAAAAACAAACAAATGTTATGCAGAACAAAAATCAAATATACTAAAGGGTCGCGTAGACGAAGTCAAGGACATTTGTTTTGCTCGTAGCGCACGATGTGTATCTCTTGTAATGTGATCGAGAAGAGATTGGGCGTGTTTCGTATTCGATGAGTTTGATAGGTCGTCCTTTTTGCTTTCTTCGTCTAAGATAAATAGCCTTATCGTCTACACCGACAGCAATCACCTACGATAGCTTGAAAAGCATCGTCTATCTTCTCGCAGATTAATAAACGCAAAGTCTCATTCATGAGTCGGAGTAGATCATCCGGTTTAGAATTAATTAGTAGCTCTCATACCGTTCTGGAGATACTTGACGAGTATAAACGTGCACTTAACCTCGTCTCAATCGGTTTACATTCAACAAGTCACTTTCACCTAGAAAGTCCTAATTTAACACTGTTTAACAGTTCACATTCGTTTACTTTTAATGGACACCTGGTAGTTAACTAACGTCGTGATGAAAATAGTTCTGGCGCATTTCTTTTAAGACTTCAAAAGTATTATGCTACGAGCTTTTCTTTTCTTCTTCTTCTTCTTCTCATTCATGACAACTCACATCTTTTTATGATTTACTTGTCACAATGGAACACCAACTAATTCCAAATGGTTTTATTTATGATGCACTTGTCCGTGCTTGCATAAATAAGAAAAAAAGAAGTACATTCTTTTTTGCTCGGTACTAGCAGCATTCAATCATTTTCACAGATGAATTCCACCAATGTTAGAAAACGTACCATTCGACAACTAGCGCTACTATCGTTGAGAAAAAATGATTTTCGCGGAAAAATGATAAATTTGTCAGTTTTAAAAGTTTTTATTTATCGGAAAAAAATTTTCGATTATCCGAAAGGTCGCTTTCAGCACGACCAATCAGATTTGAGATCCATAAACATCCAAGATAGTGGGCTTATGGATGTTGATCATTTGCCGATTGTAATTTCTTCACTGACTGTGTTTGTTTTATTTCTAGATATTTATTAATATCCATCATGCAGATTTTCGTCAAAGTAATCACAGAAATTTGACATTCCTACGAATAAAACCTCCGTTTTCTTTCTAGACTTTGACGGGTAAAACAATTACCCTTGAAGTAAGTTCAAAACTCGATCTTATCCAATACATGAATCGGAAAACTTGTATTTTTCTTTTCAAAGGTCGAACCATCGGACACGATTGAAAATGTAAAAGCAAAAATTCAAGATAAGGAAGGTATTCCACCCGATCAACAACGCTTGATCTTTGCTGGCAAACAACTCGAAGGTAAAACATCTCATTTTGCATAACAAATACGCCAAATCGACTCGTTTCAGACGGACGTACACTTTCGGATTACAATATCCAAAAAGAAAGTACACTTCATTTGGTTTTACGTAAGTAACTCAACGAATAACCGGTTCGTCCCTATAAACAACTTTTTTTTGTCATCTGAAGGACTCCGTGGTGGTACAATTGAACCAACTCTTCGTATGCTTGCTCAAAAATATAACTGCGACAAAGTTATTTGCCGAAAGTAAGATTTGCTTGATATTCGTTGTTGTCATCAACTTCAGATCATGTTTAGATGCTATGCACGACTTCATCCACGTGCTGTCAACTGCCGTAAACGTAAATGTGGTCACACCAGCAACTTACGACCAAAGAAGAAACTCAAATAAACGGTCGATGATGGATCTTTTTTTGTTTTCGCTAATCGAAAGAAAAAAACATCTGTTGAAATGAGACAACAAGAATAAAAAAATCGATCATATCCGGATGATTTTCCTCTTTCTCCTCGAAGTATTGCAAGGCATTAGCTTTTTATCGTTTAATAAGAATATTTAACACAGATGATTATCGCAGATGAATATGAGAACAATCATGTACAAAAAGAAAAAGCTTCGTTTTAGTCTGATGGAAATTTCTCTGTCATAGTTTCGTCGATAACCATATACATATACGTTTGAGCTCGATCTAATTTGTTCAAATAGTCTTTCAAATCAGTTTGCCCACCAATTAATCTTGGCTGGGATAATTTCGAATCGAGATTATAATAGTGTTCACCATCGACGCTTTTTATCGCCAACCAGTGTCGTCCAGGTTTCGTCCATGAACTTACCAATGGTAAACGATCGAGGAACGGTCTGTCGAGAGTTATGTTGAGTAATAAACCAAAACAATCCTTGAAATCAAACGCATCTATGGATTCGTTCATGTCGATAGCACGTAGTGTATAGCCTTGTTGTTTCAACGCATCGAGGATGATTTGTAGATCGTAATTGCCTGTGAATAAAGTTGAATATTCATTCCAACACCAAGATGTATCGTATTGACGTACGATAGTATCGAGCATTTGCTTGTTAAATTGATGCTTTTGAAAAATATTGTTCAATGAATGTAATGCACAGAGCTGCAGTTTCTGCCGTTCATGGTATAGCTTCGGCTTTTGTGTAGTCATTGCGTTTGAACACCGAGCCGACTAGAAGAAAAAATAGTGCTGCATGATCTAAAGAATAAATCGAATGTTGTTCATATGTCGCAAAGAATTAAGCAAAATGCTATTGAATAAATAACTGCAGATACGAATGTTTTTTCAATACTGTAATCATCAACGAGAATAGACAACGAATAGAAATTGCCTGGGTTTCAACATCATAGGCGACTACTGTCATCTATCTTTACTCATTATTATCAACAATTTCTTCCCCTAGTTTTCCTTTTCCAAACTTAAAAGATTCTCTCTGCAGGTGGAAAGGAATGACAAAGCTCGTCTGGTTTGTTGCTAATCACTTACGTAGCTAAATGAACGTGCTTTCCTATGAATTGTTGACAATACGAGTAGATCTCTCGTGTTTTTATTTCCCTTCCGTCAAAACATAACTGCGTTTAACTGAGCAGGGAAAAGAGAAGATATCTGTTTCTGTGACTTTGTTTTTAATTTTCTTTCATGATGAAGAACGTACTTTGACAGCATCATTTTCTATATGCGACATGTTTTCTCGTCGACTATGCAATAAAATTGACAAGCATATTGCATGGTCTTTTCTCAGATTTTTCTCGAGATGAAATACTATTTATGATCTGTATTGTATACTCAACATCGAACGCATAGGTAAAGACAAGGAGAGTAGTAGTAGGAGAAGACGAAGAAGAAGAAGAGACAAATTTACTGCCATATAAATTGACATTTTATATTTAAATTTTATTTGCTTGGGGAAGAATACTTTTTCATTTTAGAATGAGTGTCGGTCGACAGATTCGCCTAGTTCTATGGAAGAATTTTACGATCCGACGTCGACGATGGGTTCGTGTGAAGTCTTGAAAGTTCAGAATGGCGGAATTTTATCTTATGTTTTCTAGCCTCGAGTGATCTTCGAGTTTATCTGGCCATTATTTCTATTTCTTATCTTAATGTGGGTTCGAACACGGAATTTAACATTTTACTATGATGCTTGTAAGTTCTTATTCCTGATTAACTCGACTTTTTCCGAATCGATATAGGTTACAACGATCCAAAATATCTCGGTTCAACTGGCATTCTTCCTGCGATTCAAAGTTACATTTGTCGATGGAACAATACGTGCTATAATAGTTCAAAGATAACCGATGAATTTCAAAGTGAAACATCGTGCGTAGACACCTTTCTTTCAAATAAATATGTATTGTGACTTTGAAGATTTTGGAATGAATTTTCCTCATTAACTGACAGCCTGTCGGTCGTTCTGCACGACGAGCAAGCATCTAGTTTGCTGAGCGATGTTTTCACTCAACTTAATTTATTACAAACGTCACTGAGCATATGGAATGGTAAGAATTGATATTTGCCCAATGTCAAATATTGACTTAATTATTGAAGGTACTGTTCGAGCAAATAAAACGTTGAATAATTTCAATCAAACGATACCTACAGCAATTATTAAGAATCTTTTTGAGAATGCAGTCAATCTATCGAATCTCCACCAGAGATGGTTTATGAATAAAACAGCAAAATACACATCGGATATCAATGTTGCGATAGAAATATATCTTGCAAGTGTTCGTCCGAATAACTTCTATGTATATTTGTATGAGAAAGTAAATCTGTGTATTGATTTGGGAATGGTTTTAGTCGTATCAATCAGCGGCAAGTATCAAGAACTCATTTTGTGGTAGAAATGAATCTCAACGAACTTTTCTCGTCGATTCATTGAAATTGATCGAGACGCAAGGCTTTTTATGCACTAATTTGACAGCAGATGATTTGAAATCGTTCTTGATAAGTGTTCAACAGCAACTGGACGCAATCGTTTTAGTAAGACTGAACGCCAAAAGACGATAAAAACAGGAACATTTCGATTTCGTATAGGTCGAACTGTCTCCACAAATGGTTACTCTGGCACTTCATATGTTTCAGGTACATATCTTATCTTTCCATAGGCTTGTCAAACTATTCGACAAAATTTCAGATTGCCAGTAAACTAGACGATTTGTATACACGATTGGAAGTGCTGAATATTAGCTTTTCTTTAAACAGCAGTGAAAATGGCATCAGGTAAGACAATCCATTCGATAAGATAATTGATGTTTTCATCGTTATCAATTCCCATGTTGTAGTCTGAATTCTTTCTGTGGCGGTCGAAATGATCTTTCAGCTTTTTTCAATGCTACTTCATCTACAACTTCTCAAACTCGACGATCTAAATCCAGTGAAACCCGTACAACCGGTGATCAGTCGTTGATTTACTACGATTGGAATCAATTAGCCACCGATCTACTTTCTTACAATGCATCTCGTATATGTCATCAAACCTATGTAACCGGTTCGGGAAATATCGTTCAATTCGTTTCAACGAATCGTTCGTGTCGTTGTGTGCTGTTCGATCAAGTTTTCAACTCCAATCAGATCTTGAAACAATTCGCGAGATTTGTGCGGCCAATTCTGTATGGAAAAATCTATTATCATCCATCGAATGTTCACTATGATAATCTCATCAAACAAATGAACCAAACATTCGAATCTCTTAATGAACTGATTCAATTGTTTCGACATATTCAATCAATAATTCAACCAAATATCGAAATATTAACAACAGCCTGTAATTTGAACATAACTGCGTCAGGGTTGTGCAAACAGTTATCATCATATCAAACAGCCCTGAGTTTATTCACTATTCTGACCGAATTTATCGCTTGTACAGAACGTAATCGATTTGTTCCAATGGACAGTGAGCTAGACATGGTAAGCAAAGGAAAAAATAATTCCATCACCAATGATTTTCTTGCGGCTATTCAATTTCTCGACGATTTATCTGATAATGACACCTTACCCAAGCATATGCGATTTAAAATCCGAATGGCACTTGACTATGTTGACAGCACCTTTCGTACAGAAGATCGGTAAATGAATTTCATCTCGATAATCAGGTCTATGAACTTTCTTGTTAGATACTTTTCGTATTCACCACGAACCATTGCTCCAAGCTCGACGAAATATTTTACTTATATATTCATTTATTTGCAAAATGCACTTGAACGTGCGATTATCAGCGCGCACACAGGACGAAATGTATCCTTCGGAGCTCAAACCCAACAAATGCCGTATCCATGTTGGGTTAACGATAAGTATGCTATGAAATTTTCGCTATCAGAGTGAGATCATTTGAAGAGTGGTTAGATTCGTCACTTCAATCAGTCGAATGTTACCGTTGCTAATGGTATTAAGCTGGATATTCACGGTATCAATGAACGTCAAAGATATTGTTCATGAAAAAGAACGGTAAAATTTCCTACAGTGAAATAATAGAAAAAAGAATTCTCTCTATTACTTTTCTGAAGGCGTTTGAAAGAAATCATGAGAATTATGGGTTTAAAAGATTCAGTGCATTGGCTTACCTGGTTTATTTTATGCACAACCGTGATGTTACTAATCGCTTTGTTACTTGCACTACTTTTAAAGGTATTCTATAAAATGTGAAATATACAATCAAGAAAGGTCTTTTTCTTGTAGTTTGGCAAACTCACGCAATTTTCAGATCTTGGTATTTTGATCGTATTTTTTATCAGTTATACATTTGCGACGATTACTCAGTGTTTTCTCATCAGTGTTTTCTTCAATCGTGCTAACCTCGCGGCTTGCGGTAAGAACATAGACGAATTTGCTCACAATGAATTCTCTTCTTTCAGGAGCTGGTATCATCTACTTTCTGCTTTATTTACCGTATACAATCTTGATCAATTACGATACGCAAGTAAAAACATGGCAAAAGATAATTGCTGTAAGAGTTCGTGCTGACCGAGAGGAAACTGTGCAGTTCGATTTCTAGTGTCTTTCATCGACTGTTGCTTTTGGACTTGGTTGTGATTATATAGCGCGTTTTGAAGGGATGGCCAAAGGTGTTCAATGGAGCAGTCTGAATCAAGGTGTGAAACCGAATGATAACTTTACATTACTATATTGTATTATAATGATGCTTATCGATTCGATTATGTATATGCTACTGACGGTTTACATTGAAAATGTCTATCCTGGTATGTTGAATGGAGTGGAGGGGAGGGGAAAGAATGTTCGGGTGGATGTCGATTTTGATCTTTAGGTGAATATGGTATTCCACAAGTTTGGTACTTTCCATTTACAAAGACGTATTGGTTTGGTTTTGACGCGAAGAAAATTCGGCAGCGAACAGAAGAAATAAATCACACGAATCCCACAGGTTGGCTTCTCATATGTTCAAATTCATCTTGAGTTTTGTTTTCTTCATATTTTAGTTGCTGAGGAAGAGGGAGATATTGGAGTTAGTATTGACAAACTATCAAAATATTATGGAAATAAAATGGCGTTGAACAATCTGTCAGTGAAATTCTATCGTAACATGATCACAGCGTTTCTCGGAAGAAATGGCGCAGGTAAAAGCACAACCTGGTCTATTTTAACTGGCTTGATACCACCATCAAGCGGAACAGCTTATATCGATGGGTTTGATATATTAACCGATATAAAAATCGTACGAAAACGACTTGGCTTCGCTCCTCAATATAATATTTTATTTGATCTACTAACTGTTCAAGAACATCTAGAGTTTTTCTCTGAGTAAGTTACATGTTTACTACAAACATAGTCTTTTTCTTTTGTTTTCAGATTGAAAGATGCACCAAAAGAGTTGATTGCAACCGAAACAGAGAGAATGTTGGATGACCTAGCATTAACAACGAAAGCGTTAAATTATACTACTGAATTATCCGGCGGGATGAAAAGAAAACTTTCGATCGCCATCGCCTTTATAGGTAATTCTACAACCGTTATCCTAGACGAACCAACTGCAGGTAATTACTTTGTCGAAGTAAACTTTACAGAATGATAGACTGCATAATGAATTCACTAGGTGTTGATCCGTATGCCCGTCGAGCCATTTGGGATCTGATATTGAAATATAAACCCGGTCGAACAATCGTTTTGTCTACACATCATCTTGACGAAGCTGATTTGCTCAGCGATCGTTTGGCGATTATATCATCCGGTGAATTACAATGTGTAGGAACGACAATGTATTTAAAACGCAAGTACGGTGAAGGCTACAATCTCATTGTTGAATTAGCATCAACCACGAACGAACACGACGAACGGCAGAAGATTATTCTCAATCCCATAGCATCGAAAAATTCGTCGCTAAATTCAATGCGATTTGTGAAATTAACTGATTTTCTTCGGCAACATGTACCAGATATCCGCATCAAAGAACAACATGGTGATCAAATCACTTATGTTCTACTAGATGATGCTAAGCATACAAAGATATTTCCAACAATGCTTATGGAATTAGATGCGAATAAATCGAAGTATAACATAAAAACTTACGGTTTATCGAATAGTAGTCTTGAACAAGTTTTCCTCCGTGTTGCCGATGAAATCAAACGACCGGAAGATTATGAACGCATGTCGTGGTGGGAGAAATTTTGGAACCGTTTTAAACGACCGACTGAGACGAAAATAGAGATAGTTGAAGAGGAAAATAATGATGAAAAGATAGAAACGAATACTGGTATCAGTGGTAAGTGTTTGACTTCTACAGATAGTTTTAGCTTCCCTTCAACTCTCTGTTTCTAGATGAATGGAGTCCATACACAACTGATCGATATAGAGGCGTTCATCACGTCTTTATACAAATCAAAGGTTTACTAATCAAACGATTTCATCGAACGAAACGTAACATCAAAGGCTTAGTTGCAGAAATTCTTCTACCAATCATTTTCATTCTACTTGCTATGTGCGCAATCAAACTAGCACCGAATGAAAATGAACCACCACCGCTCATCCTTCATCCATGGTACTGGAGTCAGCCTAGTTATATGTTTCAGTCACTGCCTACGAACAAGTCTTTGGTATTATCAAAAATGATTCAACAAACGTTCACGAAATCGCCTTCGTTGGGCACACGTTGTATGCCAACGACGATGCTTAATAAACGATTGTATCCATGTTCACAATCGAACGTCGGTCGTGTCAATGTGTCATCGAGTTTTGAAGTAATCGATGTATTGAACCAAGTTCATTACAATCAAACACGTATTTCACCTGAATGCGATTGTTGGCAGAAAATGCAAACATGCCCAGTGGGCGCCGGTGGACCAGCCGCAAGTTATGACAAAACCGAAACAAAAGACATTCTATATGATCTACAAGAGTTCAACATATCAGATTGGCTGATCAAATCTGAATACAAGCTCGAATATCTCATGAAACGATTTGGTGGATTTGAATTTTTGTCATATTTAATCGCAGATAAAATAGAACTATTCAATGAAACATTACTCGATCGATTGGCCAATATCACCAATCCAAGCAATCAATCGTCATTTGCTGTCAACAGTCAGAAAATAGTTCCATTGTTCCAAATCCATCCACCACAAGTTTCCGTACGTAAATTAATTTCTTTGTTGTGAGCATAGACGAAAATCGATGTGTTTCGAAGGTATGGTACAATAACAAAGGATGGCCAGCAAGTGTTGCCTTTCTGAATCTCTTCAACAATGCTCTCCTACGAGCTCTTCTCCTACAAAATGATTCAACAATTGCAATTGATGATTACGGAATAACAGCAATCAATCATCCATTACCTCAAAGTGATATTCAAATCGACAGTGATCTACAAAATCGTGCTGCATTAGAACTATTTACAGCAATATGTATTATTTTCGCGTTAGCTTTTATTCCCGCAAGTTTCCTCGTCTTTCTTATCGATGAGCGAGTCACCACATCAAAGCATCTACAGTTTGTTAGCGGTGTTAAAGGTAAGGAAAGATTTCTTTCGTCGAAGTCTCCATCAAACGGTTAAACAATTTTCTTTAGGAATGACTTATTGGTGCGCAAATTTCTTGTGGGATCTAACAAATTATTCGGTTTCAATTGTCCTTTGTCTGATCATATTTCTAGCCTTTCACATTGATGCTTATGTTGTTCCAACTAATTTCTTTTGTCTCACCTTATTACTGTTTCTCTATGGTTTCGCAATTATTCCACTGATGTATCCAATTAGTTACCTTTTTCAAACGCCATCAACGGGCTTCGTACTTATCTCGTGTATCAATATATTTATCGGTTTAATAACTACAATCTCGACGTACACCTTGGAAACATTCAATGATGACGCAGATCTGATGCGAGTCAATAACATTCTCATGAAGTTATTCTTAATTTTTCCTCATTATTGTCTTGGCCGAGGGCTATTCGACATAAGTCGAACGCATGCAATCAATGTCATCAGTGCTAAATACAGTTTGTGTTGACATACAGAAGATTCTTAGTTTCATATCTGAATATTCTCTTTTAGTTACAGGTTATGTTTCCGTTTCACCATTTCAAGCGAATATTGTCGGACGTAATCTGTGTGCATTGTTTCTCGAAGGAATTTTGTTCTTTATAGTGGCTATTCTTGTTCAATATCGATTCTTTATTCCTGATCGGTGAGTACGAATAGAAAGAATGAATCTTCTCTTGACTTGCGTTCTTATAGAGGTTGCATTCGCATGCCGAATGATCTGAAATCGGTATACGAAGATGAAGATGTTGCGAATGAACGCGCACGCATCCATAGAGATCAAAATAATACAAGTAATGATGTTTTACGTCTGATTGATTTAGTGAAAGTAAGATAAGTTTAGAGGTGATTAAGATACTTATTCATAGGAGAATCTTCTTTAGATCTACGGACGAGCTTGTCGTCGACAATTTGCTGCCGTGAAACAAACTTGTGTCGGTGTAAAGCAGGGTGAATGTTTCGGTTTGCTCGGCATCAACGGTTCGGGAAAATCCACTACATTCAAAATGCTCACCGGCGAAATATCTATGACCGATGGTAATGCCTATGTGAACAACAATAGTGTTATCAAACATTTGGACAAAGTTCGTCAAGATGTCGGGTAGAAGAAATCTTCTTGAGTCTCGATCGAAATTAAAATAGACATTTTCATTTAGTTATTGTCCGCAATTCGACGCACTTGATGTCTTGCTAACAGCACGAGAGCATCTCTACTTCTATGCTCGCCTACGTGGCATAAAAGAGAAAAATATTTCATTCGTAAGCACTTTTCTGGTTGATAAACTTCTAACTCATTCCTGTTCCTCTCGTCAGATCGCGGAGTGCCTATTAAAACAACTTGGTTTAACCCTATGGGCGGATCGACCTTCTGGACACTATTCGGGTGGAAATAAACGAAAACTATCGACGGCGATTTCCTTAATCGGAAATCCTTCAATTATATTCATGGATGTGAGTACTTTTCAGTATGTCATTCAAAAATGAGCGTACGACTGTCTTCCGTCTGTTTCACATTGGTTATTCAATAGAATTCATGTTTAATGCCTATTCTATTCTGGTGAACGAGAGCAGCCAAGTCACGAAGTCAAAAACAGTCTTTAATTAAACCGAGCAAAATTTAATATCGACAAATGAATAAACTAAATTCAATTTCTATTTAGGAACCAACAACAGGAATGGATGTACGTGCGAAACGCTTTTTATGGAATTGTATCTTGACACTGACGCGTCAGGATCGCAAATCCGTTGTGATTACATCACATTCGATGGAAGAATGCGAAACTCTATGCAACCGTATTTAGAAAAACATCAGATTATTCGAAAATAAATTACCGAAAATCTTCCTGTTTAGGACTCGTTATAATGGTAGCCGGAGAATTCAAATGTCTGGGTAGTGTTCAACATTTGAAAGAAAAGTACGCTGAAAGACTTCCTCGTTTTCGTTACTGAACAAAAATCATGTTTCTGTCTAGATTTGGCGATGGCTACACGATTCTAATTCGTACGAATGTTGATGTCGACCGGCAAATCGTGATTGATTACATTCAAAAATCGATCCGGGAAGCGATCGTTAAAGAGGAACATAACAAGATGATCCATTTTCGCGTATCGCCCAATATTTCCCTACACAGAATGTTCACTGTGCTCGAAACTGCTCGGGAAGAGCTAATCAATCTTATAGAAGATTATACAGTCACCCAAGTAACACTTGACGATGTATTTGTTAATTTTGCTAAAGCACAACAAGATAATTCGGATATGCCGCACAAAACTGACAATGAAGATCTTTACGAGCTAACTTGCCGAAAAGCTAATCGGATTGGTGGGTTTAAGCTTATGTTCAAACAGCCTAGTTGATTGAAATCTTTCTTTCTAGGACCGGTCTGAATACACGGAATTGCATGATGCTATTAAATACCCTCTCCTTCGTCTTTCTCTTCTTACAGAAAACAATAATTCTATTTTTTCAGAGCAATATTTTTTCTCTTATTTTGTTTTATGATTATTTAAATATACAATCTTGAAAACGAGACAAGACAAATGCACTAGTAATAGTTTCTTTTTTTTATTCTTTATTGACATCGATAAATAAGAATGATATGAGCAAGAATTGCATGCTTTCTAACTGAATAACAAACTGCTATGCATTATGATTCGCCATTTGTTGCCGGGTTAAGTCTCGTATTGAACGTTTTCGACCACTGAGTGGACTCATACAACAAAATCGACCTAAAACGTATTCATGTAGAAGCGTTTCGATAATCAAACAGTAGATCTTACGTTGTACGGTTGATTCAGCTGGTAATGCGACGACTTGTTCATTGTATAATGCATCCTCTACTGGACTAACGAAGTTTTCCAAGGTCAATAGTCGACGAAGAGCACGTCGTACATCGTCATCGTCATCCTAAAAATAAGACATATATCAGACATGCAAAAAGTGTACTCAATTAAGATGATTAGACGAATAAATTGATCGATTTTGTTTTCTCCAGTCGACCCGGTTAGCCTTGTGTGCGAAACAATAGTGTCGCCTTATAAATATATACAGAGAAATCCGTCTGGTAGTTCAAGTGATCTTATCACTAACGACAAGGTCAATATCTCTTTGCTTGGAAACGCTTGCGTTTAGGTCAAGGCAAAGGATTATGTTTATGTTAATCGCTTTTAGTTCAACATGGATCGCGAAGAAGGTTTCATAGACATACCTGATCGAAATCATCGTTCATTAATCGAAACGAACGAACAAAGAGAAATTGATTGAGAATGAGAAGAAGTACAAATAGATAGAAGAAGATTGTCATTGACGAGCTGGTTTGTTGTTTTCTAATGCCAAACATGATGAAGTTCTCCGGTGATTGAATGTAAGGGAAATGTTTTGAAATGATCTAAGTTATGTCGGGTGAAGTTCGATGATATAGAAATGCGCCAAGGAATCTTTTAAATGATCTCTCCTACACAAAGCGGAAATGAGAAAGAACGTGACAAGCGATAAAGCTTTTCATCGATCGGGAAAATAGAGAGAAGAAGAAAGAGAGACAGGCAGACAGACAGACAGAGAGAGAGAGAGAGGGGGAAGACGAAATACATGGAACCGGTTTAGTTTCTCTCTCTCTCTCTCTCTTTGTTTATTAAACCATGTTCTCGCACATTAGACTTCACAGGTTAGAACAGTTGTCATGTGTGAGGCTATAAATATTATGAATAAAAAGACGGTATACATGAGGGTGGCATTAAGAATATTAAAATACATTGGAAGGTTCATTTGATAGACAAGTACGGTGGTGTTGTCCTGTGAAAAGAGGCTTATAATCTAATCAAATCTATATTTGAAAACCGTACGCATCAATCAATGTCAGAAATGTTCGTTGTATGATGAACACTAAGTGTTTGCAACATGCAAACTTATTTCTCGAAGAAAAATTCATAGTTAATCATTTCAATTAGCTAATTCATCTCTGGAATAGGATATTATTTTTGTCATTTGTAACAACTACGTAGTTCAATTTGACTTCACAGTGAAGAAATATTTGCCGAACGATATTTCGTTGTGTCTTGTTCAGAATTCATAATCACTACTGCATAACGATGTTTACAACTGAACGGAAGGAAATGAATAATAAAAACATACTATGCAAATTATATAACGTACTCCGACGCTTTCGTTACTGATCATGTTTTAGAATTCCTAATGATATTTTTATTACTAAATGAAACGAAATCTGATGAATAAACGAGTAGTGAATTGATGGGGTAACTCATTTCAAGGGATCAAAAATGTTGTTTATTTCAACTTTCTAAAACCTATGATATTTTATCAAAAGAAAATAAGATACACTATGCAGATTAGTACTCGTGTTAGTGGTTTACTTAGAAATTAGAAAAACAAACAAGAAGTCAGATAAAAAAATATTCGAAGATATATAGAAGAGATTATTCATCACAGATCGAGTTAGGAAAATTTAGTTGTGCATTTATACATCGGACATCATTGGCTTAGGAAAGTGATCACTGGATTTAGGTGAAGATGAAGTACTTGTAGTAGATGGGATATTATTAGTCGATTTTGTATTACCAAAGGAATCTAAATAGAAAAATCGTACATTTGACTTTGTTTCTTGTCTAAGCCAGACGACAATTTTCTTGTTAAGTCATTCAAATGAGATTTTACGTGAATGCTTACTTTGGACGTTCGCTTTCTGTTCATTATCGGCGCCTTGAAAGCCATGAATATCCACCGAATCATCTTCGCTGTCATCATGGTCTACTGTCCACATTTTTCTACCTCTGCCCACTCCAGAAATCTGCCTCATTAGAGCAACACCTGGCCGTTGTAATGGAACGGAATAGCCAATGTCAAAGGACGGCTTTTGACATAACCACAGCGAGCCCAGTTTTTTCACTTCATCACTCTTGTTTTCAATTAAGAATGACGAATTGGAATCCAGTGGATTGCAACTATCAAATCCGCACATTTTGAAGTTATTGATAATCCGAGCTTGTTCAGTATGTTCGATGTGAGTGAACAGATAACCATTTGGACGGAGTGTACGAAAAAATTGAGTGATTAGGTCAGTATCGATTGCGGAATCCTTCTTATTGATCAAATCGAAGAAAATCAGATCGATCGAAGATTGCGCACGTCGAGCTGATTGATTTTCAAAACAGAACTCATTGTTTTCTAACAATTTCAGAATTCGACTTACATTGTGAGAAGTCTTGCACTTTCTCAGGCGCAATTTGCGCTGTTTTCGATTTCGTTCGCAATGTATCTTGAAACGCCGACAGCTTGTCTTGATCAGCATCCACTGTCCATATAATGAGAATATTTTTGGCATTACCAAGTATATCGTCCATGATACTGTTTTATCTACAAATAGCGACGTTTTCAATACGCGATACTAGCAAATATCAACATTCGATTAGCACTGCTTCAATGCATCTTTTCATCGGTAGTGCGTAAATAAAATGTATTGAAGTCGTATGGCCACCCTATTGAAATAGGTTAGCACGTTCGACGACGTTTTTTTTTCACTGATTTATCAATATTTGAATGTCAATATTTATCTTTATCGAATCTGATGCCTGAGACAACGAGAAACAGATAAGATTTTCTTCGTTTCTTTATTTCAAACAGAAAAGAACGCATATATTGAGTCCATATTAAAGAGAAGATGAAACATACACACGTAGAGACAGTACAAAAGATGATGAAAGCAAACGAGAAAGTGTGTGCATATTTGTGAAATCCAAGACAAAGAAGAATGAAGAAGAGGAAATGACAATTCGAAGACAATGTAGGTGAATGAAAGGAAAAAATATGTTGAAATTCGTTTCTGTTGAAATAATCAGCACCATGACAATTGTCTCCGGGTTTGTTTGCTTCTGCTATAGAGAATATAGACACGGACAAAGGAAAAACCAAAAAGAAAGAAAAAACAAGAAAAGAAAACTGAACTAGATCATCTCTATTTACACTCTCATACAGTTGAAGAGAATAAGAAAGAACAAGAAAAACTGAATTTAAGAAAAAAAAGAAAGTGACAAATCGATGATGTTCACGTTTTATTCTTTGTGTTTGTATATACACACGTATAGATATTCTGTTTAGAGCGTCTTTACGCGTATTTGTAGAAAGAAAGAAAGAAAGAAAAATATATATGTATATGTAATTATAAATATAAGATACTATTATGGGATCAGTTCGAACTGTCATTCATGGATAGTTGAGCTGTTCGAGCTGATGCACTTGTTGTCGAACGTTTCGGATATGAACGAAGATATTCATCATCACTCAATTGATTTACATCTGGCCGATCGCGGACATTGTACGTTAAACAACGTCTGATGAATGTCTAAGAGAATCGGTTTCGGTTTCGATTGTTAATAGGTTCATGTTTTGCACTTACTTTTGCTCCATCGGATACGATTGGTTTGGCTGGAAATTCGACTTCTTTGGCTTTTAGTATTGTTTGATTTTCTAATATTGCAGCTTGGGATTGATTATGTCCATAAGGTTTTCGTCCGTATAAACACTGGAAAAAAATACAACCTAAACTCCATACATCGACTTTTGAAGAGATTTTTGGAGGGTTCGGTCCTTGAACAAACACTTCGGGCGGAAGATACCAATAGGTTCCTGCACCTTGCGAAGTTAAATCCATGCCGTGTTCAGGATCATAGGTGTCTTCGCACATCTGTTTACTTAAGCCGAAATCTGTGATTTTGATTTCTCCGCTACTGGTAGCAGTGCCCAATAAGATATTCGCCGGTTTAAGATCGAAATGAATCACAGGTGGTTTGATGCCATTGTTCAAATATCTTAGCGCGCTGACAGTTTGCATAACGACTGATCGAGCTTCTTTCTCTGGAATATATTTATGTTGTTTTAAGAAGAAATCAATGTCATTGCCTTCGATATATTCAAGGACAGTACAGAATCTAAACAAATACTCCGATGTGAGATGAAACGTAAATGGAAGTATTTCACGCTTACGAATCGCTATCAATTTCGAATACATCGTACAAGCGAACAATTCGAGGATGGTCAAGTGTTTTGAGTATATCACATTCACGCAATGCATGTCTATAAACAACGAGATATAACAATTAGTTTTGATTCAAGGAATGATTCTTACTTGATGTAATTCGCTTTCTTTTCTTCTTTCCATTCTTTGTTGAGTTGATGAACTTTAACTGCAACATATCGTTGTTCTTTCAAGCAGAATGCCTATAAAGATTGAGGATAATACTGAAAAAGTACTATACAACAAGTTTATTTACTTTATGAACTTCACTGAAACCACCTTTTCCAATCAATGTTAATAGTAGATATCGCTCATTGAGCACAGGATGATCTTGGAATCTAGAATAACGACAAATAAACGTCAAATGTGTTTATTCATCTCATTTACCTGGAATGATCTTCATTGTAGATACGTTTCAATTCGCGTATATGCAAATTTCGCTCTCTTTCGAGTTTTTCATATTCTATTTGAAGATCCATCTCTTCTTTCTTCAGCGATGCTTGACGCAAACGTAGGATTTCATCTGATTCATTCCAATCACTGACTAATAACCTGTGGTAGACGAACACACGACGAAAGAAATTGAAACAATTGATTTTGTACACTTCGTTCTACTTACGCTTTATTTGCATCATTGCTTGTCTTCATATCGTCATTGCTACTTTCATCTTGAGGTACAAATCCACCCGTGCGATCCTTCGTTCTGGATTTGGAATTCGGTGTTTTCGGCGGTTTCTCTTTCACTTCACAATTCGGTCGGCGACGTAGTAGATTACGCCGTTCACGGTCGAGTTCTTCTCGCGCTCGTTGTAGCATTTCTTGCTGTCTAAAAGAAAATTTTCATGAGGTCAGAATGGAAAAAGCAAACGAACAAGGAAAATTCGATCGTACTTAGTAATATCAGTAAATGCGGAACCGTCTGTCCAATTTTCTACAAATGTTGCGCCTTGTCGTTGTGTCACAAATTGACCTAATCGTAATCGATTCTCCATACATTTTTGTCGTGCTTGTTTGCGTTCTAATGTTGACTAAACAAGGAAGAGAATTTCATTTTTCGTTCTTCCGTCATGATACTAATCATTAAACATACCTTTTCGACGAGTAATTTTTTATTCACAGCCAGGCATTTTTGCAGGATATTACTTTGTTTGTCGAAATCTTTTTTCGTTTCGGCTATTTGTCGACGTAACTCATCTCGTTCCTAGAAAAAGACAACAAATAACGATTCTTTTTTTCGAAAGAACTCAACTTTCTCAATTCTTACTCTAGTTAAACTTTGTATTTGACTGTTCTTGGCATCAAGTTCGCTGGATGCAGAATTTATCGATCCCGTGATTTCAGTCTAAAGAGCATCACTCTATCAAGAATCGAATCAAAAGCACCGTGCTATTTTACCTGAGTTAGTTTGGAATTGACTGTTGATATACTCGATGATTCGGATGTATGATTTGAATTAGAACACGAATCACTTTGTGCAGACGAGGCAGGAGAGAATCCAATTTCGCGATAATTCGCAACATTCTGTGGAAAACCGAAAGATAAGAAATCAATCATTGTCTTCGCTTTTACTTTGTTTGTCTCAGTAGAATATTTCTTCTCCGCAGATGATTGTAGTAACATCGTAGATACTACAGGTTCTGTTTGTTGTTGTTTGGATTGGCTCATATTCATATCACTTTTACGTCGTTTTACTTTTTGTCCGTCAGAATTATCATCGGTTTTGGGCGCTCGCTTTCGTCGTACTTTATCCGTTGCTGAGTGCTTTTTTACTGGATTGGAATTCGATACAGATGTTGTTGAACCAAATAAACGAAATGGTGACGTTGGAATGGTTTGAAAATCGAGAATTTCACTATCGGGAGGATTGACGATGTCTTGTTGAGATAAATGCTAAACAAAACGATGAGAATCAGGAGAGTCAGTTATTCGAAGAAGAAGATGAGTCGCATACGCGTTGTAAACCGTTATTGGAGGGTGGTGCACGATTATCGACAGAATCACTACGTTGGGGAAATAATCTGAATGTTAAAGGAAGTACATCTTGACCTGAAATTTCGAAGGAAAAAAAACAAATCGTAATTATTTTCTTGAGAAAAGCTGCTTTTATCGGATTTTTACCACGAGAATTGAATTGATTTTCTGTGGGCTTTGAAACGAGATTCATTCTAAAATAATTGTCGTTTTTTTCATATCTAAACAGAAAGAAAAAAGAACTAAGGATTTACCATTCTAGTTGTTTGTCATTTCAAGAATACTCTAAAACAATAACAACACCTATCGGTAGAGGGCACACATCGTATTCACGTGATTAATTGATAGAATCCAAGCGTAAAAAAAGAAAATGAGAAGCACAAAAAAGCATACACACATATATTACCAATATGAAAGAAAGAGAACAAACTTTATTCATTCTAAAGATCCCTCCTCATTGGTTTTTAATATACACACACATCTACATATATATTTCCGGTTATAGAAGAATAAGAAGAAAAAAAATGCAAAAAAAAGATACTCTTCGGTTGAGATCAATGTATGATTCGTTTTGTTGTCATTATTGACAAAAGAAAAAGAACGAAAGACAGGCACGAGAGATTGATCATATTTAGTGAGATTTTTATTTCGTAAATATTAATCAGCGTAGCGGACAGTCATAGTAGCATCGCCCAGTGTGTGCAACTCGACCGATCGATCGTTCGAAGAAGATTCGTTCTCACGTCATTTATTTGTTTTATGTCCAACCAATGAGATATAATCATCGACGTAAAAGAGGGCTCTCATTGACGACATCGTGCTCACTCATTAGGCATTGTATCGAAGATGGAGAAAAGAAGCAATTTTACTTTGACTTTTTTTTTTATGTAGTCACCTCGGGATATTTCAATAATACTTATCATCGATGACTAATAATATTCAAAACAGACGTCTCAAGACTATCTTGAACATTGTACAAAGCTCATCGGGATTGAAAGAGTAGCGAACGATATTCGTCTTGCATTCATATAAACGAAACATTTTGTTATCTATCATGATTGACGTTCAATCCAATATGTTACATACATTGCTTTTCGATTGCGCGAATCGAGAATTGCTTTTCTCTTTTGAATTTTGATGTTGATAGTCGGACGAGCACCATCATCATCATCATCACCAAATCTGCTTATGCAATATCGATGAACTTCTTATAAAAATACGAGACAAGTTTTTGATAGGATACTTATGAATATATTGGACAAATAAGAAGCTTCCGGACTTGATTGTATGTGCGCAAAAAGAAAACTTTTTTCGCATCATCGCATATTCAAGTGTCCAGCTTATCGATATGTTCGTTTTTGGAGTTAGGCAACTCATCTTGACTGAAGTTTCTCTTTCTCGTTTCAACATTTTCTCTAGTCTCATGAGAGTCGCCAAGTAACATTCATTCAATGCTGTCTGGTTGATCTCAAAAGATTTATTCACAAGGTAATTCTTACTATGCTTGTACATTTACTTGCGTATTCACACACAATGATGGCAAGTTCAAAGTAGCTTTCAGTTCCAGTCAGGTTAACGCAAATGATGATTAGAACCATTTGAATCTTTGATTAAGAATCAAATAAGACAAATTACATGGAGTTGTTCTCTTCGGTTCTAAATAGAACAGTTTCTCTTTCTCTCTATCGCTCTTTGTTCTTTCGTTCTCTCTCTCGCTCTCTTACTCACTCTCTCTCTTTATTCCCTTGCTTAGAAGTTCATATTTGGATATAACGATCAATTATATTGTTGATTTGACAGGTGACGGTAGTTAGTACAAACTGTAAGTATGTATAAATTCTTGTGAATAGTTTAGACCGTTCCAGTGGTATTCAGAGGAACGTATTACAAACTCTGGAATGGAAGATTTTTTGATTATTTTTCGTTATGAGAATAAGGGAATAGATATGTGAGTACTCTTTTTTTCTCCTTTTTCTATTTTGCTTCAGATGATTCGGTTTACTCTCCAATGAGGACAAGTAAAATCAAAACGTCTTCTCATCTTCTGCAATTCTTCGTTGTCTGGCAGTTGGTCAGTTTAACCGAAGGTAAGTTCAATTTCAAATAATCGGAGGGCGTTGACGTAGACCGGAGTTATTTGGTCACAATGAATTTCTTTTTGTTTTGATTGAGTGAAGAAGTAGAGTAAAACAAGGTCAGAGGGAGGAGCAATCAAATTAGACTAATGTTATTTTAATAGACATTTCTTTCTTTTTTTGCTTCTGTTTCTATGACTATAGCGTGAGTGCTTAAAAATCAATTAATCAGTCTGACCGATTTCTTCCATTTTCAGCTTATTGGATTCGCGATCTGTCATATTGTCCAAGAAAACGTGACGTAACTCGACAACGACAATGCTTCAAATCCTGTTTTGACGATAGCGATTGTCGTAGTCGATACCGTTCGTGTGTGTGCGACTATGACTGCGGCATGTCTTGTGTCAAACGAGGTAAACTTTTCAGTATCATCTTCTTACTTGCAGAGAATCTCCTGCTTCATTTTAGGCATTAGTTGTCCGTTTCTCGCACCGCCTGATCATGGAAGGATCGTGTATTCCAATGAGAATAAATTTGGCTCACGCGCAACCTACGAATGTGAAGCTGGTTTCGTTCTTGAAGGTCCAAAACATCGGCATTGCCAAGGGGATATGTGGTGGGGACCGAGTGATTCCGTTCCTTATTGCACAAAAGAAGGTATGAAGTAATTGAATTTGTCAAGATGATCATCTTTTTGATTACTCCAATATATACTGAGATAAGGATACAAACATCAACTTAGGTGTTCAGTTTCTATTATGTACGAGTCTAGACTTGTTATAGTGTTCAATGAATTGAAGATAATTATGATAAAGTTAAAAATGTCATCGACTACAATTGATTTTGTTCTGTTCTTCTTTGTGTTTCATATTAGTTTTTTGTCCTCGACCACCTGATATCGCTAATGCAGTTAATGATATTCCAAGTAGTATTACAACATTTCATGCTGGTTATTCAATTCAATATACATGTCTAACCGGCTTTGTCGGGTATGAATCATAACAAGAGATGTGCCTTTGAACAGATGTACTTAGGTGTTATTTTTCATTCACATAGAAATGGTACAACAACATCCGAATGTGCTTTTCTAGGTCAATGGACATTTGCGACGCTGAAATGTATTCGTAAGTTATACGAACGGTTCGTTGTTAGTTGAAAAGTGAACTTGTTTTTCAAATAGCAATCGATTGTGGTCCACCGGGTGTATTACGTGACGGGTTTTTAAGTGGTGAACGATTTGACTATCCAAATATCATTGCATTTTTTTGTAATGATGGCTTTGAACTTGTTGGCAAACACACGACTCGAGCGTGTCAAGAGAATGGTCTATGGTCAGGTTCAATGCCTGTTTGTCAAAGTAAAAAACAAACATTACGAAGATTTCATTGACTTGGTATTTTGTTGTTAGAGAAGTCATGCGGTGCACCACCGTTAGTTACACATGGAGAAATCATTCAACCTGACCGAACAACAAATGATACTGTTCAATACACTTGTGAAGATGGTTATCATCTGCAAGGATCTTCAATTTTAAAATGTCTCGCAGGTGAATGGCAACCGAAATCACCTGTATGTGAACGTAAGTTTTGATTAATATTTAAAAATCTGTCTTCAAGTGATAACTATCTGACCGGTTTAGCAATCACATGTAAGGATCCTCAGACAAATTTCAATGGATATGTTGAATTACTTTCCAATCAAAATTTATCGCAATATTCAATTGATTCAATCGTTAAATTTCATTGCCCGAACAATTTAACATTGAAAGGGTCGCGCGTGTCGAAATGTCACGTCAACGGCAGTTGGGTACCGAACATTCCCATTTGTGCAGGTTTCCTTCAAAGCATCTCTTTCCCACATCAGTACTTCGTTGTTTTTCTCTACAAATAGAACCGATTTCTTGCTCAATTCCATTTCTGCCCCCAACTGCTCGTTATGTCAATCACGATCCGTCCATGAAAATAATGAAAGATGGCAGTCGATTGGAATATGTTTGTGGTCACCTAAGGCATCGCCGTCGCGTCTTCTGTAGACAAGGTAAAACCTTTCCCAGAGTTCCGAAATGTTACATTGGTAAGTTCAAACCAAACGAATACACGTCATCTTATATTTTTGTATTTAGGTTGTCGAGTGCATAATAATGAAGTTCTATTCTCAAAACGATTCTATCGCCACAAAGAAATAGTCGAATATATTTGCAAGAACAATAGTTCTTCTCCACTCAATAACGAAACAATACGTTGCATCAATGGTACCCTCTCCAAACAGCCTACTTGCCGTAAAGTTCCATCGATGTGCACTGTACCACACATACTCTTTCTACGTAATATTGCAACGACAACAATTCCAGCAGGTACATTGTTCCAAATGGGTACATCATTCTCTTATACATGCAGTCAAGATTTTCAACCTGTGAACGAATCGGGAATGGTCGAATGTCTCGAAGATGGAAGATTATCTCATCATGCGCGTTGTGTACCAAAATCGTGTGAAGAACATCCGCCATCAATAAACAATGGTCGAACAATCTTTCATTCAACTATGCATAGTTCAATTGCAAAATATAGATGCTTTCCTGGTTATAGACTTGAAAATCATAATTTTACAACAGTTACATGCCAGTATGGACTTTGGTTACCAAAAGAACTACCTAAATGTCTACCAAGTAATGATCAAAGATTTTTTTCCTACAGAAAAAAGAATTAATTAACGACTCTTCCTCGTATTTATATATAGTCTTTTGTCCCAATCCTGGCCCTTTAGAACACGGAACCATCTATGTTGTACTTAACGATGAACGTATATCAGCAGTACCTACTCGAAGCGAATTTCGTTCATACATACCTACTGTTAATCATGGCCGAACCATCGAATTCGAATGTGACTTAGGTAAGAGAGTGTTCGTAATCTTTCTTTTATATTTCTTTTCTATATAGGATATGGTCTTCAAGGGCCAACTGGTTTGACATGTGTCCATGGTCGATGGTTGCCAGCTGAGAGACCAAGTTGCGTGCCTGGTAAGTTATCATTATTGAGAGTATTGATTATAGATCGATTCTTTCTTTGACTATTTAGAAAGCCATATTCAACCAAATATAGTATTTACTGGATAAGACTATTTATGAAACACGATGAAGCTAGTCTTCATCTTCTAATCGCTAGGCGACTCGTCTCTCTTCGCTTTTAGTCACGAATGATGTTTTTCTTTTCTACCGAGCTGTTTAGTAAATGATATGTATATTGTTCCTACTACTTAAATGTCTAACAATTAACAAATGAAGCCGTATAAATGCGAGGAAAAAATACGGTTCAATCTATGAATAAATAACTTCTAAACACAGTCAATATTCGAGATGATTGTATATGATATAACACATTTCATTTTGGAGTAAAATCTTAAAAATAACAGACGATGTTTGTTTTAATATTTAACTAAACATACACGAAAGCTGGTGATTGATAAGAAGAAAGAATAACAACTATCTTAGGGCCTGGATCAAACTATTTCTGTCGTCCATACAGTAATCATTTCGGCATCTGATGGATAATTCGTTTCAACTTTTGTTCTCGAATATGAAGAACGAAAAAAGTACGTGCATAACCGTTGAATGCGTGCTCGCGTTGTTAAAAATTGAACCCTAAGGATACGGCGAATAAGAAAAAAAAACGAACTCAGATTGTTATTCTTCTCTTAACTTGTTCGTCCGCATCGAAACGTCACGGTGATATATAAACATCGACAATCTCGAATAAGTATACATTCACACATACACGCACACACGCTTGACTTCTTTGTCCACCATGCTAACTTCAATGAATCCAATCTTTGCCAATACGACCGGTATGGACAAAAGTGTCCTTCGTCGGTATTTAGAACTACCGCAACCAGATAATAAGATTATGGCAACTTATGTTTGGATTGATGGCACAGGAGAAAATCTTCGAGGTAAAAAATTTATTCAATTGTGATGTTTTTGTGTAGTGATAGACGTTTCTATTTAGGTAAAACTCGAACAGTTGATCATGAACCAAAATCACCAGAAGATTTACCATGGTGGAATTTCGATGGTTCATCTACTGATCAAGCCGAAGGTTCAAACTCTGATGTTTACCTTAAGCCAGTTGCCATTTTTAATGATCCATTCATGCTCGGACGAAACAAACTTATTATGTGTGAAACATATAAATATAACAAAGAACCAACAGGTTAGATATGGATTTCAAAACGATCTTATGATAGAACATCATTTTCTAATCTTAGCATCAAACAAACGAATCGAGTGTGAGGCAGCAATGAAAGCTGCGGCTAATCAACATCCATGGTTTGGCATGGAACAAGAATATACACTTCTCGATCGTGATGGTTGGCCATTTGGTTGGCCCAAAGGTGGCTTTCCACACCCACAAGGCCCATACTATTGTGGTGTCGGTGCATCACAAGCACTTGGTCGAGATATTGAAGAAGCTCACTATAAAGCATGTCTGTATGCTGGCATTAATATTAGTGGAACTAATGCCGAAGTTATGCCTGCCCAATGGGAGTATCAAGTTGGACCGTGTGAAGGCATTGCTGCTGGTGATCAACTTTGGATGTCGCGATATTTATTACTTCGCATTGCAGAGGAATTTGGTGTGCAAGTGAGTTTCCATCCAAAGCCTGTTGCAGGTGACTGGAACGGCGCCGGATGTCATACGAACTTTTCAACAAAAGCGATGCGAGATGCAAACGGTATCGGGTAAGTTTTGTTTTTCAGTTGCCACTAAACATGTGACTGTTTGACATTCACGTAGAGCTATTGATACCGCAATCACACAATTGAAAGCTCGTCATAAAACACATATCAGTGTTTATGGTCGAGACAATGACCGACGGTTGACTGGTCGACATGAAACAGCCAATGTAGGTTTTCATTGCTAAAACATATCATATTGAATCATCAAATTCTAGATTAATCAATTCAATGCTGGTATTGCTAATCGTGGCGCATCTGTACGAATACCTCGGCAAGTTGGCGAAGAGAAATGTGGTTATTTAGAAGACCGTCGACCAGCATCCAATTGTGATCCATACGCTGTTACCAACATCATTGTTCGTACTGTATGTCTTGGTGAAAAAGATACCGATGAGCTTCGTTATACTTCAAAGAAAGCTATTACGGATAAAGAATAACTTATCATCCACTGAACTTAAGCATAATCTTTTCCTTTTCTGTTCCTAATTTGTATGTGCATGCGTACACAGCTAATAAGTCTAGTTTTTTTTTTACAATTGTAATCAAATAAATCTATTCGTGTGAATTATCTCTAGCCTACTCGGAACAACGTTGTGTTTTTCAATGGCAAGCGAAATAGAAATTCTCTCTAGCGTAAAACCTCGATGCAACATTTCAATACAAACTTCACGGCAATTCTAATTTTGTCTTGGTTTGCTCGCCCCCCGCCTCGCGCTCATCAACAAACTGTCATTTGTATATACTTCAGAAATAGTGTGAGTAGATCGCTCAGATTATCAAATGACCATGTCATGTCTATGAAGTTTCGGTAAATGATCGAGAGAAGTGATTATACTTCTTGATTAAAAATACATGCGAATGTCCTTGCACGATTATTTGATGCATTACAAGAGAAAAAATAGTGGTGTTGTTGTTTCCTCTTCTTCACTCTCATTGATCAAGGACACTGTTTGTTCAACGGATTTTGTTGTTGCGTTCATCATTTCAAATAGTTTGTTGAACTTGTCGATGACTATCGCAGGAAGCATCTCTCGTCAATATTGGATCTGTGAGAACGTGATCGAATCAAGTCATTATATGTCTCAATCATGTAGAACATGATTTGACATATTATCAGCTGAATGGAAAAGTATATGATGCAATCAAAGAACTGTTTCCGCCAAAATATTTTCCATCTTACGTGGACATCAGTACCATTGTACCCAGCAGTATAACAAGAGGAAGTCACTCGAGCAACTTTCGAGCTGCGAATTGATATTTAAACTAACATCAGGATATCAATTAGCTTCTCTCATTTCTTTTTCTTATTTCTTCATCTCATTCCCTTTTCTCATCATATATATATAATTTAAGAATCTCTTCTCCTTGAAGAACTACTCCAAAAAAGAAACGATTTCTGCTTCATTTCAAATCTAGTCATCAAAGATATGCACGACGCATGTATATATATATATACACACTCTTTCGATTTCCATTTAACCTTGTCGCATGTTCTTTGACAAAGTTTGACGTCATTTTCTCGAGGAGAAAAGATTCTCGGTTTGGAAACATGCCGTTCATCGAGCAAGGAATACAAAACTTTGTGATGTTAAGAATGTTCTCATCAGTAAAATCAAAAGCTTATTTAATAATTACGTCCATAGAAGACTAGTGAAGTATATGGCATGACATATTCAAATGTTTTCCTTTTCGCACATCATTTATTCGAAAGAAAAGAACAAAGATGATCTTGTCAACGTATTATTTATCTATTATTAGAAGACTTCGTCGAGCAAAAAAAAGAAGCACCAAATCTAATTAAAACACCATTTACTTCGGCATCTATAATATGAGAATTTTCGAGGCCATCAACAGTTAATTACAACGTAGAACTTATCCGAACATTCAGCAAGTCTCCTATTTTTGCTTGTATCCATTAAGTACAACGTCTTTTTCACTGATTTCTTTTTATCTTACACATTTATCATTGCTTTAAACGCACTCGTACATCTAAGACATTTGTTCAAATTAGATATCACAATATTGAAGAGTAAAAGGGCGTTCGATGTTCATCATTATTAATCGTTTTGCGCTTGTACATATAAAATTGTTTATGACCGTAAAATGAACATGGTCATCATTCACTCGTCGAATGTGCGATAGGAGATGTGTGTATGTGCTCTGTCTACACAAGAGAGTAATTATGATAGAAGGCTTTTTCTTTCTTTCTCTCCGCATCTTCAGAGCATAAATTATTTTTTTTATGTTTCTTAACAGAATCAAAAAAAACGAGGTAAATCGAACATAGTTGATGACATTTAGTTTCTCGTTCTTCTGTTTTTTTTATTAGACAGATTTATCAGCATGATTGAGTATATCAGGTTTCATTTATCGAACAATTTCAACATTTGATGAAGTTAATTCTTCATGTGAGCCGGAAGTTAATAGAACATGGCAGTCGATGTCTAGACGGAAAGAAATGAAGATTCTTTAACTTTTTTTTTTAGAGATGGTCATTAGTATTATAGGACATACTTCATATGCCTAATGTTGTTACTAACAAGAGACAAACATTCATTTTGTTTAATGCCGTTAGCAAGAAAAGAAAAAGAAGGCTTATAAAAATGGTAACACGTCGTCTTGAGGGAAGGAGAANGCATCAGTTGCCATTCAGCTTGTTAGTGATCCATCAAATCGTGTTAAAGTTGCTATATTCGAAAATGCTTTTATCTCCGTGCCTGAAGTCGCCAAGTATTTCTTAACATATGCGAAAAGTGTTCTTGGTGTAACAAAATCAATTGGCTTTCTTTATCTGTTCGATTCATTAGCTAAAGTAGGACGTATCGAATGCCCGTGTATCTATCTAACTGGCTTACTTGATCCCCTTATTCCAACATGGATGTCAAATACTTTATATAATGAAACACATCTTTCAAGTAAACGGCAACTATACGAATTTCCGTTTGGTAAACATAACGATTTGCCAGTGATGAGAGACTATTTCGAGAATATACAATCATTTATTAATGAATTATTATCGATAAAGCCGGAAACTGAACAAGTGGTGCTAAAACAGTAAGATGCTTCATTTCCTACTGTTATACATATATAATTAGAAGATATCACTTGTTTTCGTTTTTTTTCTCTCTCCGTTCGGTTTGATATTAACGGAAAAATCTATGTTCATAATCTACTGGAAATTTTGTAAAAAAAAACCGTATTGATAAATAAAGAATCGTGTGTTTTGGCCGATCGAATCTTCTACGATAAAATCTCTTATTTTGATGACATATGGTGCACAGACATTCAAGGGTCTAAAGATTGTCATTCCCACGTAGAAAAAGGTCACGAAAAATATTCACTGATTCGATACGATCTTGTCCTCGACAAATATCAATGCATCCGATAGCTTCCTTGAACAGTTGTAAACTGATCGTCAGTAAGATAAGCAGTGTACTTGTTGAAACGCTTTGGAAACGGATATAATCTTTGGTAATTAACTCTACCTCGTTTCCCTGCTGATTCATACGATAAAGATTATGCTCACATACAATCGACGTAGACATGCCAAAGGAATCAATGATGTAAGACGTGATCGGCTGTTATCACTGTTAAAGAGCAAGGATCAAACAAGTATCCATCTGTTGGTCTCATCATTGGTTCTAATTGTCCACTCAGCGATGAAATCGAGAAATGTTTGAATGAATCACTGGGTTAGGGCATCTATCGTGAGCGAAACACGTATCTTTATAGACCTGTGTGCTTTTTATATCGAGATGTGAGGATGTTGGCGTAGAGCAGATGTTCATATAACAGCCACATCTACGGAACAATGTGAAATTCGCGCAATAACGTGTCATTGCACAATTGATATGTACGATTGTGACATTACCTTTTAATAATAGCAACCATGCCGTTTCTGTAATATATAAAGACTCAGTTTTCTGTTTGATTCAACATATTTCATTTTACAACTTGAACTTGCGGCATATTTTATCTGTTCATTTCTATCCAGACATGGTTGCGATAACTCGAGCAACTTTAGCACGTCAATTACAATCATCAAATACTAATACCACGAAAGCATGCACTATAGGGAAGAGAGTTACCAAGCAAAAGAAAAGGACTTCTAAACAACAACGGACAGGCCTATCCTCGTCTAACGCTAGAGCTATCAACAGTAATGATACAACTATTTCTGCACCATCACAAGCATACAATGACGTTGTGGGCAAGAGTAACATTACTGATGCTTTAGCATATGATTGCCATTGGAATCCAGTTGGAAGAGAATATGATCTTGGAAGAGATGGAGCATTCATGGGATTTAGCATCTTAATTGCACAATTTTACGGTGACTGTCAGTTTACTGATGCGGCAATGCAAAAGCCAATCGATGAACTGAAAATGAAAGGATTTCAAGTGAAACACGTCAAGACGGAAGATGAATGTGTCAAAGAACTTGCTTCGAATCAATATCAAGTCGCGTGGATTATAAGTGACTCGAACATCAAGAATCCAAATATGATTCCATCTCTGACCAATTTTCATTCTAACGGCGGTGCAATATTTCTATTTGCTGACGATTCACCATGGGTTCGACATGCGAGTGACTTTCTTCAAACAAAGTTTGGAATCACCGTGGAGGGAAACTATGGTGGTGGAAACAATATGACATATGAAGAGAACGGTCATCGAGAAAAAGGACACTTTGGTCAACATGAAATATTCACTGGAATCAAACATTTATTCGAAGGTATCACAATCTGTCATCCGGTTTATTCAACAAGTGCAAGTCGCACAGTGTTCGTTCCAATAGCAACAGCTAGCGACGGAAATACCAGTATTGCTGTATATGATCCACCATCAAATTCTACAGCCAATGAAGGTCGAATATGCTTAGATTGTGGATTTACAAAACTGTATATCAATTGGGACTCAGCAGGAACAGCTCGATATATTGTGAATGTCAGTTGTTGGTTATTACGAATTGAAAATCGTTTTACGTAGAAAAGAACAATAAGAAACTATTCTGTTTTTCTATAATGTAAACTAGTTCAATAATCATATCAAATAAGTGTTGGTTTTCAATCTTCGTCTTTTCTTGTAAATTACGTGCATAAAGAATTGATCGATCTCATCTTTTCGTTTCTCTATCAAATCCATTTTTTACAAAACTTCTCTGATTGATGACATTAACAAGTGATGAACATGTTCACTTCTCATTCTCGCACGACTGTAAAGGATATGAATAGAACAATACCATAGATTACATCGAATGAATGTAAAAGACATGAAGATGGATGATGGTATTTCCAATGGTCTCGTCTAGCTGAGAGAAAGAGTGAGATTGAGTACATTCGGGAAAATATTAATACAGTCATGATCTATCTTGTCTGTGACAAAAAATGTCAACTTCAGTCTAGCTAACTATTCAAAAATTCTTGTTCAAATCAAGTGCCATTAAAAAGTGTTCGACGATTAAATTACAAAATATTATGTACCGTGCCAGATTATAACGTCAAGGTTTACGAATTCGAGGTCATAGTCAGCTATCTGTCAACGGAGAACACCATGACCATTCATTACATTGAAAAGTATCTTTCATGTTCTCTTTCTCATATACGCAATCATCCCACTGACATCTATTGTAACTTTTGACATGGCTATACCTCAGTGAGTCAATCCACATGAGGTAAATATTTTAATGCGTAATAATTTCTCGTTCTTTCTGCGCGCTTATTTCAGTAGCGTCAACACGGATTTTTTCCGTTTCTTTTGGTACATATATATAGTATATGCATGCGACGCTGACGCAAAAGAAAAACAAACAAGCAGCAGCAGCGTGTTAGACAAAATATAAACCAATCGGGGTTATCTGACTCATCATTCATGTTTCCTACAACATATGTGCACTACACTGATGCCGATGGGAATGGACGTATAAAGACAAACAACATATTCGGTACTGGAACCTCATTGTACAATGTTGCTCAATGGATTCTACAATGGTTGAAAGGTACTTATGCGTTTGACATACAAATTTGGAGCCCAAATAGCAGTCAATGGCTTGATTTCGACGATGATTATATAAACCAGCAGGGTCCGTATGGCAAGCAGTCAGAAGTTCATCTGAAAGTTCTTCGCACCAGTGGTGAAATCTTTCAGGAGGATCGTTTCTTATAAATAACGTTTCTTTTACAGATGGTCGATTTCGAAATTCAGCACTAGCTACTCGGAAATATCAGGCTCCATCGTCGGTATTAGTCAATTATACCAATCCAACTATTAGTTTTATTCGAGATATTCATGCCGAGCAGCGAGATGAAGACCGTGATAAGAAGTCAACAATCAAAAGTGATACTGGACGCAATCCTATTTTTATTAAAGTCAAAGTAAAAGCGTATACTTTGTTTTTATCTCAAAAAGTTATATTTTATGTATAGATCATGTGTCAAGCTAGCAATGCAGCAAGTCCTTCGGCATATAATATATTGGTCTTTCTCGTATGGGAAGTCTGTGATAAAGGTGTTCGTACCTTATATTATCATCCATATCGGAAACTAGTTAACGACTTAAACGATGAGGCTTATGTTACTATTGTTCCAACAACGGATATGTTTGGCCAAGGAGTTGCGTAAGAAAAAGTTAAGTATTGTTTTTTTCTTATTACTTCGCGCCTTTGTCTGCAGTCTTGATGTGTCAACAAAAGGAATTCCTGGTTCAAAAACAGGTGGTAAAAACCCAGAGAAGCATCTCTTTTGCCATTTGGAAAATAGACTCCATCAAGAAACAACTTATGAAACAAGTCGCTTGGCGTGTTTACTGACAGTCAATGGAGATCCTTTGTGGCGTACACTCGCACTTTCAAAGCCTACGATTTTCACAAGTAAACACAAAAGATTCTTATTTTCTTGTATGGCACGTTTTTCTTTCAGAGTCGTATTACACGGTTGAAGAAAGAAATGTGCTTGATTGTGATGGACAAGTTGTAGAAACAGTACGGGTTCAAATATTTAAACGAAAAAGGAATCTGAATCAATGTGGTAAGATTTATTCAATAGTATCATTGAGAATGAGAAGTATCTATTTCGCTTCTAGACACAGTGCCACAGTGTCCTGATGTAACAAATCGAAAAGTAAGCAAGAAACGAGTGGATAATAATTCAACTATCAATTCGCTGATTCATGCTGGTGAAAGTAGTCCTTGCTCTACTGGAGATGCTACCATTCAAGGTCTACCCGTTACTTGGGCTGTTCCTCCGACCCCTCAGGTCAGTTTCTGCTTCAATTAGATAGCTATCGCTGACTGTAGAATGATGATTTAGAATTTAAACGATCAATATCAAACTGTTCGTGGTATTAACCAACCACCTGAACAGCTGTCACCCCATTGGGTAGCTAAATGTAAGCGAGCCGTTGAAGAAAGTAAATGTCATACTAAACCATTTATTCTTGATGGAATAGATTTGTGTGAGCTCAAAAGCAAGCAAAATACCAATGCACCAAAAGCCGTAGCACCGAACGATGATGCTGATCAAGATGTTTCTCCAAACTCATCATACATTACGGTAAGTAGAATAACATGCCTTTTCCCATGACAAGCTTCAACCCGATTAAGTCACTGTGAGATTCTATCATGAATTGGTTATTTGTATGTCTTCAAACTGTTTAGATAAAGCAAAGGGAAATGCGATCTTTCGTATTCTTGAAGTGTATTTCTTATTAATTTTTGTTTTTTGCTAGCTCTCAAGTGGATATATATCTCAATTCATTATGGAAACCAATACAGATCAATCTGATATTATCAACAATCGAACAGTATCACAAACGGCACCCTTTGCTGAGATCAGCGATAGAGCTTTAATCATACCTCAAGAACAGCTCGTCAATGGCATTTCGCTCAACGGAAAAAAAACAAATACCAATGCACCCGGCGATTTTCAAGTACTCCACAGTTGGTTCCAGACGTAGTCCAAACAAATTGACTTTTTAGTGTGACTTTGCTTTCCAAGCAATTAAAAAAACTCCTTCTCTAATCATTCTAAATAGAATCAACAAAATGGAATATCTCACGTCGAGTTTTCTTTTGAGTCTTTTCAGTACTTTCTTCTACCTCAAAGAATGTTCAATACAAATTTGTGCTTGTATCGATCAGTTTCGAACCTGTTCAGTAGATTTTGTTAAAATAAAAGTAATAAATGTGCACAAAGTAAAAATGATGTCAGCAGCTGATATCCTCGTTCTAAAGAAAGAGTGCAATTGATTTTGATATTTTCCAGCAACCGCATTATTTGAATTACAATTTTAAAAGCACATGTGTGTGAAAGTCAGGACTCGTTTTTTTTCATTGGAAACGCTTTTTTTCTTATTAGATGCTCTTTCAGGTTGATGAAATCGTATCTGCTATTCCGAATCTTCCAACAAAAAAGCCACTGCGGCGAATTATCTGCTGTGTACTCGTGTTTCACGGAATAAAAGAACTATTTGAGACGACTGAAATTATATGAGTTTAACCGTTTTTTCTTTACTAGTGGAAATCAAATCTGCATATATGTAAAGAAGCATCTGTTTAGAATGAATAATCGTGTAATGAATCAACTGATGCACAAAGGCCAGCTGATGCATGACAAAGAAAAGTAAAAGAATTGTAATAGCAAACACAAGAGAGTAATTCTCGTAAAGGAAAGCGAGGCAGACAAAAAGATTTCGTCGAAAGTATTTTTTCTCATCATCCTAATTTTTCATGACGTTTTCTGCAGTAAAAAGAAAAACGTTTTGTGGCAGAAAACAAATACACACCAATAGTCAGAAGATTTGTCGGCTGTTCAAAGTCGAATTAGAAGGTAGGCCATTGCGTTTTTCTGTTGTCACGAAATGACGCGATGATTTTCAATCTTCTGCACAAATCAAGCGAATATTCATGATATACAAAACGTATCAATATTTATGAGAAGTGTATTCATGCATTTATCATTTTCTTTTTCTCTCCTAGAATAGTAGGCGAGATATAGCTGTTTTATTCTATCACCGTAGAAAATAATGTTGAATACAAATGAAAGCAATCCTACTACGTTCTTGCCGTCATACCGACGCTCGATACCGTCAATGTTGTCTCGATCTGAGTCGACTCGAGATCGTCGCAATGCTTTGCCGGATACATCATCGATATCCCACAATGCAAATACTTTCCATCAAACGCAATATTGTCAGCAACTAGCCAATCGAGTTCGAGAACTTGAAGATGAACTTATACCTGACTATTCTCATTCGAGATTACCTTCAGTTTACTCGTCATATTCAGCATTGACACCGTGCTCGAGCATTGGTACCAGTGGTATTTCAACGTATGGACGACCACATAATTTTCCCATTAATTTGGTATCACCAAATACATTAGTGCCGACGGAACGGTATGGTTTATCTCCGAAAATTTTCGAACGTGCTCATGCGATTCCTGAACGGTTTGTGTAGAGAATTAGCTTGAATAAATTCAAATCTTTGCTTTTATGTAGATTTTGGATCGACTGGCAACAGAAACAAATGCAACAACGAATCGATGAACTTGAATCAATCAAAAACAAATCAGTTAATCTAAATGAATCTGATGCATCGATAATTGATCGTCGGAAAAGTCTGATATTACTACACAATACACAGCGTGACATCAATCTTCCTCAATCACGAAGTTTTAACACGACAATGTCATCAAGTGTCGACACTGAAACGTCGTCATCAAGTGCAGCTGATGATCAAAGTTTATTTCAATTTCATAGACGTTCATTAGACAGAGTTAATACAAACGCACCGTTGTCAAAAGAATTATCGACTTCTAATTCCTCTAGGCGAAAGTTGCAGTCAACACTTGATCGTTCACACTTAACGATACCTCTACCATTTTCTCATAATATCTATTCTCCGTCGGTCGTTGAACGACCATCTGACGAGACAAACTATCTTCATCCTACTGTATCGACGTGTAGTAGCATCGAAGACGTAGCCAAAATAGATACTGAACTCAATGTCACTTTACTTTCGCGTAAAACTTCCGATCAAACAAGTCCTTTATTATATTCGAAAGCCACAATAAATCGAACGGTTGAATTTCAGTCTTCGTCAACGAAAAACGGTTGAATACACTAACAATCTATTTTACTTCATTCAACTCTGGGAAGCATTTACTTTAAACCGAGTCGATGCCTTGAGTTTTGCTTGTTCGTACCTGTTCGAAACAATAAAACTCTTTTCTTTTATTTGTGCAAGATCTCGACCAATTCAATTACTTTCGATGAAAGAACACATGTGAAAGAGAAACGTTATACATGCCGTGAAGCAGTAAATTGAGCTTATTCACAATCAATAACGAAAACAATTCAAATTAAAAGGAAATCAGAACGAGAGAGAATTAGAAAAGAAAAGAAAGAATTTTGTAAGCAACAAACAAGTAAGTAAAGTCTTGAAATTCTTATTTCAATCGATGCGATAACTCACAGCATGGACAATGTTTTGATTTCATTAAGTAGACGAGAGTAATGTAAAGAAAGAAAAATATGCATTCGCGAAACATACACGAGAAGATCATCGGTAAAAACAAAAACAAGTATACAGTAGATTTTGCTATTTTACATTCTTGAAAACAAAGAAATCACTTCTTCTTCTTCTTCTTCTTCTTGTGTATTACAGTTAAAATTCTATTTACCATGACCAGTTTTCTACCTTCGATACCAAAGAAGAAAGAAAACATCCGCGTTTTTGTTCAACGAAAGCGCTTATCGTCACGGAAATCTGTCCCGATACGGTCCGATAGTTTGACACAATTAACATCAATCCTAAACAAACAGCTGGTTAAAAAGAATAAAAATCTTATTCTTGTCAATTATAAACCAGTTTTCATTCAATCAAGTGAACAGAAATCTGTGCCACCAGCTCGCCAGTCTCCGAAGGCGACAACAGTGTCGAATCCTAATCGAACTAAGCAACAATCGGAGTCTATTCATGTTCCTGATGTCGAAGATCCATTTATGTTTATTGAAATGATGTATCAACAGTTATTCACCGAAGATGGACAATTGCGAAATGAGACTCAACCAGAAGTTTTAGCTAATTGCGTCAAACAGATTGTCACACAATCAAGACGTAGTTCAATGGCATTACGAGATTCCTGTCCACGAAAAAACGCCGCGGCATCGAGGACAGCATCTGTATCATCGTGGACGTCGCCTCATTTCATACCAAATACCTTCAGTGAAGAAGAAGAAGAAGAATCGCTAACGTTACGCCAAAGAAACAAAAGAATCGATCACTCGACACGGTAAAGATGATTTTGATATCTTCTACACATTCATTTCTTCTTCTTTGTGCTCTTAAGAAGTTCAAAACGATCAAGTATGGACCATACAGATCATCAACATTTGCATACATTTCTCCATTCCTGTCATCAAAAGCAATCCTCCTCAACAACTCAAACTCAACGAAAATTCGATCCGTTACTATCTGCGGATGATACAGACAATGAAGATCTTGATACATTTTCTGATTTCAATTCTTCTCGCAGAACGATTCGTCCATCTCCAGCAGCTAGCTATGATGAAGATACAACTGATTCGAAACGATTGTCATCTGGTTATCATTCATTGGCCGCATCACACCGTTCGCCAGTGTTGAAAACCGATTTCAATCTCGAACATCATTCTCAACCTGTACAAACTGCGACAACATCTATCGTCACTGTCATTCAACCAATTCGAGAATTCGTTACAAAATATCTTGATTTCATTCTTGTTAGTAAAAATATTCTCTTTATACCTTTGTTTATTTTCCTCTTACATCAACGACCGATACCAGTACGTACTTGAAACAACTCATTCGTTCGGTCACTTTCAATCAGTCCAAGACACTCTTACTTAAAATTTGAATAAAAATGCTAATCGAATAAGTCGCTTTTGCTCTCTCTCTCGTACATGTATTTATTTAATAAAACATAAAAGACGAAATCGTGTAAAAAATAAATTCGTAAATTAGTTCATTAACTCACAGGCGAAGTTTGCTGGTTCGAGCCTTCGCTGAATGTCGTTTTATCAGATTCAATTATGTACAATTGTACCGAATCTGAAAGAATATGAATAGCATTACCGTACAAAAGTGCGTTGATGCCAAAATACGATTCATCCTCATCAAAATAGACTTTCATCTTTAATCTTACCAGTGAACAATTTATGAATAATCTTTGAACAGTCGGTAGTTTTTGTTAGTTGAAACATTTTTCTGTATTTATTTACAAGAAGAATGAACTTGTGTAACGAAGTTCATATTGACGACTAAAAACGTCGTGTTACTGAATATATATTAGCGATAAAAAATAGATAATCTACNATTTTATCTTTCCGCATGTTGATTGACAAGGGTCATCGAAACGCTTGCGGCATCCTACTGATACTAGTAGTCATCTTCCACATCTTCATCATCGAAGACGACGGAGAAAAGAGTCTATCCTCTTCATTTGATATCTAATTGATTGAAGCATGTCTGCTACTTCACAATAAAGTAGATATCCTGGGTATGTTAGTATCTAAAAGGTCATTGGCTTCTATCTGTTAACGTAATTATTATTCTTCATCGATATTTACTAGTCCGCACGTTTTCTTCCCTCTATCTGACAAAATAAATAAACATTGTATCGGAACATTGAATCATCTGTAAAAAGCAGAGAGAGAGAGAGAAAGCTGTTCAATCTTTCCGATCGAACCTTTTCCAACGTTCTGCTTCTCTTCTCATGCTCGCCATTATTTTTTTTGCGAAAATGTCAACAACAGGTGTCCAACTGATAATTGACCAAAAAAGTTATATCATGACTCTAATAGTTCTCCTACGGTTTAGCGAGAATATGTCTTTCCTAATACACAGCGATTACGTCGATCAGTCTTCTGATTACATCGTTGTGCACTATGTATTTGTAACAAAATTTCCCAGGTTCAAACGTTCATCGAAGAGTTTATTCAATGAGAATAGGTAATTGAATAAGGTCGGTTCGATCTCATGTTGAGATAGTCGCGCCTCGTATACACACGGCCACACTTCATATTAGGCCCGCTAGCTATTGGACAGATTGAATGATCGACACTTTCTCTTCTTTCTATGAGAAAGAGAGGGAGAGAGAAGGAGAAAGAGAATGATGGACAAATTGTCGTTCATCATCATCATCATCACCACCACCTTGTCGTTTCTTTTCTCGCTTTTAAACTAACTGTGAAACATATATTCACATTCATATTTTAGAATCGAATCAATGCGTAACGTTGTCATATTTATCAGCTCTTATTTTTTCATACATCACTGTAAGTCTTACTATTTCTTTTTGTGTACTTTCGAAACCGAGCCTCCTCTTTTCATAGCGTTGGCACTCTCTGTTCACTCGGAGAATATCACAGTGACGAAAGGTGAAAATGTCAAATTTCGCTGTCAATTACCATTGGATTTCTCATCCAAAGATAATATTATCCAATGGAAAAAGTCTCGTTCGGACGATGACAATCTGATCATTTCAATTAATGGAAAAATACCGAAAATTTTCCAAAATTCCTATCAAACCGATCTCACTAATCAACACAGCTCGTTGGAATTATTTCATGTTAATCATAATGATTCAACAGCATACATTTGTCAAACATTTGAAACGCAAACAATCCTCTGTCAGTATAATCTTGTTGTACTAAGTAAGTACTCAGTAAAGAAAAATAATAGTCAGTAGCTGGTCATCGTTTTTCTTTCTTCAGTTATGCCTGAGGCACCATTGTTAACAATCAATAAAGTGGATATCGAAGAATATCAAGCTGTCACATTGACATGTTCATCACTGAATGGAAATCCTCCGCCTCAATACACATGGTATCGTAATGGCACACTTCTCACGTATGATTCGATAAACTTCGTTAGAAACTTTCATTCATTTGCTCTCTACGTTCTTCCAGTTCANGTCATCGTTTTTCTTTCTTCAGTTATGCCTGAGGCACCATTATTAACAATCAATAAAGTGGATATCGAAGAATATCAAGCTGTCACATTGACATGTTCATCACTGAATGGAAATCCTCCGCCTCAATACACATGGTATCGTAATGGCACACTTCTCACGTATGATTCGATAAACTTCGTTAGAAACTTTCATTCATTTGCTCTCTACGTTCTTCCAGTTCATTGAATGAACAAGTGATCACAACGGGGAATAGCTCGTCATATACATTTAATGTGACGCGTTTTGACAATCAAATCAAGTACGAATGTCAAATCTGGAATCAAGCACTTGCAAGTCCATTTCGTCTTGAACAATATTTACACGTAAAATGTAAGCACAGACGTAAAACGCGACAATGACCATATGCTCATCTTTTCTTTTCATTCCTGCATATGTAAATAGATCGACCATATGTGAACATACTTGAAGAAACAGCGATATTCTCAAGTGAACTAAATCAAATAAGAACAATAATCGGTATCGAATCTCGACAACAAAATTTAACTTGTCAAATTCATGCAAATCCGCCACCAACCGCGATCTATTGGATAACGAATGAAACGACCATTGTTAGCCGTAAGAATAGAAAAGAATTGTCTCTTTTCTTGAATGCATCACGAATATTTCGCGACTAGGTGAAAGAACGCTTCATATCCCACGTTTAATATCCGAACAAACTGGCGTGTACACGTGTGTGGTGGAAAATGCACTCGGTCGGCGAAATCGATCGATTTATCTTGACGTTGAATGTAAGTTTCCTTTCCCAACAGTAAAACTGTTCTTAATCATCATCACATTTAGATTCACCGCGTGTTCAAGCTGTTCAATCTCGTATCGTTGCCAATCGTTCAGATTCAGTTAATCTACGCTGTTCATCGACTTCCAATCCATTGCCATACCAAGTCAAATGGTTTAAAAATAACACTGAAATCTTACGTGATAACCATCTCATCGATTATCGAATCGATCACGTTGAACGAAACGATTCCGGCCTGTATACATGCACTGTCTATAATCGTTTCCATAACAATCAAACAAGTAATGGTTCAAGTACGATTGAACTTATTGTTCAGAGTCGTCCGATTATTGAAACAACGCACTCAAAAATAGCCGCAGAAGTTGGCCACCCTCTCATATTAACATGCCGCGTATTGGGACTACCAAAACCGGCTATAATTTGGAAATTCGGCGACCAATTCATTCAATGTGATGAAATTATCAACGAAACATGTTATTTACGTTTTTCGGCAATACCGAAGACAAGTTTTGGCGTGTATCGGTGTATTGCCGAGAACTTGCTTGGAAAAGAAGAATGGACTTATACAATTGTGTCGCGAGGTAAACCGGAAACACCAACAGATATTCTTGTTTCGGAAATTACATCATCATCGTTTAAAATACAATTCTCTCCGTCGTTTGACGGTGGAAGTGGATCACAACGGTTTACAATTGAAATTGCCAATTCATCAAATATCACCATCATCACCGAACAGATACCATTTAATATTTATGAATATACAGTCAAAGGTATTCAATTGATTTCATTTTTCCAGACATGATCTCCATTCGTTTTGCGTTTTAAGATCTAAATGATTCGTCATTGTACTTCTTTCGCATCAAATCAACAAACATCTATGGCGAAAGTCCATGGAGTATGGATATACCTATCCAAACAAGTGAATTGATAATCACATCGGATGGTATTCATATATTCTTTTTGAAATATAGACACGGATGTATATATGAATTCTTCTGAAACATAGATCTGCCGCAATTGCATGTTGTCTCGTATAAATCCAAGGAAAATCTACTTCAATTTGATTACTTACCAGATAGTTCTCGTTTATCGAATTTGAATGAAAATCAGTTATGTTTGAATATACGTCAATCATCCGATGGCAAGCTCTATCAATCTGTGGACGAATGTTTGCCAATAGTCAATCGTCAAGTTCAATGGAGAATTGGTAAAGATCAACCGTTCTTAAAATTAGCCATTTGTTCAAAGAAAAATCGCGAAATTTGCGGACAAGAGATTGAAATGAAAGAAGGTAAAAATGACTTGTTGTGTTTTGTTTAAATTTGAAAGACTTGTTTTTCTTTCAGAAATGTACAGTCGAGATTTAACACCGATGATTATTGTAGCAGCTGCTATAATCAGTTTTCTAGTTCTTGTGACTATTATCGTCACCATTATCTGTGCACGATCCAGAGCACGGAAATCGAAACCAAATACGAATAAATGTAAGTCATTTGATTTCAAAATCCAATTGTGCATGATTCTCGTTTAGTTGGTATCGTTGGTCTTGATAAAGATATTCGACCGTAAGTACATTTTCATTTCGAAATCAAATGATTCAGTTGTTTGGAAATCTATTTTAGTGACATTTCCGAGCCTCGTCTTCAAAATCCGTATATGCTGTACACAAATACAAATCCTCAAACACCATCCTATGACTATGACTATCAACAACGTAAAATAGCAAATTCATTTACTCATTCACGTACGTTTCTCTACGAACAATATAATCTAGTTTAATTATATCTGTTTGTATTCTAGCCGAAGTCGTCGATTACGAACAACGAAAGGATGAATGTGAGTATTATCAGCACATCATCTGATCTCGATGCATTCTTACATTTGCATTTTCAGACGGAGTCACACGACGTATCACAAATATCCATACTTCGCCTCATTGGAACCGCAGTGAATCTCGATCAGGTTCGAATCCTTCATCAGAATCCAGTTGTGTTACACAGCATACAAATATATTAATCCCTACTAACACAGACACTCAACATTCAGATCCGGCTTCAACATTAATTTCACATTACGGTTTTCCACCAATTCTTTCTCCATCACAGCAACAATCCTCGATTATTCAAAGTTCATCATCGAGTGAAACTTCGACACCCAATCGCATCAGAAAACTCTTCTATGAAGTCGTTGTTTAATATGTATACAGAGACAAGACACAAAGCCGGTGATATCTTGTTTATATGATCTAGTTGTAAATTTTAATTCTATAAAACTAATCGATTCATCTATTCAAATAATTTGTCTCGTTTTTGTTACTGTATAGGATTTCACTCTTTCTATAATTTAATCCATATCGAATAGCACGACTGTCAATAGTACTGAAAATTATTGATTAGAGTTTGTTCGAGTTTTCTTCATTTTGTTTATTTGATTTCTAACTATTAAAATTATATGAAACGTCTTATGAAATTCTTTGATGGTCCTAATATTTTAACAGAGATATACAATTTGAAGACTCATCAGAATAGGATATTTCCTATGATCAGTCTTCCGTTTATATGTTTCATTTAAGCCGCAAGAGGGTAAGCTGGTTAATTAACATCTTAGAGATCTCATTAATGATGAATTCATTCATCTATTTTTTATACATTGCAATGCAACAGCTGGCTATCGATTCAATTAGTACTGACTTCGTGATTGATGAAAGTTATTTATGTTCATTTCAAAACACAATTTATTAGTTAAGTCTTTGACTAAAAGATAAGTTTGTAAAGGAACGAAAGAAAGTTATGTGTAAGTAATTGAAATAACACTAGGAAATAGGAAAAAGACGGATATTTCATGTGATCGAGATTTTGTTTATGCAGAATTATACCGTTGGCTTGATACTTATTTTTATAAATAAAATTGAATTTGATATTGTTTGTTATACATCATCTGATCGTCTAAAATAGAGAAATGAATAAAGAGTAATGAAATTAAAAAAACAAGCATACGAGCTGATGTCGATAATTTCAAGTTATCTTGGATATCCACAATGTTGTAATCCTCTTTTTTGTTTTTCGATGATATCCTTTTTCTGTATGTTCGCACCACTGTGAAAAACAGTACGATTACTGACTCTGCCAATGATAGTAGAATTGTTCCTACTGACGACATATGGTCAGTAATACACTCGGAATGCCCTTCACGGCAAAGATTCAGCATTTGTGGTGCCCATGACATGGATCAATGTCAACCAACATAAGTCATTACTTTGATTTGATTGTTAACGAATTGTCGAAGATATAATTGACGTTACACTATTCATTCAGTGTATCCGAAAAGCATGAAGTCGATTTGAATGACGTCAAGAAAACGCTTACCCTTGTTCGCTGGAACATTAGCGCTTGATAATTTTTCAATCAATGACTGACGAATCTTTTGTTCAATGTGGCTGTATAAACTTTAACCGGTAATCCTGTTCATTGCAATTCTATCTATTATACTTTAAACAAGATTTTCTACTAGAACACAAGAAAATGTAGCATTGTCAAGTATCAGGCTGGTGCGCGAGAGAAACAGATGACTTGACGGTTAGAATATATTTTGTTCTGTACCTTAGTTGAGGAGACAATCGATTTCCATTTCATTTATGAGACCATTAATTATTCCCAAAAGTTTAATTCTTTTTTTGTCGATCCTGGTATATTTTCGCAAGTAGATAAGTTGACCTGCTTTCGTTTCGTTAAGACATACACATGAATTACGTTGCTCGCAACCCGTTCTATCTGATGTTAACACAAGAGTCATCAAAATGATACATGGACAGAATATTCCGTCAAAAAGTGTACAGTCACAATATTTCAAACAGGGATGATGAGTACTACAATACATTTGTTCAAATTTCATTCATATATTGTGATACACGAATATTTAACATCGAGTTGTGCTAAAAAGAGATTGGTAGAAATTTTTATGGATGTCAGTTTTTTATACATACGCGGTTGATCACGCATGGAAATTAATTCGACTTCTTTTTTTTGTAATTCTTCCAGCAATTGTTGAGCTTGATGTTCATATGTATGAATCTGTGATCTCAATTGATTTTCTTGTTTGACAAGTGTCTCACATTCATCCTTAAGTGCAACACATTGATCTTCTTGAAATTTTAATAATTCGATCAAATGATTAATTTGATTCATCTGTTCATCAACTTTCTCTTCCAATTGTTGATTTTCCATAACAAGTTCGGTAATAATCGATCGCATACCTTCGAATCGACATGCAATCAAGTGATCATCTAATTGATTACGTTGTCCTATCCATGGACATTTGATATCTGCCGAATGACACGAAACAATCGTTTTCGGACATAGTTTTTGTACATGTTCTTCGATATTGATTCGTAAGATACCGATTTCTCCGCAAGCCAAGCATTCAACTTGCAGTCGATCAAGCATACTTCGAAGTAAACGTGGCGCTGGTGATAATCTATTGATTGACAAATTTTGTCGACAATGAGGACAAGAACTGCTCTTGGTTTCAATCCAGTTGTTAATACATGCACGACAAAATGTTTCACCACAAGGTGTACAACATGGATCAGTTAATGGTAAACGACAAATACTGCAAATCAATTCAGGATCCATAGACATTTCATCCATATATGCATAGAGCGAATTCATCGGTTGTCTATAACGAAGTTATATGTATAGGTGACAAAAACTCAAAAAATATCAGTAATACTTTACTTATCGTGCGATCGAGTAGGGATATTTCATATGTAACAATCAAATTTGTATGAGTATGAAGGCAAATATATTGGCAAAACAACGATGAAGGTGATCGACTAGAAGGGGTAAATAAGCGCATGGAATACGCCCTTTGTCGGTTTATTACGCAGAGACAAGGTTACATATTTGTCTTATCATTTACAAAGAATAGGTCAATGAGGTAACAACTATGGATGTATCTAGTCTTTTGACATTGACTCGAGCAATTCCGTGAGATGAGGAGGCAAAAGGAGCTTTTATTTAAAAAGAAATATATTCGTGTTCTGTAGACCGAACCTTTCGAATGATAATGTCCTGTTTACGATGTGACATAACCGGTTGTATTAGCCCGTCGTAATTCTCGTAAAGTTACAGCACGTCGTAAACGTTCAATGATTTTCTCACTCGATGCATATAAATCTTTTAATTGTTCAACAGCTTTTGGTCCACGTCCACCTTCTAAAATTTGGCTCATTTGAAAAGCAACTGTTTCCAGTGGTTGTAAACTATTTCGAAATTCACTTGGATTATTTCCGTAACCTTCAGCAGCAACAGCAATAAATTCACAAATACGATGTAAATTCGCAATGTATTTCACCGTTTGATAAAGATGACGTAAGACCGCTTCACGTTTGTCGACTTGTGATTTCACAAGAGCACTATCGAATAATGTGCCTTTATCCAACGGTATAGTGCCAAGCAGACGTTTGACATTTTCATTTTGCTTCTGTGTATTGGTTAAAAGGCGCTCGTGATGGTGAAGTATCGCAGCGTAGTAATATCGGCGGGACTGATTATGATGTTTAGCCAAAACTTCTTCTTGCAGCGGTACAGCTTCCTTTGGACAACGGAATGTTCCGTCTGGTGGATAGTGATCCTTCCAATACGCTATGCAAGTCCAGCAGAACTCTGTGCCACACCGGCACGTCATATGATTACAACCGCCTACAAAAATTTCAACCAATAACGTAATCTTGAGAAAGGCATGTAGTGAACTTACCGTTCTTTTCAATAAAATTATCACATGATATGCAATTTCGCCCTTTCACTTGAGTGATGGCATTGTAATCCGATATGAAATCACCGTTACGATAGACTTCGTCAATGTACAAACGATACGCACTACATGTTGCGGGAAAATGAGGATCTTTTCGGCAATGAAGACAGAACTCATGACCGCAACGACATCGGACATGTTCAGCGTTGGAACCGATCACTTGAATAATATTCGAACATGACTTCGACGGACATTTCGTATAAGATCGTGAAACATTGACGAGACATTTTTCGATGTTTCGTTCGTACAGATTCATGCACCGAACATTAATCAATGACAGAAGTGTACCTTCAAGACAATAAATGTGAACGCAATTGATATAATCGAATAGTCCTTACCAACGTCAATGATTGAACAACAATTCCATTCTGGACAAAGAACAACTTTGACTCCTTTTACTGAATTCTCCAAATATTGTCTCCAGCATTCGTTGCATAGCCAATGGGCACAGGATTTTAATGCTGTCATTGGGGTTGTTTCATCAATATCTTGGTAGCAATTTGTACAAATATTCGGTCTGATCAAATCATATTCGTCTGCAGATATTTCACTGTTCAATTCTTCTTCTTGTAAAACCGTCTTTGCTTGAACAGAACTTTTGTCCAACAATTGCAAATGACGGATTTGTTTATTGACAAATTCACTTTCGCTCAAATCATTATCTTCTTCATTTCGAATCAATCTTCGTCGACTTATTTCTGAGTCAATGGGCTTGAACGCTTCAAATGGTAAACTTGTTACGAATTCCACCGCCTTTTGCACAACATCATCCACCGTATAGATGGATTCACTCGACTCATATAAATTCTCCAATTGGATCGAATCAGCATATAAGTCCATGTTCAGACCAACTTGCACCCGACAGTACTGATCGTTTGTTGAATCTTCAAGGTTCGGAATGAAGATAAGGTAAGCATTCAATGTTGCATATGTTGGAAATAGCTCGAAATCATTTGCCCAATGATATGCTTTCAAACGATCAGTTATACAAATTAAATACTTGGTTGGATAACATTGAGCATGAATGAAATTTTTATTGTAAGCTTTTGACAAGAGGTCATCGTTCAAGTCCATTTTATGCATCAAAATCGTTCGAAATGATAATGGCATAAGATAATGATGAGGTTTCTGTTTTGGTTCGACATTTTTTCCGGTGCTCTTTTGCTAAATTGGAAGGAAAGTCACCATGTTACTCTTTTCCTGAGAAAAGTATGAAAAAACGAACTCGTTTTAGATAAACAGCTTTGTCGTGATTGTAGAGTTTTTCTTCTCGACTGATCTGTCGACGAAATTTTCTTCCAGGTTCGATGTCATCCAAATAAAAGCGAGAAGATTTCGGATCGAAGTTTTGCACTGTAACTAAGTTGTCAGCCACCACTTTGGTCACAAGATTTTCATCATCGGGAACAGTTCGAATGAAGTCAGTCAATTGTAAACCTATTGGTTTCTGCGATGAAACGCTCTAAAACGAAATCATTTCAACAAACTGTACGAGAATCAATCCAATAGAATATACCGGTGTCACAGGTTCATCAGCATCGCTGGAAAATTCTTCATCGCCATCTTCATTCGGCTCATCAATACGTATATGTCCTTTCGTTTGAGGAACTTTCGACCGTTGAGTCGTGCTGTTCGTCGTCTTTTTCGCTAGAATACAAGTGAATGTATACTCTCTAATTCCAGCACCAGAATGGTCCTACCTTTATAACCGTGCTGAATTCGAATATTCGATAATTGTTTTTCTCTCGGCGGTGGCACGACAGCAAAGTATGTGACATCAGCAGCAGGCTTGTCTGCTCTTGGACTGTTATTATTATTAGCAGCAACGGCATTTTCTTTTTCTACTATTAAGCCATGTCGTTTCACCAATGAAGAATCTTGCATGTAAGTTTTATTTGGTAATTGAGTGCGTCGCTGTCCGACATTACTAGTAATACTGACACAATTCGCTCCGTGATCAGTATCGTGAAATTCGTACAGACGATATTTTGTACGTGAAGGATTGATTGGCTTTTTTCGTCGTGATTTATTCTTTCTTTGTGGTTGTTCAGAATCCGATTGAACATCGAGTTCGTCATTCGATGAACTGGCTTCGTTGGCCAGATGTCGACGAAAGTCATTCAAAACTTCCCAACGTTGTCGTTTATTCAACGAATATTCTACATCGCCTCGTTCAATTCCGAATGGATCCGAAGAATTTTCAGGAGCATTTCGATAGGTTGCGCGTATATAGGATTTAGTTGACGGATTATGTGGATTATGATGTAAAAAGATAGTTTTTCCACCGGCATTGACACGCTTTGTTGGCCGTAGGTTAGGTTTTTCGTTTTGATATTGATTCGACGCCATTTAAAATGAAAATAGAACAACAAGTAAGCTATTCTACGCAAAACTGAATGTCATGTGGTAAAGAAACACGTTTCTCTTTATATACAACCATCGATGAAACACACGATTAATAAAGTCAAGGTATATCATGTATATACATAAGATCACGATGTAATGATGAAATTTCTTTGTCATTGCTTCATTTTGAGCTGTAATATAAAAGCTTAAACTAGTACAGAAACATGCACGCAAAAAAGGTGAAGGGAAATGTTGTTTTTCATACTGACATGTTTATCGCAAACATCACTTATAATTGAATATTAATTGAAATAAATTTGAAAATAGCAAAAATATATGCTCAAATAATTCATTTTATTTCTCCAATGATTACGCAGATCAAATAAGACACAAGAGTACCAGCTCTATCTCAACCGGCAAGTTCTGCCCTCTGGCCGCAAACGACATTGCTGAATTTCTAAAAACAGAACGACAACAAACAACAGTGAATGTGCATGTCTACACTACGTTATCGTCTGTTTGCGTTCTCACGAAACTATAGTAAAATAGAGTCTAAAAAATAAATTTCAACTGGTTGGACTAACAACCTTCCGTTCTTCTTCTTCTTCGTGCGTACCTATTGACTCATCATACATTCACTGTGTAAATAAAGATTATATAAACGGGATTAAATTTGAGCGTGTTTGAATCTAATGAAATATTTTTAATTAAGATTTCATCTCTGCGTACGAATGCAGCCATCGCCATTTGCTAATCCGACAACATCGTCACCATCACCACCATGGATGACAGCGAATAATGCTAAGTATATAAAAAGGAACTTTCGCTACGGATAAATTTTATCTATTGAATTCAATAGTATGGTGAACAATAACTCCAATTTCTGGTCCAGTGGTGGATTTCGTAAGCGGAAAGCCGCTGTTAGCGATCTCGATGAAAAGTAAAGCTCAGTAAGATGCTATCGAGAGTGAATTATGTTTTATTCTAGAGCCAACCAAAAGATGTTTGTGACAGAGGAGAAAATGGTGAAAGAAATGCAGACACTATCATTGGAATTAGCAACTCTTAACAATTCTCCACCAGTCACCGAGTGAGTACTACTAGTTTTTTTGTTATGTATGATGAGAAAATGTTTGTATTTCAGAGAATTGGTAGAGATTGATAGGCCTCAAAATGAAGTCGTCCAGGAAAATGATCTTAGTGATGATGACGATGACAAAGATAAAAATGAAAACATGGAACAGACACGATTTGAATTGCATAAACTATTGAAGGACAGTCTGAAAAAAGATGATTTACAGGATCGTCTTCTCAGTAAACTTTGTGAGATCGAACGGTAGGATCTTTTCTTATGACGACTTCATTAATTGAATATATTTAGGAGGAAATTCACTATGCAACTGGTGCCTTACATGCCGATTCATCCTGCACAGTTGAATAGTGAGAATGCCACAAGTGATGATAAATCCCAGGATGATGATGAAGATGAACTCATAGAAAATTCATCTGTTGTGATATCGGAAGAAGCGAAAAATGAAAATGATGATTATCAATTTAAAATACCATCGATACCAACACCTTACACAGTTGAAGAACCCTGTGACAACACGAGGAAACGTCCATCAGCAATGAAACGGTAAACAAAGAGAAATCTCTTGTGAGATTTTTTTCTTTCAATAATCGTTGTAGAAGTTATTCTCAATCTAACCAGAGCAATAGTAATTTATCAGTGACAGAATTGAAACACGATGTCAATGAACAATCATCAACATCTCAACTACCATCAGCTTATTTTATCGTTGAACCAACTGTAACTCCGTAAGTAAAAGAGCATCCTATCAAGTCTTTCTCTTATGACTCATTCTGCATACGGAATGATATATGAACTACAGTCAACATCGTATGTCATTACATATTGTCGTCAAAGAATAAGGAAAAAAACCGAGAAGAAATATTATAAACATTGTTTTCTTGTTTTCTTCTCTAGTTCCTGTCAAACATCGTCGAGCACGTCAAGTTCGTCACTTTCTACCAATGATCTATCCGTTCGAATAACTGAATTCGTTGAAAACCCTACAGCGCCCATTGAATTCACTAGTGCAACAGAAGACGATGATGTTGATATGCAATCGATTGCGTCATCGGATACCGGTGATAGAATGGATGATGATTGAGTGAACGTGAAAATAATGTCACAGGACTTTTTTTCTCTAACTTAATCTTGCTGTATCTCTCTGTGCAACAGATGTATTTGTTGATATTAATGTATGCTTTCATTTCAGATATAAGATTTCTTCTTTGTTTTTCTTTCTGTGATACACAACGCATGGCATCGGCACCTATAACAGAAAATTGTGTTGATACAAATTCCACTTCAACAGCAGAAAATCAAACCGTTCATCAGATACGACAATTCGATTTGAAAGTAGTACGCGATGCCTTTGTTGATTGTATTCAACCAGATCAAAATCTCCTTCTTCATGAATATGTCCGAGCATATGATGAACTATGCGTGTATGCATTTCTATTGCTTTTATCGAACAAAACAAACTGAATACATTTGTTTAGATTTGTTTCATCGCTCGGCGCTATTTTTGACTGGGCAATAAAAGATCTAACTCATAAATTAGTCATTCTTAGAGAACATCAACGTCTCGATCCGATTAATTATCATTCTATTCAATCAATGATTGCTCATGAAGTCAAAACAGATCGTGTCAAAACTAAAGACACAGCATTGACGCTTCCATCGGGAAAACCTTTACCCAATGGTTCTCGGACATTACTGAGGTTACACCGTGCACTTGCCTTCATTTCATCGTTCTTAAGTCAAATGCGTTTGGCATCGGACAATGAAAGCTCAGCAGCAATTGCATGGAATGCTTATTCATCCACGCTGGGTCATTTTCATTCATGGCCTGTGAGACATACGTATGCACAATCGGTTCTGTCTACCTATTTTCCAAAAAAAAACCCAACTCTTTCTTTAGAATTCATGCTGCTATCAAATTGACGGTGCCCGATCGTGGTACATTGATTGACAAGTTACTTAATAAGCGAAACCCGGACGAGATTGAAACGATTTCCATTGATATTGTTGAATCCTGCAATCTTATTGAAAGCAAGACACAAGAATTATTCGAAAAGCACCACTTGACCAGATTGCCTTAATGTGTAATATACTTTCTTTGTCTTTTTTCCTTCTATGATCTGCTGAAGTTAATCTTAAACAAGATGCAACTGTCAAAATATGATGGTTTTTCTTTTCCGATCTTCTTTAATGCGATTTTTACTTTTATTTTTTGCTGATAATTTAGAGAATTGCTTATGAGAAATGGCACTTTTGTGTACTGTCTAATGGCTAACAATAATATTTACAAAAAGAAAAGAATTCAGTATTCAAGCAATGAACAAGATATTTGCTAAAACGTTTTTTTTTGTTTTCCTTGTCGCTTTTTCCCTTTTGTTCACGTTGTTTCCTATTCCGACTGCAACTAATAAATGAAGTTGATGTCAAGTACCATGTTTCAACATGTAAGATTGCACTTTTCAATGAGCGTTGTTTCGAATCGAAAGAAGTAGTATAATCTCTATGTTGAACATAACCAATCAAATACGGTATTCGTACTAGGGAATGCACTTTTCGGGGAATTGATTTGAAACGAAAAAATGTGAAGATAATGTTCAGCGAGTATTTCTATCATGAAAATATTGGAATTCGGATTTTTCGTAGAAAGAAGAGGCCTGCTTGAAAATAAGATTTACATTGAAATAGCAAAAGAGCCTTTTCAATTTGATTTCTCTTCTGATGAAATGGGAAAAGATGAGAATCTCAAATAAATGTACAAAACTAATGTAAAGATATGATTATGGATCGATTTGAGCCGCAGACCTGTAACATTTTAGTCTTCTGACAGTACATAGAACTAAAAGACACATATTCACTTGGAAATAGTTACAGTGAATATTATCCACCTTTCAGATGCGTTATTATTGGTTATTTGAAAAAAAACTTTTAACTTTAAAGGATTATACGCATTAGTCGGTGTTAATGAAACACTTGATAATATCAAACAGAGAAGAAAACAATGAAGTATTTGATCGACTTCCCCGAATTCATAATTAGATTAAATGTCTTGCGATTGATGGATGTTTCTCAGAACGTATAACAAATATTCGAATTGAGGAAAAATCACTATATAATTTCGATGTAAATATGTCTTTAGGAATTTTCAATGGGAAATAGATTTCTCATTGAGACGAACGATTATCTGTATATTTTCAGAGAAATCATCATTTGTTCGCAATTTCAAAAATCACGTTGATCAACTGATTGTTAAGTTTCATTATGAAATTCTAAATACTCTGATTACGGCTTTACCTATCAATGTCTATCATCGTATTCGTCTTGTTCTCTAATTTAACGTGTTTGGATGTTGATATTTACGATAATGATTATCCTTTCAGTAGAACATTTCTGAATAATTCATTACTGGCAAGATGTGTTTCGTCAAGTGTTACTTATCTATCTTTAAAACTACATCATTTTGATGATTGTCGATATTTGCTCGATGGACATGTGACCAGTGAATTCAATGCAGAATCTATTGACCATTGTCACAGGACGTCTGCAATAGTATTTGAGTAATTTGTTGTGACGAAGTTTGGCATTTTCTAGATGTCCTTCATGTGCAATAAAATTGAATTTCAGATGGTGATTCATGAATACGCAAGATCTTTCTTCCTTCTGAGTCCAACAAATATCGTAAAGATAATAAACCGTCAGAGATTGCTTTATTGGAGTTTCGTAGTGACGAGTATTGCGACAGGCATCGAGGAAACAATTTTAGTTATAAGGGCAGTTTTCGAATTACGTCTGTTCTGTATATTTAAATAAATTTGCCAATCCTCGACCAATGCCTACCGTCTATCAACGTAAACGAGCACTAGTTATTGGTATTGACAACTATCGCGTTGAACCACTTAAGTACTGTGTGAATGATGCTCAGGATTTGAAAAAGGCTTTGGTAGCAATGGACTTTGAAGTTACATTGATACTTAATTGCGATTACTGTAAATTTTTTAACGAAGTCGACCAATTTATAGCGCAAATAACACATTCTGATTTGACTCTATTTTATTTCGCTGGGCATGGAAAACAGATGGACGAACAGAATTTTCTACTGCCATCAAATTACGATTACGATTATCGTCACAGTGAATCCAAATATTTATCAGAAAATGCTGTTAATGTTCGATACATCACCAAAGCCATAGATGAGAAAAGCTGTTGTGTTACAATATACATGTTCGATTGTTGTAGGAATAATGTATGTACTCGATCGCCTGATCAAAAGCAAGGCTTATCGGCGATACATGGTTTACCAGAGACTCTAGTCGTGTTTTCATGTGCGCCGGGTAAAGCAGCAATGGATGAAACGTATAACGGTAGAAATGGTGTGTTCATGGGAAGTTTGTTGCAGTATATCACCGAATCACATAATCACATTGAAGAGCTGCTCAGAAATGTTGCACGAGATGTCAAAAATCAAACAAATGGTTTTCAATTGCCATATCGAACAAGCTCTTTTACTGATAGTGTCTATTTGCTAAATGATAAGCAGGGTAAAACTTTTCGTTGTCGCATTCTCGGTTATTACATTGTTCATTTCTTTTCTATTATAAGAACCTTTTGGAGTTCATTCTCGACGTCCGCTTAAGTGTCACGGGCGCCCATGTGACAAGTGTGGCCATTGTCGCGATTGGCGTCAATGTGGTATCGATTCCAGTGATGGCTTTCCTGTCTATGAAAAGCGTGCATGTGTTACATGTTGCGGTGCCAAATATGCTTATCATGATGGACATGGTCATCTGTATGACTCAGTCCTCAATGGTTTTGGCTCTTCTTCTATCTGTACATGTCCAGATAACGTTTAGAAATTATGGGGGCTAACGCTATCATTTGATTTGTATCAGACTGCGCGTCTGAGCGTTTTTTATTTGTGATAAATCTTTTGTCCCGCATCCTCATTAAACTGCCATTTGCGCTTATTGAGAAGATTCACTAATGATTACTATACCGCCACTCCTCTCAAACTACTCGTTCATATCGATAAAAGCACCGTTAAGAGTAACATTGCAACATGTCAACCATTGTGAAGCAGACGTCAATTCGATGCTTTTGTTCAGTTTTAGCTGAGTGTGCATGGGATAATATATTCGTCGGTGGTCATTACACTCCACGATCGTCTCTCTGTGTATTTCATCTGCATTTCGAAGATCTAGATACCCCCTCCGCCATCTGTACGACCATCCGATAACTTTGGATTGTGACATGTGCTTATAAGTTCAATACTTCTCTATTGTTTTCTGTTACATTTCACTTCTAAATATTCATTAGAAAGAATATACTGCTCGATGTCGTTTACCAGATATACGATGCACTCGTAGCGAAATAGCTACTTTCCACCAATCAAGAAAACAAAATGAAATATGAGCGTCTTCAATCAATAATTGTCAATATCTGCTCCTAAATCTCTAGTTCATGCACATAAACGCCCCTTTGAAGAAAAAGATGATTATAAAAATCAATCATCAGCAGATCTTGAATGTGAAATTTGTTTAACTCGGAAGAAAACCTACACGACCAGTCCTTCCAATCCTCTCTGCTGCTGCTCCGTGTGTACTCAGCGCATCGAAGAATGCTGTCCAATGTGCTGTGAAGCCATATAATTGATTCAACGTATTTATCTTTCATGAAGGCTCCGATCAAAAGACAAAGAACGGAAAAGACTTTGCTTTCTTTGCTAAATAGACAACAATCATCAGTGACCAAATACATCTAGATAGGAAAAATACATCGAGATATGATATGTAAATATAATTGATTTTTAAAATAAAAAAAGAAGAAGAACGAGCACAAGACTGATTTGAAAATACTAATCGTATAAATGTCTATTGGTTGCACTTTGCCTAAGCAAGGTGTGAGCGTGGGCATTTCTTAATCAATTCTTCGACAACCGATGGATCGTTTAATGTTGAGATATCACCAAGATTATGAACGTCAGGCTCAACGATTTTACGTAAAATACGTCGCATGATTTTACCGCTACGAGTTTTAGGCAAGTTCGGTGCAAAATGTATGATGTCAGGAAACACATGTGCACCGATGATCTCACGAACAGTTTTAATGAGATCTTTTTTTAGTGCGTCAGATTCTTGAACGCCATCTTTCAATGTAACGAAACAGTACATGCCCTGATTCTTCTTTGGATCAGGATAACCGACAACTGCAGCTTCGGACACACCGGCATGCTGAACAAGAGCAGACTCAACTTCAGCTGTACCGATATTATGACCTGATATGACCAGAACGTCATCCTAAAAAAGAACTATGTAACTGCTGCTTTTCTCGATTGTTGTTACAAACCACTCGACCAGTGATCCAGTGGTAACCATTTTCTTTTATCTCACAACCATCGCCAGAAAAATAATAACCAGGATATGGTCTGAAGTATACATCGACGAAACGTTCATGGTTACGATAAAGACTACGTGCTTGACCAGGCCATGAGTCTCGGATACACAATTCACCCGTATTTGGCGCTTGTAATGGTTGTCGAGTTTCCTTGTTGAAAAGTTGAGTTTGAATACCAAAAAATGGCAGCGTAGCTGAACCACCTTCAAGTTCCCATACGTTGGGAATAGGTGTGATCATAAATCCACCGGTTTCAGTCTAGAGTCAATGCAATCTATTTATTGGTCATAGATAAAATATCGAACGAACCTGCCACCATGTATCAACAATAGAACAACGGCTATCACCAACGATTGTATGATACCATTTCCATGCTTCTGGATTGATTGGTTCACCTACAGTACCTAATATTCGGAGTGATTTACGGCTTGTTCGCGTGACAAATGAATTATCGTGTGCCATTAATGAACGAATAGCTGTTGGTGCAGTGTAGAATATATTAATTTGGTGTTTATCAACAATATTCCAAAAACGTGATACATCAGGATACGTCGGTATTCCTTCGAAGACTACTGTGGTCGCTCGATTAGACAATGGTCCATAGATAACATCTATTCAATATGGTGCAAGTTACTGAATACTATTAGTCGTCACAAAAGACATGTTTTCTTACATGAATGACCTGTAATCCATCCAACATCAGCTGTACACATATAAACTTCACCTGGAGTGTATGCAAAGACGTATTTAAATGTTAAATTGACATATGTCAAATATCCACCAGTTGTATGTAATATTCCCTTGGGCTTACCAGTTGAGCCACTGGTGTAAAGCTATAAAATATTAAGAGATAGATCTTTTATCGGAACGCATCTATCAAAATCTTTACGATAAATAATGGATCTTCAGCATTCATTGGTTCAGGATCGCATTTATCGTCCACTTTTTCTAATTCATCATGCACCCAATAATCTCGTCCATCGACCCATAAAAGTGAACTACGGTGTTCTGCGCAGTCATCTTCCGTTGCCGATAATCCATGATTTCGTTGGAAGACAAGAACAGTTTTAACTGATTTGCATTGTTCCATCGTTAGGGCAACATCGATTTTACTTTTCAATGGTGTACATTTACCACCGCGAACGCCGAAGTCACTTGTGATAACGATTGTCGACTCGCAATCAGATATGCGTTCGGCTACACTATGTGAGCTGAAGCCACCGAAGACAACAGAATGTATGGCACCGATTCGTGCGCACGCTAATAATGCTACACATGTTTCCACGACCATGGGCATGTAAATCGTCACTCGATCTCCTTTTTTCACTCCATGATTTTTCAAGACATTTGCAAATCGTTTCACATCACGTAGAAGTTCAGCATAGGTGACGTGATGTCGTTTTTCAGTTAATTTATCTGCTTCGAAAATAATTGCCACTTGCTCACCTACACGCGGATCTTTTTCTATGTGTCGATCGAGACAATTATAGCAGACATTTAGTACTCCATCTTCAAACCATTTAATTTCTACGCCTCGTTCTGTACGGTAATCGAATTCAGTGTTTTTTATTTTCGTCGGAAATTGATACCAATCCAAACGCTGTGCGGCTAATGTCCAAAATCGATCAGGGTTTTCGGTTGATAACGCGTAGAGACTTCTATATTCGTCAAATGTTTGAATTTTTTCTGGTAATGAGAGTTGATCCCACGCAGTTGTACTGGAATTGTTTATCACTGTCGAAGAAGACATGTTGTATGCCGACTACGAATGGAAAATGAAAGGCGCAAGAGACGTCTGAAATATACACACACACACATATATATATATATATATATTCATCATGGTAAAAAATAGAGGAGATATTAAAAAACACATGGCAACAGATGTGTAACATTACCGATTTCACTGAAAGAAAATGCAAGACAAACTATAAAAACTACGGCACTTCACAATATCCACTGACATTTATGCCGTAGTTCACAATTCAGGTCACTTGATGCACTCATGGTCATTATCCCAATGAAAAAATGTTCTCATTCAAGGGAAGGGAGGAGCAATGCATGGTTTCCGCCGAACAGTATGAGAACGAAGCATTATAACGATTAATACGATAAAGAAAAAGAAAATTCAGAGTATTCTACGACTTCTTTTCTTCATTCTTTCATGTAAAGTCGAAGAAAAGATGTCTCGATTGTCAAACATCGTTCGAAAGGAATAATAAACTGTATTCTTATCCTAAGACTTCGATAAATCATCGAAATAAAAGAAGAAGAGAACAAGTTTATGCTGACTATCTTCTTTTTTTACACAACGAGATGATTTTAGATCGAGACAACAAGAACGGCAAAATAGAAGATTAACCTAGAAAACATTTTCTTTCTTTCTCTTAGGCGTCACACATACAAGCTTAGTTAACCATCGATTGCCAATTTGACGAGCGGAAAAAAATAGACGAGACGCTAGAGTGAATGACTTCTCTCTTTCTTCTCCTAACCCGATGAGCAGTTCTTCTCTCTTCTATTTCGGATCTAATCGAGTCGAACAACTATTACCTACGAGTTCCAAACAGCGAATTTTTCTTTTCTGAAACAAACAAGCGAGCACGTACAATATCATTTGCATCTTTTGTTTTTCATGCAATAACAACAACGAGATGAAAAAGCGAAGACGGACATACATTCACGAAAATGACTTTACTAAATATGATATTTGAGAAAAGTCTACATATGTTGATGATAACATTGAATGAAAACTATTATTGCTCGATTGACACCAGTGATCATTGGGAGTGTCAGGAATATAAAGATGATAAAGAAGAAATTTGATTAGACTAACACTGGTGATCGATTCGGTGGAAGTCGGAAAAACGATTGAATGATTCTTTCTATTCAATCAAACCAAATTAGTTTTAACGAAAGAACTAGACAAAGAAAGAAAGCACAAACTTTTTCGCAGGAAACAATATNTGCGTTTCTCCATGAATGGACGCAATTTACGATCGTCATCGATGTCGAGAAGTTTTTGACATCCTGTTACGGGATAAGCTATGTTAAGCTTCATGATTGAAGATCTAGAAAGAAAAAGTGTTTTACGAGGTTTTTCTCAAAACAAACTCGAGAGAAAATGAAAATGCGAGGAGAAAAGAAGAAGAAAACAAAAGCGTCGATAAACTATGAAACCAATCATATATGTCAGTGATAAAGTAAGAGAGGACTGGCTGAAGGTTTCAGTTACTATTAGATGTCGCCTAGAGTCATTCATGGAAGAATCGAACGAATGAGAAAGGTTTTCTTAAATCGACCGATCATAGAAATATTTTTTTGAAGAATGCAACGAATATTTGCTAGGCTATTTTCTCATGGTAAAAATCTTTCGCTAATATGTGAACGCGAGTCTTATTCTATGGCATAGGACCAGGTTTGGATGAAGACGTTCAAACAGACGAAGTTAAAGTTGAAGTGAATAGCGAAGATCATGTAAATAGAAGTTCGTTGCCATTCTTATGATCCATATTTGTTTTTGTTTAGGTTGAAGCAGTGCGTGATTTACGTGATACATATAATCAGCCAATAAAATGCTCATATCAGAAGAATTTCAAACGATTTTCTGACAAGAAAAATTCCATCTCGATTCTTCGACAAGTGAGTTAAGTATCAGTAATTGATTCGTTGTTTTGAAATGTGGAAATTCTAGCATGAACTAGGTCTGATTCATTTTCGTCAATACCCTCAAGCACGTTACAACTTAATGAAAAGGTAGGAACATCTATCGAAAATTCTCACGATGATTTTCATTCGTTTGCTCTTGTTTATCGTAGATTATTACCAGAAGAAGGTGAAGTGGTCGCATCCATGGAAAGACCAACGTTTTGCGGTCAATTTTCTGATGATGGTCAATGTTTTATCAGTGCTTGTCAAGGTAAACCAATTGAACTAATCGCAGAGATATCGATCGCGTATGTGCCTACACTTAGACAATTGTATTCGTCTCTATGATACATCAACACGACGAAAATTTGCTCAACTCACAGAGATCGAAGCAATCGACGTCGGATGGTCGATATTGGATACTGCTTTGTCACCTGACCGAACACAAATTGCTTATTCAACGTGGTCAGATTGCAGTAAATATCTAAATGGCATTGTACGCTTGATATTCAATCTCTTTTCCATCTAGTTTATTTGATCACTCTCGATGAAAACTATTCCGAACCGAAGATTTCATCATTGTACTTACGACCGGAAACAAATCGTTTCTCAGTATTTTCTTTACAATTTTCAAAAAGTGGCTCTGAAATTATTTGTGGTGCAAGCGACAATTGTGTGTATATATTCGACTTAGAGAAACAGCAACGGACCTTACGTGTATGTGTTGACAACGATTGAGAATTGTTTTGACAACTTGTGCGTTTATCTTACAGGTCGAAGCTCACCGGAACGATGTCAATGCTGTTCGTTTTATTGATGATTCGAATGCATTGCTTGCTAGCGGTTCAGATGATGGCCTCGTTCTTGTTTGGGATCGACGAGCATTGAATGAAGCTCAACCGAAACCAGTTGGAACTTTTGCGGGTCATAAAAGTGGAATTACTTTTGTACATAGTCGAGTACGAATGAAATCTTTGGAGATGACCCGATTAAGTTTGTTCTTCGTAGATGGATTCACGATATTTAATCTCTAACTCTAAGGATCAAAGTATTAAATTATGGGATATGCGCCGTTTTGCTGATGAATCAGCCATATTTCGAAGTCTTAAAGCATCCAATGCAGTTAGTCGCGTTTGGGATTACCGAGTCGGTGTTCAATCATTATCACGTACGAACGAATGAGTTTATTCTTACCGAAATCTCTACGAAATACTTTTATTCTAGTGCACAAAGAACGAATCCCTGGCGATCCCAGTGTTTGTACATACAGAGAACACAGTGTTGGCTATACACTTATACGATGCTATTTTTCGCCCGCGTTTACCACGGGACAACGCTACATTATCACAGGATCATCGAATGGATGTGTTTACAGTAAGTGAACTTTTCTCGACCGACAGTTTCATAAATGAACAACTGACTTGTTCTAGTATATGACGTTCTTACTGGATCAGTTGAACGATGCCTTCGCATTCGAAATAATTATTACGGCTCAGAACGAGAGAAATGTGTACGCGATGTCGCATGGCATCCATACGACGGTTACATCGTGTCGACATCGGTAAGTTTTATTTGAACGACGATGCATTGTGTTGTTTGGTTTTTTCTAGTGGGATAACAGACGAGCACATGTTCGATGGGCTCATAAAATGACTGATTCTTCGGAGCCGTGTTTATCACCGCCAATAGAAACAAAAACAGTTTCTGTACAGACACCATCTTCTCCATCATTGAATCGTTCGACAGAACTCTCAGGCATGGTCCAGCGATATTTACTTCAACAGTCTCACGACAGTGGCTTCAATGTAGATAGCGATGACGAAGACGATGGACTGTTTTGAAGATCAATGAATTCCGACGTTTTCTTTTCTATTTGATTTGCAAATGGCGTTTCGCTTCAAACCGGTGTTTATTAACATATGTAGTTTTTTTGACAAAGAGCAAAGGATTTTTTTTCGAATAAAAACAAATATTTGGCAATTCAATGTCAAAATTTCCGTATAAAAATAAACATTTTCATATAATTGTTCATCATTTTAACACAGAAATCTTCAGTTCATTCTAAATGTCATATCAAATGAAGTAAAACACGACAAAAAGGAGTAGAGAAATCAGAAACGCCACAGGAGAGACTGGTACTGCGTTATCAGTTGTATCTGTTATAGCAGAAGATGAAACATTAGGATTTATTCTAGCTGATACGGAAGACGCTGGATTTAAATATGCACCACTGGTAGTTTGTCGTATCCAATCTTGATAAGCAGCTACACGAGTATAAACTCCCATCGCGTTTGCACGTGCACATCCATCACCATAACTAGTCAGACCGACTAAAACCCATTGATTGCTCGTAGTAAACATCATCAGTGGGCCACCTGAATCCCCTTGGCATGTATCTGAAATATAACAGAAACAGAAAAGGTTAATGACACAACAAAAAACGAAAAAATTACCTTTACCACCACCATAAACACCGGCACAGAGTTGTTTTTGCTGATCGTACAAAACCGAAGAACACGTTGGATCAGTGTAGGCTACTGTCTCAACTGTAACTTGCTGAAGATAATATGGCAAGGAACCATCTTCTGTCAATGTACCCCATCCAACTGCGACAACCTATCGACGAATGATGACATTTGAAAGTCGAAATACAAAATAAAATCACGTACGGATAAATCAGCAGCTGGCCATTCGCCAGCAGATAGAGTTGCTGAATCGACTGATGGTATACAAACTGGTTTAACACTTGAATTTGAGATTATTAATGGAGAACTAAGACGTATTAAAGCAATATCATTAACATGACTACTACTGACGTAGCTCGGATGCACTGTAATACTGGACGCGACTCGAGATTGCCCTGAGAATCGTGCATTCGAACCAGCATACACAGTCACTTTTGATGCTGCGAGTCCGGATACACAATGTGCTGCGGTGACTACCCACGAACTTGATATAACACTTCCACCACATAATGCTTGATTATTTATTGAAATCGACACTGCCCAACTCCAAGTACTCGATGCTGCTGCTTCTCCTCCGACGATTCGAGAAACTGTTGCTGAATTCGGTGAACAACCACATGATACCGTTGGATCACATGAGTACAAATATGAATGAGTTTGCTGCACAAGAACAAGTAGAAATACAGTACAATAACTGATCATGTCGTGCTTGTATCCTAGATTCATTTCGACGTCGAATGACTATGTGTCTAAAATATTATATATATGAGTAAACCTCTGTAGCAACGTACTTTTTTCTCTTTCTATTTTTCCTCTTCCGATAATGCCCAACAATATTTATTCAGTAACAGTTGTTTGCATTACTCATGGTTGAATAAAAATCGATTGCAACGTCTTAACATTATGCTCAGGATAGAAATTTTTTCTTCCTCGATGAAACTCTCTCGGAAAGAAAGAACACTTCATCTGATCGTTGAGAAGAAGAAAAAATTTTTCTTCATGTTTTTATAGTCGCAACATGACGAAAACATCTCGACAATAGTCACGAAAACATCTAGAAATCAGCGAACGTGTGTGTCAGAGATTTTTCTCCAATGGATTTCTATTTAAATCCATGGGAAGTGACGTTCATACGGCTGCTATTGAAAAAATGTTACAAAAACATAGAAGAGAAAAAGTACATATGATAATTATAGTGGTAGTTGAGTAAACACAGCTATACAAGTACTATTATAGAACAAATTTCGGAGATAGATTTATTGTTCGTAATGACAATAGCAAAAATATGCATCAGATACCTTTTTCGTTTATCTTTGATCGCTGAACGATTTATTTTGTGATGAAACCAGGCTTTTTTTGTTTAACAACTAGCGCCATCTTTCCGTATTCATTTCATGCTGGTCACTTTGTTCCTAAGATACCATTCCTGAGAGCGATCAATGGATTAGATTTGTGGTTATTTCTTTTTCTTTGTCAATCGTTGATCTAATCAGTTGACATAGAAAAAAATGCTTGATTCTCAGCAGAAATCTTCACGACCATTCAGATCTATAACTCCTCGAAAAAAATCAGTTCGCTTCAATATCACATCTCCATCACCACGAACTCCTTCGTTAATCAACGAAAGCGATTCGGCAAGTCATCGTCAACATCCATTGAATGTGTCCTATACAATACCCTCGACAACAGTCAATATCGATCATGTCACAAATCAATCTCATATGCACCATCTGCACGATCGTGTCGAATACATTCCGACGGCACGACGAAATCATTTACAAATTACAGGAGAAAAAATTCTTCCTCAACCGCAGACACTCGACGAGCTTCATCAATTTATGAAGGTGAAAGCAGCAAACCTTCGAAAAAACATGACACATGTAACAGATACATTTATTCACGCCAGCACACATTTGAATCGGATCAAAGACGGTAGAGAATCATTTCAAGTGTTTCATCCGACAATTTCATTCTGTTTTAGAACATCAAACTGCACTTAAACGACCAAGTCGTATACCTATATCAGTTCATCATCGTTCACCCTCACCGCCAGTTGTTATTTATCGCAAACCACAGCATCGGGCGCTCGATGATTTACGCTGGTATTGTTTAGCAAGAAAGTTTTCTATTCTTTGGCAAAAACATGTTTTCGGATGCCATCTACGTCGCATCAAGTCATTTTATGAACGAAAATTGTTAAACAAATACTTTTATGTTTGGCGAGAAACGATTCAAGATGATCATATTGAGTCAATTGCTATTGAATTTTACCATCGACATTTGCTCAAAACGTATTTTCAAATTTGGCTCAACTTTACTTCCCAAACTCAAATAGCAGTCGAGCATTTAAATCGCAGACGATTGCAAAATGCCTGGAATATGTGGAAAATACAATTTAACAAAAGATATGTTCATCAACAACAAGTTCAACTGGCCACTGAACAATACCATCGACAACTAGCAGCTCGTGTACGTTTTCTCTTCAGTCTTTGGCGAATATTTGAAATCCTTTTTTTTTTCTAAAGTTTTATTACATTTGGCAAGTAAATACACAACAGCGACGACAAGAACACGAAAAACATTTACGAGCCAATTATCACTATCGTATTCATTCACAAAGAATATGTTTCAACGCCTGGTTAACATATTCCGATTATCGGCGAAAGAAGAATACTCATAAAAGTTCGACAAGCGGCATCTCTTCTTCTCAAAAAGACTTCCTTACATTTAGAACGTGTACATGAGTATTATCAAAAACATCTGCTAGAGAAAATATACCGAAATTGGAAACAAGCTTTGACAAACAAACTGCTCATGCAACAACATGAGCATCGATTGGCTCAATTGCAAGAACGAGTTCTCATGCGGTGGGCATTCGAACAGTGGAAATCATGTAAGACGACTAAAAGATTTGTTTTTATACTATCAAAGTCTTTTGTAGATATGAACGATCTAGCTGACGAACAACGAATGATGTATATGGCTGAACAGTACAGCGATCAAAGGATTATAGTAAGAAAAAAAGAAGGATTTTCATCCTTGATTCGGATACCGATAAACAAAAGAATGCCGCATCTTGTAACTTTTGTATAGCGTTCAGCGTTTGTTATTCTTCAAAAGTATGTAGCGAAACGTCGTATGAAACAACGGTTGAATTGGATCGCTGTTCAACATCGAGCGCGAATGGTATCCAGATCTTTTCGTTAGTTCATTGAATATAAAGACAACATTCTTCCGATTCTAGATCCAATGTGTTTACTATCGTATTTGGAAACACCGAATGGAACAGCGTGAAAATATTCTCATGTTCAATGAATTCCAAAAAGCAGACTCGTTCTACAATATGAAAATAACCATTCGCTATTGGTTCTGTTGGCGGCGATACGTTCAAGATTGTCGAGAAGAAAATGTAAGTCATCATAAACCATTCATTTTCAACTTGAACCATTTTTGTTGTTGTAACAGGCTCAACTTCACGCAGCAGCAACATATCATAATTCCAAATTATTACGTAAATATTTTCATCTTCTACGTGCTAACATCACTGTTGAACGTCATGAACAGCTACTGGAGAAACGAGCAGACGATCATTATCGGTAAGCACAGCCACAGCTGATCTTTTCCTTACCAATGACTTCTTTTGTTCTAGTTTACGGTATTTGCGACTGTACTACAATTATTGGAAAGAACAAACACGTCGTTATGAAGAGTATCAGATGAATTACAGAATCGTAAGTTACAGTGTGCGCGAGCGAGTCATTTTCGTATTTGAATGAATCTTCTTAGGCAATTGTTCATGAAGAAAAACGAATGCGAGAACGATTTTTCAATCTATGGTTGAATCAAGCCCATTCACGATTGATCGAAAACGAACAGCAGGTAAATAATAATCATGTTTTGAAATTCTTCGCATCTCTCTCGTATATTCAGATTGTTGCTGAAAGACATTACATCCGAAGTATACTAGTACGCGCTTGGTTAGCCTGGCGACAAATCATTGACGATCGTCACAATGAAGAACGATCTGAACGTATTGCCGTTCAGTTCTATTATCATAACATCGAAAGGCGCGTGTTACACGCATGGAAATTAGTACGGAAGCTCGATCCCAATCTCTGAATAATCGGCTTTTCTTTTCTTCTAGTTTATTCGTCATTGTCATTACATGAAACAAATGTATCGTGAAAGTGAACAGTTTTATTTACAACATCGAGGTCGAACAGTATATTCTCAGTGGTTAAATAAAGCGCGACATCGACGAAGATTGATGGCAATTGTTAATGAACGTTATGAGCGTCAACAACGTACTTTATTAAGGTAGATTCCAATAAGTTTTCTATTTTAACGTCTGAGAAGATCCCCGTCGGAGCACATTCAACAGAATATTCTCCAATTGAGCATCAGGAAATATGCTAGGTTTTTTTAGAGACTTAAGATTCTACTTTTACTGACATATGAGAATACCTGTTCTGATCATATTCTCTTTCTTCCATCAATTAGGCATTATCTTCATCAATGGCGTAATAGTGTACAAGACGGTAAAGATGATCGTCGATTGTTGCAATATGCTCAGGAACATTATGATCGTTCGCTGAAACGCAAGGTTCTTATTGCTTGGAACAATGAAATGATCCAGCAAGTAATGATTGATAATGAGAATGAAATTAAATTGAACAAGTACAAACAACGGAAAGACCATTTACAATTGACAAGCATTTACAGCCGATGGAAAGAAGTCACCGTTGAACATGTTCGAGAACGGTTTCTCCTTCAACGTGCACAAGTATTCTATGTCAAAAATGTGTTAAACAAATACTTCTCTCAATGGAAAGAACAACATCACTTTGATATGCGAATTAAAGTAAAATAAAACACATCGAATGTTTGTTTTATATATATACTGTCTGTTGACTAGTTACTTGAACGACAAGCGGTTTGGTTCGATCGGATGCGTTTGATGAGTCGAGTGTATACTCAATGGAAACAAAGTTGGCACACCGAACAACGAGAACACGAACAAAAACATCGTGCATTGCTTTTCTGGGCGATACAACTGCAGAAAAAGGTTTTGCATTAACTTTTAGTATTTACTCTTGTGAGTTTAGTTTTTAGTGTTTTCTCCATTGGTTGATCTATTTTACTGAACGGAAGAGAAAGAAAGCACGATATAACGAAGCTACACATCGGCGACATGATGAACTAGTACGAAATAGTTTACGTCAATTTTTAGTCTACACGGATCACACGAAACTTCGACGACAAGCTTTATTTATCCATCAACAAGTTTATGTACGTTTTTTCGAATTTCATCAGTGCACATAAATCAATCTGTATTTTTCTGTTTAGCTATATCATGATCGCAATACTCTAGCATCGAAATACTTTTCCAAATGGCGAGCATTCGTGAAAGAATCATTAGCACACAAACAATTGACACAACAGTTTATGAAAAGAAAAACAACTGTTGTACCTATCACGAAGAATCCACTGGATCTCGTCAAATTTGACAACAGTCCTCCAAAGTAAATCAAAGATTTCACATCGAGTGTCCCTCAAATTCTTTCTCCTAATTAGAATAACCAATCGACCACGTCCACGTAAACCAGCATTTCTTTCTGATTCATTTTCGGCAACAACCATCGACAAAAGGTAACTCTTTTTTTTCAATTCTATCTTTACCATTTTCATCAGCTTCTATAGAGAATCGGATATTCGCACAATAAACATACGCAGTCCTACATCATCACCACCACGACAACCTCCTCCAACGATCGATCATTCTCTACATTCTCCATTCATCACTGTAAAACAACCATTAGCCACAACTCATGATTCATTCCCGTCTTCACCACCTGCACCTATTCTCCTTCCACCATCAGCATTTCAAATAGCTCATAACGAAATCAGGATGCCATTATCATCTCGTGAGACAACCAATGCGCGAAATCCTTCAATTCTTCCTCATCGACCGTATTCCACTCAGCCCACGTCAACAATTCTCCTCAACAAAGATAATTTATTAGATGTTAAACAACGCTTAGAAATCTATCTCAACAATAAAGCTAGATTAAAGTATACAATCGCAAATCTATTATTTTCACTTCGTTGACATTTTTTTTCTTTCTTCCACTTAGACGTCTACGCCAACAATTAGCTAATTTACCATCATCAGAAATCGACACAAAAGTAAACTCTAAAAGACGCCTTATACTCATTTTAAACTATAATTTTTCTCTCTCGTAGCTCGAACAAGAATGCCAACAATTAAGTACATTTATAGCTTCGGAAAAGCTCCATTTGACTAGTGTGCTACAAAATTTATAAAACTCATTTTCAAGTGCCTTGCTATGTTCTTTTTTCTATGAAAGTTACTACGACCAATTTGCTTGTGTTTTGTTTTATATATATATAAATAATGGATAGGTTACTCATAAAATAAATGAAATCATCGATCTCGATTGTTCTCCTTTGTTAACGCACTCGCGCAATGGGTTATCAATAATATATAGATTAAGAATAGGTCAGCGAATTTCATTTGAATTATTCAGCATGTTTTCTCTAACTTGTTCACATCAGAAAACGATGAATAGTTATAAATAACCAGTCGGATTTTGATCTTCTTTGCTCTCTCTCTCTCTTCCTATTTGATAAATCACGTCATAATTTTTCACTTGTCAAATGTTAATCATGAATGAATATAAAAAGTGAGAGAATGTGCACGGAATAATGAGAAGTTTTTTGTCGGTTGT